GGATTTGTAAGTACTTAAAAAAAGAAACATATTAAGGACTGCATTATTACCAAGCCTCCGTTAAAGTCAGCCAGGTCATTTGGGCTGAAATACTGTAAAGTCTGTAAATCTGTAGATTTTTAGAGGTATGTCAACCACCTAGTATGAACACTTGAATAGAGTTTTAATCAATGGATTCAAGAAGTTTGAGTGGGAGCGGGGCCTAAGGGAAATGAAATGGGGCATCCTCTATAGTTCCAGACCCCAGAGGTCTCAGGGCATTTTGTCCGACTCCAACGCTGCGTCCACTTCTGAGTGAAATGACTCAACATGGCCTTAATCTGTGTATTTGTAACAAGCCTGGCAGTTGAATCTGAAAGCTAATTTATTACCAAGGGCACATTTCCAGTTGGATCTCTACATGATCATGACTTGTTATTGTTTAGTTTCATAGAGAGCACTTCAATTTTTGGTTTCAAACAGGCAACGCTGTGCCTTGGTTTGCTGGATTTTCCTTTTTTCTAAATGCCGCCCTGGAGAAACGATGAGGAGTTCTTTTTAATTTCCTTGTGCTAAGTTTATTTTTGTTTGGTTTTCTAGGGTTAAAACTTTGTGTTGACGCAATCTCTGCCAACACTAGGAAGACATATGATCCAAACAGCAGAAGAATAGTGTGCAGTTATGGGGGAATAACTAGCCTGCAGTCAATCCAAGCTCTGTGAACAAATGGAAACACATATATATTTTGTAGAGCTTCTCATACTAGAGTTTCATATCCAACCCGGCTCTCGGTTGCGAAATATCAGGAATCACAAATGTCTCTTTTTTCACATTTATTTCTATTAGCAAAGCATTTCACATGTCTCTATATCTCTTAAACATTATTTTTGGGCCAGTTCAACTTTTATCAGTGAGAAAGATTTGAAAGGGGGGGATAGAGGGGGATAGAGGGGATGACACGGGTAAAAGGACCACAGGCCAGATTCGCCCATTTCGATATTTTAAAAAAATAGATAAGATCCAAATAGAAACGTTGTGTTTTTGTTATTCGTAATTAGAGTGATTGATTTGAAATTTGAAAGACAAATTCAAACTGAATTCAACAAGGGATTCATATTTAAAACGCGAGTACTCTACTGGCTTCTAATTAGTTAAAAAAACATATATAGGACAGCCTGCAATAAACTAAAGAGACACTAGTCCAATTCTCATTTGCATGAAATAAGCCAAAAGAAAAAGATAGTTTGTTATCTGAAAGTCTAAAATAAGTCATGTTTGAATGGTTGCCAGTGAGCTTTGAACACAGCCTTGGTGGTGAGCAGCCTCTCCCTGCCCTCCTGATCTATCAAAGAGTGAAAATAGACTAACAGTCAGGGACCCCTTGGCCATCGGTGGTACTTTGTAATACAAACGATGATTTCTAACATTTCAGGTGAGTGTTTGGATAGTGCGGTAAAGGCTGCAGGGAGAGCAGTCCATGTCATTATTAATTCAGTATAAAAGCTTGAATGGACATTCAAGTGTTTTCAAATCGTCCCCACGTGAAATCAGAAAGGTGTGGAGGTAAACAAAGCCGAGATATTGAGCTCAAGAGGTAGAGACCAACACGGTGAATCATTTATATACATATTCACACAGTGCTGCTGTGGTGAAATCATTAACAACAATAACAAAAAAAGGCTTCTCCTTAGATATATCTACAACTCTGCTGTACACACAAGATACAGATCAAATGACTCTGGGAATCATTACAGGATTCTTCTAGTAGCAGGGTAAAAATCAAGAAAATATATACATTTGTATGCAAGTTTTAAAAATAAAAAGGAACTTCACAGCCCTCCGAAGGTGCAGGCTAATACCATTTCTATACAGTGGTTTTGTTTTTTAGGTTTGTGTGTAGGTTTCTATATTTACCATATATACATAATCATACTTTGAGGTGTGGGGAATAATGCATGCTGTTAAACACAAGAACAGGAATAGAAAACAATTCTGAAAAATATATTAAATAATTTACTTCAAAGCTCTTTTTGGGGGGGCGACAGTGTACATGTATGAGGAGGGGGGGGAGGGTCTGGATTTAGAAAAACCCCATATAGATGAGACCATGCCATCATTTATACCTGCTACTTCTATGGTGAGCAGCTGAAAGCAATAAGGAAAGAGTCGCTCAGTAGTATGTTTGATATATTCATTTAGAAGAAAAGGAAAACTCTTTTGATAGTATTGGAGGTTAAACTGCTTCTTTACCTTGATGCGTTTTTCATTTGAACATTTTGTTCACAAGAGAATGATTGTTCCCCATTTGTCCTTTAACCAGAACACAGGGTTCTACGTCCAGAGGAAGACTGTCCCGTCTCAGCTACCATAGAGTCTCTAGTCTATATGTTCTCTACAATCTGGATCTGATACACGTAGCATTAGCCTTCTTCCTCCTCAACCTTTACCCTTCACAACAATACGAGAATGTAGTCCTCATCCACTTATCAGTTGATCTGTTATGAACTGAATTTCATCCCACTCTGTTTTTTTCCATTGTGCCGATCAAAACGACCTGGATTGGGACTGTTGCTGACACAAACCAGCTCCTCTGCTCAGCACGTATCAGATATGGGAGTTATAAATAAAAGCAGCAAAATGTTTCCTCCACAATCAACCTGTTAACTCAAGTTTGACAATAAACAGGAAGGATGGGCTACAGTAGGGTTAGGGTTAAGCTGGATTCACATGATACTCAAATGTCTCTTAGCTTGGTTTCTCTTAGCTCAGCAGCTGGTTAGTTCTATGGTTAGGTCATAGCTTGTGCCGCTTCATACAGCTGTTATCGGATTGGTTGCGTGTTGAAAGGTCAGTGATAACGAGGTCTAAGAAAAAAATGTAAATGTGAGCGAAGGGCTCTGCGACCATTCCAAGCAGTGTGCAGCGCAGAGGGTAGAGCTTCACCTTAGCGCTTCTCCATAGAAACAGATTGGCAAATCAGGACGTTGTACAGCGGATCAAGTGAATGCAGCTTTACGGTCGAACTACCACACAGGTTGCAGGAGTTTTAAATCCTCTCTATTTGAGTGGTTTGTACAGGGAGCAATTTAAGCAAGTGTGATGGGGAACAGGGCCAACGTGTTTCAGCTCAGTGCGGACTCTCTGGTTTTATTCCTGAGTCTGTCTCTTCCTACTCTTTGGGGTAAAGTTAGCCCAGTTTGGCAAAGTGGTTAATAGTTGCCTTACTGAACAACAGTGAAGTTAGGAGGCACACAAGAGGGTGGAGCACTTTCATTCATAAAAAAAAGAAAGGTTTTGCTCACAGGACAGTTTAGCAATATAGTGACACTGGAAATGTTGAGTAACCTAAAGGTTTATGTTAGAAATGTATAGTAGGGTGCCCAGCACAAACTGCCGGATGCTAACTTGCATATGTTGGGCAATTTGCACAATTAGCATATGTGCTATGTAAACAATAATAAAGAAAATGGCTTGGCCGATTTGGACAATTTTGGAGTGGTTTTGAGGGTTATCCAGGATGCTGAATCCATTTCTGACATTTTCAGGATCAAAAATGGCAGTTTAACCAGAAAGTGGCAATATCTGTACTCTAGGTGGGCTGATTTTGACTACCATGAGTAGTGTTGTGAACATTGGATATAGAGCACAAAATGAAAATTATTATCTCTACTGTGGACTGTTCTTTTTGTTTTAATAAATAGGCAATCTGTCCGATCCAAATGATCCAGAGTATATTCCAAACGGACCCAAAATGTATCAAAATCAGCCCATTGAGAGAACAAATATTGGCAGTTTCTGGGTAAAACTGCCATTTTTTATATGATAAAGGTCTACAATTGATTCAGCATCCTCTATAACCCCCAAAACCACTCCAAAATTGTCCAAATCTGCAAAGCCATTATTTAACTATTGTCCCCAATGCTAATTCATGCTAATTAAAGCATATATGCTAAATGTGCAAATTGCCCAACAAATGCAGGTTAGCATCCAGTAGTTTCTTTGTGCTGGGGACCCGTTCTATACATTTCTATCATAACACTTTGGTGTACTCAACATTTCCAGGTTCACTATAGGACTCTATGAGCTGGCAACTAAACTAATACACTAGTACTGAGCTAAGTATTAGCAGTACAAGTACCATGGGAAAGGTGTTTTTATTAGTAGTATGAGGGCATCCTTTAGAGTGGTCCCTTTAAAAGTATTTCCTATTCATGGAAAGGTTCAATTGTTCTTCATGTAAATGAGTCGTTAAACCCTCACCTTCAACACTGAACTACTTCAACAAAAACAAACACTATTTATCTAAAAAGCCCACACAATATCATTACAATTGTGCATCAAATCTAATCTACTGAGCACTGTGAACACTCATTACTTCCAATGGAAATAAACCTGTCCCCCTTCATGATGACTGACTGACAAAAATGTACATATATTAGTACAGGTTCAACTTCATATTACAGAGAATATTTAGAAATGTTTTGGGGCCTCATGTATAAACTTTAGATTTAGCGCAAAATAGCATGTCTTCATTTCCTTGTTCTTAAACATGTATATTACACACTTCATATATATCTAAACAATTATTACATTACACCTTTTTTTTAGGATGCCAAACGTGTGGATTTGAGTATACGCTCATCTTCATTGAGATGTATAAAAACCAGAAATAAATGTCTTAGTTTGCTATTTAGTTTAAGTCTATTAATTGACTTCCATTATATTTTATATAAATATATCAAAGTGTTATGGTGTGATTGGTAAAGTAAAAGACACAAGCTTACTGTGTCTTCTGACATATACCGAGTACTCAATCAATATTATGAACGTTACGCTATCACTGTTGTTGTACGGTGTTTTTTTCCCTAAATCCTGATGAATTCTCCTTCTTTTAACCACGTGACATGTTTCACTGAGGTTAAGGACATGTGGTTATAAAAACACATAGCACCTGATTCTTTTGACCGTGAGACCCTGGAACGATTGTGAACTCCTCACGTGGTGTAGAAACGTAGAAAATGTTCACACGGATATCATTTTATAAATCCTATCATTGCCCACATCTTTTGTGTTGCATTTATACATGAGGCTCCTGATCTTTGGCAAATTAACCGTGAGATAAGTTAAAAACTATGGCCAACTGTGCAGGGGGACACTCGGGGATACAGGGGGGATTACATGCCTGTAATAATTCATCTTTAATAAGTTAAAATATCAATGTGACAAGTGCATGTTTTTATAAAATACGGGGAGCTTGCAGTTGGAAAAACCTTAAGCCTACCAACAATTACAATCGATTGTCTGAATAAGAAGTTGGATTTAGTTTTCAGTGGCCTGATTGAGTAGGGAAATGAATCCATTTGTGATCACAATAATCTTAAAATAGACATCTTTTTTTAAATGTATATTAATATATATATAGCTAAACAAATGTACAATAACTGTAATCTACCTGGAAGTAACCAGATGAGTTTGTTTAAAACATTCTGATTTGGTCTACAGAGCATTCATTTGCATACCGGGCTCCTTTAACCCCTATAAAGCAGTTATCAGTGGATTCTCTTCATTTGTTTCATGTTTCAGCAGACCTGCGAGTCCTGCTCTCCAGTGAAATGCTACGCAGACGATAGAAGACGTTGAGAGGCGTTCCTGTTCCCGGGCCTAGCAGCGTGTTGGAAAGATGAGGACGCAGCAGCAGCTACTCCCACACCAGTGGGGAGGGGGGCATCTCAGAGGGCTGAGCCACCGTGGAGCTGGGGAGCGAGGGCAGAGGGAGGTTAGTATCAGCTGTTCAGTGTATTCTAACAGAGACGTTTGGTGCTTAGTTACATGTGTAGCGGTTACCTTTGATGTGTTCCTCTAATTAAAAAAAATATTGTAGTACAGTGTACACTTTTTATAAAGATTTTTATTCCATCTTATTTGATATTTTATTCCACTTTTTATATTAACTCCTTGTGTTTGCTTTTTTTTAATTCTTTTTTTACATTTTATATCAACTTGTTTTGATTATATAAATATTTTTATTTTATTCCATCTTTTATTGGGCCTTTCACGTCTTTAATTGATATAAATATCTGTATTTCTTCATTTTATTTTAATTCCTTTAACACATTATGTTTTTTCTACATTTTATTTAAACTTTTGTTTTTTAAAAATATGTATTCATATGTTTGTATAAATCAATATTGTATTTTGTCTTTCATTGAAAATTCTGATTTGATAAAAAAAGTTGCACTACACATCATCATCATCATCAAATTACCTTAATCAACAAACAAACAAACGTTGACATGTTTGATGCTGAAGCCAAATATCATTACACTTTTACAGGTTAGGAATTGGGTCATAAATCATCTCAGCTAGATTCAGATGTAATCAAATGTGATTTGTAAGCCTAGCTTAGCATAAAGCAGGAAAACTGCTAGCCTAGAGCCACCTAAAAAGATAATAAATACATCTTGCTACAACTCCAGAGCCTTCTGATTACATTGTGTATCTTTTGTTTGAACACACACACACTCTCTCTCTCTCTCTCTTCAGTTCCCCTGCTGTGTGTTAAAGCCTCCCACCTGATGAAGCTCTTGAAAGCAGCTGACTGAGGGTTAATGCAGAGCGGCACCCGACTCCCCTTCTGCTGCTCCAGGATGAACTGATGGATGATCTCTGAGAGGATGAAACACCGACAGCATGTCTTACTCAATGTTATCCAAATGAAGTTATATATAGTCATGTCCTTCATCACAACACCAGTAAGTGAATAACAGCAGGTAAACGTACCTTTGACCTGCCTCACAGAGCTGAGATTCTTCTCAAAGTCATCGTCAAACTTGGGATTAGTGACGGGCTCGAAGTCGCTGGTGTACACGCGTCCGGTGGAGGTGGTGTAGCAGCATTTGCACATGCAGGTGTGGTAGCGCAGGCGACCCTCGTCCAGGTACGGGTGGGCCAGGGCGTCCTTCGCTGAGATCCTCTTTGACTGGAGACCAAACACACCAGTTACAGTTGAGTGAGTATTGGCTACATTTAACATCACTCTTAGCCTCAGAATATAGTTTCAGGTTCATTTATTTTTGGGCCCAGGTATGGGTACTTTATACATCCATGTTTTTTACTGACACATTATGTGTTAACCACAGATCTTAATTCAGGCAGTTTAATAAAAAACTACTCCCTCTGCATCGCACACTGCACGATCACGTTCAAAAAAACATTAACTTCAAAACGAGGGAACCTGTGCCCTGTACGACGAAGCCAGTTCAACAGACTCTGAATATCTCTGAGTTATCTGGCTTAACTAACCCTAACAAACAAGATCTCGCTAAGCGGTCCTACGACGCTGGATATCAACTCGCTAAATCAAGCCAGGGTTTCTCCGTCCAGCTGAGAGCGCGTTCACGTGAAAGGGGCGGGGTTAGCAACATTTGACCAATCACAAACATGGACAAGCGTACTGACAGCGCAGCGTCATACTTCATGAATGAAAAGTTAGACAAATATGAAGAAGTTAAACTTTAAACATCCATGACTTAAACACTTAATCCAGGATAAAAGCAACATAGTTGTAGCTGCAAGGTGAATACAGAACAGCTGGAAAAAGAAAAACTACCGAATGTTTGAATGCGTAAATGAACAGGTTTATGATATCACTGCCCCATCCAACACACAAGTTCATCTGACATGAATTACATTTGAGTGTTTCGTCAACTTAATGTTTTGTTTTAAATAACACTTCGGCATACAGTATGTATAAGTAAGTGCACGACTCCGGTGTGTTGCACGGCCAAGAAGCTGACACAGATAAGTGAATAGCTTATCAAAGCCCCCAAAATATTCACAGAATAAATAAAGTTATCTAAATGTTGCAACCAATGTGAAGAACTGGCTCCTTCCAGTTTATTAAACCTAACAGGTTTAATAAAGCGTACAGGTGCACACACTGGCCAGGTAGACCTGCTGTGTTACTTTGCTGCTTGCTGACAGGCACACACACCGTGTACACTGCGTTGTACAGTACACATCTATCAGGGTTCATACACTTTTTCACCAATGATTTTCAATGACTTTTCCATGACCTTTACCTAATTTTCCATGACCAAAAAAATGACTCTTTCTCAGCGGTACCACATGGAACAGGAAAATAAGGTCTGCATATGAAACATGTTGTGCCTATCTAAAACAAATCCAATAGTAGGCTTACTAGCTTCTACAGGCTAAAGCAACTCAAATCTCTCACCAGCAAAACACCTCGTCAGTTAAATGCCATTTTATGTTTCATTACTATACGATACAGTGTTTATTATCATTATAGTATTACTATTTTGGCGATTAGATAAAATATTAATTATATTTGATGCAATTTTTGTTACATTTCCATGACTTTTCCAAAACTTTGGGAAAAATATTGTTTTCCATAACTTTTCCAGGGCCTGGAATTAGCATTTTGAATTTCCATGACTTTTCCAGGTTTTTAATGACCGTAAGAACCCTGATCTATAATAACACTTCAAGGGGTTCGGTTCATTAACAAAACAAAATGCAAAACCATGTGCCTGTGTAACAGTTTGACTCACCGGATCAAACACCAGCATCCTGCAGAGGAGGTGCACGGCTTCATGGGTGGCTTGGCCTGACAGTGTGTACAGAACAGGAAGTGATGGCTGTGGACCAAAGAAACATCATTCAGCTTCTGCTCAACTTTAACAACATGTGCGTCAATGATAGCTTTCAATGTGCCAACAGGATGTGGGGAGGAAAACTGCAAGCAATAGATGCATGGTTTCTGAATCTTCAATATTCAAAAAGGTCGCATCAGGGAATGTGGGGAAATATTGGTGACGAACTGCCAAGGTAAAAACCTATTTTAGACTTATTCATACTTAAACACCACTGTATATATTGTAAAACAGCTGTTATGTATTACAATGTGCACATTTTTACTTTAACTTGTTATGATTATAGATATTTCTATTTGATGTCCTCTTTATTGGATAATTTACTTCAGCTTTTAATGATTGTAAACATTTCTTTATTTTTGTATTGCACATTCTGACTTGAACTTCTTGAGTTTGTAACCCACTCAAATACATGCGACCTGAGTGAGTTAAATGTCACTCTTTCACCCTGCAATAAGGAGCAGCTCCAACTGAGGGCAGTGCTGGGGCAGCAGAGGGTCTGCATTTTCAGGGTTCAGGTATTTTAAATTGAATAAGTGTTCCTTCATTTTGTATTCTCCTACTCCTCTTTGAAAAATAACTTACTGCTTGTTCATATATGTTAAATAATTATATTGTGTATCAAGTGAGTGTTACAAATTAATGTTACATGTTTATAGACTATTATTCTTTTACTATACCTCTTACTGGACATTTCATTGACCTCCTATAGTTTTTCTTTTACCGGCAGTGGCTCAGTCAGTAGGGGCTTGGACTGTGAGCCGTAGGGTCGCCGGTTCAAGTCCCAGAACCAACCTAAATGTGGAGTATGGACTGCTACTTGGAGAGGTCCCAGTTCACCTCCTGGGCCCTGCCATGGTGCACCGGACAACCCCCCACCCCCCCCACTCCCGCTGTACAATAGCTGCCCACTGCTCCTAGTAAGATGGGTTAAAAGCAGCTCTGCATGTGTGACCATTAAAGAGGGTTTCATCCCTCCAATTCTATCTATCTATTCTATAGTTACATTTTATTTGTTTATCTTTTTATTTTACATTCTTACTTTTAATTTATTTAAATATGTTTGTTCTATTATCTTTTATTTGACATCTTTGACTTCTTCTGTTTATATAAATATTTGTATTAAACGTTCTAAATATGTATTTATTTGATTCCAAAATGGAATAACAAATCACAAAACCCAACTTCCCCCGGGATAAACAGAGTGTTCTGATTGGATGGATTGGTGTCATTACAGCGTCTGTACTGTACAATGATGAAACCCCGGTATCTCTTCATCAGCCTACCTGTTTGTGGGGTCCTCTGACGATGTGTGTGCGGGCCCCTTCACACGCCGTCCTCATGGCCTCCATAGAGGGAGTCCCCAACAGGTCAGTGATCAGATCCAGCTGCACGGTTAAACACACGTTATGGTTCAGCATGCCGGATCCTTTTCTTTAAGAACAGAGGAATTTATTTCATACCAGCGAGAAGTAACTAAATCCCACCAGTAATACCATCCTCAGACATTTTAATGTACTCCTTTGTTTATATGAATATATTCTAATTATTTAAAAAATATATATTATTTTTTTTTTTTAATTTATAATGTTATAATATTTTAGTATTAATCTATTTTAATAAATGGTATTGTTTATTTTATTTTATTCAAAGATGTTGGGCACAAAACCCAACTTGCTTTTTGAATGTGTCTTTGTTTGATTATGTATGTCTATATGTATATATACTGTATGGGGGTGTGCAGGTGTGTATGTATGTATTTGTATTTGATTATGATCTCCCTGTCTGTATCACACAAACAGAAGATTGATAAATAAAAGTATTGATTGTGATTCTTCTAGAATATTTAGAGACACCCAATGAAGCTTTTGTATCATGAACAACTCTCAAGCCGTCTGTACCACAGAACCACTGTTCACGATGCTGAAAACACCATCTTTTTAACACAAATACTGTTTTAAATTCACCAATGCGTAGTTATAGCTTCCAATCTACCTTATTACCATTACTTAAGCTCGAAAGGCTTTTAATGTGAAACGTGTGCAGGAAGTGTTTGGTTTCACAGGCGGCAGATTAACAGTGACGGGGGACAATGTGCAAAAATAAAAGCAGCTTGGAAACAATCAGTAAATAATTGATGTTGTGGAAATGTACATTATCCTGAATGTATCAAGACAACAAAAGTAACCATAGAGAGAGTGTTGAGTTACCAGAAAGGTTTCTCACTCAAATATGATGAAATATAAAACTGGAAATTGACAATAAAGGCCTGGTTGGTTCTCTATGCAGATAACAACAGCGTGACTATTGTAAAACCCTATTTTGTGTGTACATTTTATTCGATTATGTATGTGTATATAGTATATGAATACTGTGTGTGTATTTAATTTAGGGCTGGGCAATATATTGATATTGTGATTGGACTGGATATCATCTTAGATTTTGGAAACTGTAATTGTAAGTCTTTTTTTTTTTAAGGGCTGTAGAGTAAATTGAATTAAATTCACTATGTAAATCAAGCATCAAAGAAACCCCTATGGATGGATGATGAACCGTTACCTGCTGGATGGGACTCTGGGCTTGGAAGAGGATGCGTCTCCCCAGCAGCTCAGCGAAGATGCAGCCCACAGACCAGATATCGATGGAGTTGGAGTAATGGCGGCTCCCCATGAGGATCTCAGGAGCCCGGTAGTACTGCGTCACCACTTCCTGAGTCATGTGTCGGGACTCGTCCGACTCCTCCACCCGGGCCAGGCCAAAATCACAGATCTGGAGAGCAGTGGTTCATAGGTTACTACACCTGTCCCATATTTTACTTTTTCCACTTGATTCATTAGTCTGTGAAGATTTGATTATTTCACCAATGTATTTTAAAACCATTTGTTTTGTCTGAGTTTTCCCCAGATCGGCCTTGAAGAAAAGAACACGTACAATGCATGTCAAATTGTCCTTTAATAACTTGAATCTTCCTAAAGCCTGTAAAGTTAACAACTTATTGACACTGTGACAAAGGTATTGAAAAAACTCTGTAGTTATAGAGGTTTCCAATGTTCTTCATATAGCCCCAAAGTACAGACCTATAGCCCAAGGTACATACTGTACTTACCAGCCAACAGTTTTGGTTGATGAAGTTAACACAGATACAACTATTGTTCATTACATTACTTTGTGATGCATTGTGTCCATGAATGTTACAACAAAATACAATGCAGTAATAAGACTATCAAGAACAGCTTGTAAAATGACAATGGAGCAGAAATAAAACTCTCTCTGACGAGTTTCTGTCTTATTGTCCCCAGTTTGGAGATTGATTGTGAGTCTCTCTGACATGTTCAGTTGACTTAACCCTCCTGTTGTCTTCGGGTCAAATCTGACCGATTTACTACTTTCATCAATCATAACTTTTTTGTTTTACATTCGATTGCATTAAGGCTTTATGATATCCTCCACAGTAGACATTTGAACATATCAAATTGCTGATCACCACTTTCATTGAATATTGGATGATTTAGTCAACTTTGTAACACCCATGGTGTTCCCGGTGACACACACACACACACACACACACACACACACACACACACACACACACACACACACACACACACACACACACACACACACACACACACACACCACACACACACACACACAACACACACACACACACACACACACACACACACACACACACACAACACACACCCACACACACACACACACACACACACACACCACACACACACACACACACACACACACACACACACACACAACACACACACACACACACACACACACACACACACACACACACACACACACACACACACACACACACACACACACCACACACACACACACACCACACACACACACACACACACACACACACCACACCTGGCACCAGCGACGTGCAGTCAGTGGAGGCAGGGTCATACTCCAATGTAACGGAAAAACAATTAAAGAAAAACTAAATAATAATAAAATGTCTCCACTGATCTTGTGTAAATGTGATTTCTGTATGATTCCAATCGCATTTTATAGTCAAATCAGCAAATTTGCCGAGCTCCGCTACGGGGAGCGATGAGAAGTGAGGCAAGCACGAGCACTGCCTCACGTAAGCCCACAGTAACTTGCTGGAGCGCGGGCACTAATTTAGCGGGGCCACTTATTTTGTGAGCGCGCTCAAGCCATTTACTGTGGGGTGACACATTCTGAGGGGAGGCACAGATGAGCTCTGCCTCACTTCAGAATGTGTCACCCCACAGAAACTGGCTGGAAAGCGGGCCCTAAGCGCATGCCTGTTACCATCTCACTGTAGGTCACCAATGTGATGTTTGTAGATCCCTTTATTACATTTATCCTCGCCATCCATAGTCTCTAAATAACTTATTTCACGTATACTGTATATCATATTTAGGCTCGCTGGTCTTATCATACAAAGGCAATGAAACAATTACATGGGGAGGCAGCCATAACCTCTGCCGCACTGAAGGGGGCGCACGTGAGCCCACAGGTTCTTGTTGCTACTGTTATTCTACCGCAAACAACAAACAAAACTTTTGAAACTACAGGAAGATAAGGAGGACTTTTACAAAACAGTAATAGAGATTGTTGTCCAGAAGGATAGCATGGACTTATATTCATCTTCAAGTCAAGGTAAGACCACAACTGTAATTAAAATGGGATCTTACTTAGAAAGAACAATCCAATATTTAGATTTTGGGTATCCTTGTGTTGATCGGTCTGTTTAAAATTAATCATAGCATCAGACTAAAAAAGCTTTTGAAAATAACAGAATATTTCGATTAAGGTCAAAATAGGCTATAATATTTGTAAATCTGACTGAAAGAGTCAGTGCCTCACCAGCCATGAACCTCACCGCACGTCACTGCCTGGCACACATGTTCAGGCCCAGGCTCCACGGGAACGCATACGGCAAAACGCATCGGAGTAACGCAAACCCACACGCAATATACACCGGATTGTGTCAAGCTCCACGAGACGGCTCCGTTTACATCCAACCGCTGGAAAAGCTGCAGTACATATGCCGAGCCTGTACGTGGCGCTGTAACTTCCTCCACAAAAGCAGCGAAGAAGAATGGTTGTCATGGCTGCACTTCTGTTTATTCTCCGCGGTGGGGGCCGACGGAACCGGGCAGAGTTTTTCGCCGGTCAACGTGTGTTAAAGTTTAAATCTTCCGGACAAAATTATAAAAGTGCCGGTCAAAGGTCTTCTTTGTTATTTATTGAGCTTTAAAACAAATGAATAACGACGATATAATGATATATAATCATAAAATACACGGAGCCTGTCTCTTTTTCCTCTCTTCTGACAGCGTCAGTGTCTGTCTCATGCAGCAGCTGATCCTGTAATGAGTGACCCGACAGTAAAAATAAACATATTTATAACTAGTTTAGGTAGTTTGAGAGGTAATTAAAATAGCTAAGGGTGATGATCTGACTTGAAGTGTGTGTTTTGCTCCCGCTGCATCACAGCGGGAGGAGCTGCGTGTCTCCGTCCTGTCAGATTAGACTTCACTCGCGTTTATGTCCATATCGAGATAAAGATAAATAATCTGAATTCAGTGTGCAGTGTACTTTTGCGGGGGTGAGCAGCAGAGGCGGGGAGAGGCGGGGCTATTGCGTCGTCATTATCAGAAACGGATGACCGTATAGGCGACCCCGCGGCCCCGTTGGACCCCCCAGAGCGCTCCGTTCCCAGATCTATCCACCTTTGGACCCGTTGTCGTTTGCAGGGTCTGTTTCTAAGTTTCCGTTACGGCGTCGTCGAGCTTAAAGGGCTATACGCATGAGAAATATGCGGATTCAACCCGTTTTCGTTCCCGTGGAGCCTAGGCCTCAGTGTCTATTCTTTGTATATTTACTGCAGTTTTTCATGTATACCAGTAGTCTGATACAATATGTACAGTTTGAAAGTTAAATGACATTTGGTGATGATTAATGTTTTTTGTGTTAATGTAATAGCAGTTAAAACAGGACCGGTCAAATTTGACCGCGAACACCAAAGTAAGTGGGGGAAAACAAAGACAATAGGAGGGCTAAAGAAGGATGGCCAATTAAAGCCTGTTTCATGCACCTTGAGCACACAGTTGCTGTTGACCAGGAGGTTGCCAGGTTTGATGTCTCGGTGTAGAATGCCAGCAGAATGAAGGTATTTAAGTCCTGGTGATGGTACGGTGCAGGAGGAAGAGACAACAGGAGAGAATATTACACCAGACATGGTATAGATTTGCAATACTTTTAATTTCAACCAGTTGCTTTTATCTTTTCCAACTTACTTTGAAAGAAACCAAAACACTGAAGTTGAATAAAGTGAACAATGGCAGGAAAGAGGATTTCAAAGAAAAGTAGCTGAGAACCTACCTCGTAGAATCTGATAAAGAAACACTTTGGCGTGGTCCGAGCTCAGAGGCTGTGGTGATACGATGATCTTATGGAGGTCACTTTGCATCAGTTCAGTCACCACATAGCTGACCAGTGGGACATTAAGGGGGGAAACAGAAACACATCCAACAGCACAAACAGCAAATCTCACTGAGAACCTCTGTGTTCTAAAGCCATACTCAATATCTTAAAGTTCAAGTTAAGCCTCAGAATCAGCAGGGCTCCTGTTTCCAACTATACCTAAGGACAGCCCTGTCCTTACGGGTTTTATATGTAGCATCTTAGAAATAAACAAGATCAAATAAACAGTTTAGTGTTTTCGTGACAGCTGATTTGGCCTCCTTGCCCTTAGAATATTTCTATCTTGGATATCAATTGTACTTGACTTGAGGCAAATATTTAACATTTTAAGCCATTCTCGATCTCCACAAGGTATAAGAATATATTGCCACAATACAAACCAGTCCTCTGTTCAACCCAAAAATTACAATATGTCTTTTTTATTTATTTATATATTATATTAATTTTGCTTTAAGTCATCAATTAACTCATATTTAATGCACTCGTCAATTTACTAGAGTTTGGGCAATTTTGCTTACACAACATGTCTTCTTTTAGAGGGAAACATCCAGAAACAGAATACTAAAAATCATCACTTTGTTTTGTTATTGTCCAACTTCAATAACAACTGAAAACTGCTATTGAAATGGACATGTTGTGTAATGTTTATGATTGTTAGAAGTTTGACGAGATACTACAGAGCTGTCCAATTCCCCGAAGATAACCCATGGTGTCTGGCAACAGGTATCAACACAGAACCCTCTTTGAATGAATCATTGGTGAAGGATACATTTCTTCAAAGTAGTCAATGTGAGGAGGTTGTAATATGTCCAGAGCAGAGAGAACCTGAAGAAAAAGGGAAAGCCAAGATATGTTGTTTTCAGGTTGATACCAGGTGTGAGACCGAGACATCCAAAGACATCTATAGACTGCTTTTCAGTCGTCATGCTAACAAGGCTAACGTTACTAATCAAGAGAATCAATCCTGAAAGTTAGCTGTGAGTTGAAGCAAATGTTCATAGTCGCCAAAAGACTGTATACTAAATGATTTGTCAGTAACATGACATCACTGGGCTCCAAGTGTGCAAACTCTATGGGCCCAGGTCCCCAGATGATCCAGGTCTTTTTGTACTCCAGTTTGGCTTTGCATGCCACTGAGAAATGTTTATATGAATGAAAGGGGGCCATGCCTCCAACGCTCTATCCATTTCTCTTTAAACATCCATGATGAGAATGAAATCATTGATTGGAAAAGCTTGCGACTAGTGCTAGCGTTGATAGACTTGTCGGTCACATGACTGCCATTCACAATGGCCTGCAGGTAAAGAAAGGGGTTCTACACGTGTGTTTGCAGCTGGTACTTACGTTTTCATGTTTAAAGAAGCATAGCATCTTCAGCTCCCGAAACACCCTCTTGCAAGAAACAAGGTTTTGGAAGACATTCGGCATTTTTTTTAGGGCAACTCGCTTTCCATCTCTGGGGTCTGTCACTGACCTGAGGGAAGAGAACCAATAAGAAGAAGATTTAGTGGATCTTTTGAGGATTTCATATTGTTAATGTTAGATTGATAGAGTAATCATGTTGTATTCATAGTTGGGAAGCCTATCTCTCTCTCAGTGACTGTATGGTCATGATTTTCAGAATATTCAGGGTCCCCAGGGGCTGATTATTCATTATATTTTAGACGCCTTGACTTTTTCTTTTGCATAACTGAGAGTTTTAATATTGAGAAGAAAACTATCCAAGTATGGTGGAAACCATTTGGTGAAATGAAATGAGATATTCTGTGAATGTTCATAGTCCCCTGAGGATGGTTCATAATGTTTTTGCTGACATTTTCGATCCGTTAATGTCAATAGAATAATCAAATAGCTGAGATATCTTTTATGCAAGCTTGATTATTTGTCTGATCTTGGATTAGGAAAGTGTAACAAGTAAATGAATGAAGGGATAAGGGCAGAAAGAATACTTTATTGCCCACCCCAGTGTTTGTTGGTTGAGCACCTTTGTGAGGCCAAATCTTAATCTCCACCCTAAGGTCTAAGCCCTGAACCCTTTAGGGACTTAACTGACGTCAGAGGTAAGTGCTTGAGTGCTAGATGCTGCAAAGGCTCATGAAAACCATAAACATAAAACACTTTATGTCAATATATTAAGTTCCCTTGTCAATGACAAACATGTTGTCTATGATTTTGCCTTGTGGGTTTGGGATTTCTTTTATGTACGTTCTTTCTTTCCTCACTGCCAAAGCACTTACAAGCTAATTGTTTGATTTGACCATCTTCCAGGCTTTTCCAGGTAATCGTCAAATAATAAATTAAATGTTTTTTGTCAAATGTAGCATCATTCAGCAGAAGTCCAAATAAATGGTTTCCAAAGAAATGATGCATAATGTACTGCCAATGCGTGAATTGTAATGATTTGTTATGTTTTCCCTTGTTATTGTAGGGATTCTACCTCCATAAGATTTTGAAATGTGGGGATAACGTATCTCTTTTATTTAAGCTTCCAGGCTTCTCTTGGTAACCCTACGATTTACTGTAACAAACGTAATTCCCTCATGCAAAGCGTGCAGAAATGCAGACTTACACAAAGTGTGAATAAAGGGCTTAACGTATCTGCGATTGAGCCCTTATAGGCTTGTTGATGTGGCAGTGGCAAAGCCCTTAGACCTCACGCTCTTAGCCGGAACGTGCCTCAAAGTCCAAGATTCCTAGTGTGGACGTTTAGATTGGGCCTTATTTAGCGATAGTTCAAAACACTCTAAAGTGCAGGAAATGCAGAGATCAAAGCCTTGTGAGGAACACAACAAGTGTAAGTAAGAGTATTTGAACTCTACACACTAGTCCTTTCCAACCACCCTTCAGTGACCTTTACAAATAGGATCAGTTAAAGCAAACAGATGGCGGCGCACTAAGATCCAGTCTTTCACAAATACTTCAACGATGTTTTCAACCCTTGAGTACCAACAGCCACAGTGCTATATGGAAAGGTCTCATGCTGCTTGAAATTACCGTAAAAGCTCATTTTATCATTAATTATTACTTACAAGCCTTAAGTTAATTTGTTCATAGTTGAGTGTTTTCCGATTTGCTGTTAAACTCAACTCTTCCTTTGTGTGTACCAGTTGGCTTGATGAAATCAGTGTTCTGTGACATTTCCACAGCACTAATTCAATAAGCAAAACAAAGTCAAATTGTTCCGTACTCGCCACTTTGCTGCTCTCCCTTTGTTCTTCTGTAACAGAATGCACTTCCATTTTCCACTTTGCCCCTTTTAGATTGCTGTTAATCTCAGTTTTTTTCCGTTAGCATTATTTTCCGGACTTTGACTTTTAAAATCTGTTGACGGCTGACAAATTAAAAAAATCACATCTTAATGCTTAATGTGATACATCACAGCTTTTAATGCAAATCATCTGCGGGAAATATTTAGTTTTATTATGGTACTCAACAAAGTAAAACATCAGTTTGTCTCCTCAGGAGAACTGAAGAGGACGGACTCAATCATTTCTTTCAACCCTAAAGCCATCTATTAAGTGAACCCAAGCGGCACGCTCCAGTGCTGAACAATAAAGCCTTTGCAGCATTGCTAAACACTGGGTTCAACAAATCGAATCCTAAAGTCAATGGGTTTTTTTGTTTGTTAGATGCCTGTTATAAGGTCTGTAGTTAACAGAAATGTACCAATTTGCTCTACAACATAAAACACCCCATTTGTGCTTTTACATGTCTTAAAGAATGCTTTTGCTAAAGTGGCTAAATTATAATACTAAATGACATTACGCCAAACATTAGCCGCCTTTACCTTAACGGTGTTGACGTGGATATTATCATTCAAATTTGACAGAATGCAGTGTAGACAAGGATAACGCCTGAAATGGGCAAACATCCAAACAAACAAGTAGATAACCAATAATCATTTGTTAGCATTTCATTGAGATTACTGACGTTATTCACCTAGTTATTCTACTAGGTAATACATCTAGTCACAGTACTTGCACATTCCAACGACATGCTTTAGTCCACTTACAGCAGGTGCTAGTGTGTTCTGTTTCTGTTCATATCACTCAGTATTAAGATCAACTAGCAGGGATTTCAAAAATCATTGATTTAGATACATTATCACAACGAACAAACATCAGGATTAAATTACTTCTTGTTGTCAATTTACTTTATTGTAGGTGCCCATTTAGGCTACACGTTTAAAATATCTGAACTGCAATATTAGTCCATACAGTAATGCTACAATTTGACTCACATAAGAAGGCATTCAGTATGCCTCTATTACAAGTCGATTATTATATTATAATGAAATTAATGGGAATCAGTGGCTGCCTGGAGGTTTGGCGTGTACATAAGAGGATTAGGGCCACATATGAAATATTTGTTCATTTCTGAGTAAAAATGTTTTTTGGTTGAAAGGTTTTAAGATTTAGCTGAAAATTAATTTAGAATTCGGAAAAAAAAGTGATAATAACGATTTTTCTCAGATGTTTGACTTTTAATCACAGAACTCAAAATCAAAAAAACACTTGGTCAGAACTCAATACATTTTTCACAAGTGGCCCTAATCCTATTCCGTATACATGAATACTGGTACAGTCAGTGAATAACAATATAAATAAAAAAGTATTGCAATGCACTTACCAGACAACCCCGAACGCTCCATAGCCGATGGGCCTGTCAGACTCTATGTCCAGCTGCGGCTGCAGGTGGAGCGTGTGCTGCTGCTGCTGCTGCTGCTGATGATGATGGTGGTGCTGCTGGTGCTGGTGGTGGTGAGCTTTCCCAGCAGCGGCCGCCTGGACCTGGGCGGGAGCCGCAGCGGCTGCCGGTCCGGGAGCCTGTCCCAGAGCAGGAGACGGGAAGTAGGGCTGCTGCTGGCCGGGGTTGAGCATCACTGCAGCGGCAGCAGCAGCCGTGGAGCCGTGCTGCTGCACCGTGTGCACGGCGGCGGCGGAGCCCGGGTGCTGCAAGTGATGCTGGCCCGCGTGGTGGTGGTGATGCATGTGGGGAGGTGGAAGGTGCTGGAGTTGGTGGTGGTGATGCGGGTGATGGGCAGCTACTGTAGAGGAGCCACCGTTGTAAGCAGCCATCATTTTTGGAACATTTGTAGCCGTTGTGCCGCAAAGAGCCATTCAATGACCCGCCAGAAGCTGCCTCTAAAAGTGATGCAAGCTATCTGTCGACTGATAGAACTATTAAAAACAGTGGAAATAACAACACCTGCTACTTTAAAAGTGTGGGTAGAGAAACCATTGCGGTGTGCCTCCTCATCATAATGCCAACAAGGATCTGACCCACTTCCTCTCAATGAGTTTTCTTGCTTTCACACCATTAGGCTACTGTAGCCCGGGGCTAATATCGGAGAGCATGTCATGAGAGTACAGTAATGGCCACCCAAGTCTGAAATTATGTACAGTTTCACTGCCAACAATGATGAATAAAAAGTTTGGACTAAAAAGTAACCCGCGCCCCCCTCAATAAATAAAAAGTCGGTGGCCCTAGATGTCACTCATGATAGAGGTGGCGCCCCCTCCCTCCGGATGAGATTCCCCGTGTTGATAGAACAGTGTGATCTAAAGCCTGTCACATGGGAAGCAGATCATTCATCTTTTCAAAGTGTCCAAGTTTGCCTCGGCTCCGGTCTTCTTTTCACCACAGGGGCTCCACACGGCTCGCATCTATAACGCCAAACTGAGTCCTCCTCCCAGTGTGTGCGCAGGCCAGACACGGGTAATCTCCGAGCCGTAATTAACGCTGCTGATCCGGTGCACGGGAGCTTGTATCCAAACCCAGGCCACAACAGGAGAGCGCAGGCAGGGCCAGGCCTCGGTCCTCCACTCCACTCTACTCTACTCACATATTAATACACTCCAGCGAGGCGCGCATCTGGAAGGAAACCCCCGTCATTCTGACAGAGTTACCAAGCTGAGACCATGACTCAAAAGACGAGATGAGAAATCCTCGCAGACGGTTGGCAGGCAACTTATTTTCCCCATCGACCGCCTTGTTCCTGGTCACACTGTCGTCTCGCAGCTCATAGTCACATATCCAGGGGATATCGTAGCAGGGGGGGAAGTTGAATCCGTTGAATGCAGGATAAATTATCCAGCTGCCAAACTAGAGATAAACAGTCTTCAACCTGACAGCTCGGAGCTAGCAAAGCGGTGTCGCCAAATCACACAAACTGTACTTCCGTTTGAGTCGGTGTCGCTGAGTGTGTTCGCCGGAGAAGAGGAAGCACCCCCCGCCGCCTGAAGCTCTACACTCCGGGCCCCCGCCACTCCGTTGACACTGACATTATCAAACTATTGGTCACAAGGCTAACTATGATGTGCAGTTGATCCAACATGGTGAACAAACCCTTAGCGACTCGGCGGTGAGATTACGCAGGACTGCCAGCCAATCGCCTTCCGCAGCGCAATGACATCATGGTAATCCATCTGATTGACACCGTGCGCAGCCAATGATGTCTGCGGGCTGTGGTGAATGCTGCTCCGAGGAACCAATGCTATCCTCACAGAGACAGTGAATAACTAACTGACTGTTCAATTAAATTCAAGAAAATATCTGGCGTCAAGTCCCAAAACAGACCGATAAACCAATCAAGTACAGTGTATGTATTAAAAGAAGGAAACGGGATTTCCTTGTTAGATTGATTACAATATAATTCGGGGGAATTGTAGCCTTAAAATAGTGTGTTAATGGCTGAACATGGGTTTGTATTCCTTCATGTGTCAGTCGATGCAGGTGAAACTAAACTCACACATTCACAAGAGTTTACTGAAACTGCTCAAGAGTGACTTGAAAGGCGCTATACAAATGTAATCTATTATTATTATTATTATTATTATTATTATTATTATTATTATTATTATTATTATTACTGCACTCAAAAGAGTTTCAATCCGCCAACTGAATTCAGTTTCAAACATTTGTCAATTGCACTTCTATGAGTGCATACTCAATTTGTCATTATGCCCAAGATTTACATTGAGGCATTTTTCGCTATTATTGTATTGCAGGTTCCCTCCAACAAGGCTACTACAACATGGTGCAAATAAGAACGAAAGAAAAAAACTGTAAAACTGAGTAAATAAAATGGAATATATTATATGAAATATAGTACATTGACAGACTGGTATCAGTAAAAAAGTTAGCTTTGTTTGGCTTACGACGAGATGTCAATTGTTGCTGGCTCATTTCGTGGCATCTGCAGGCAGTGGCAAGTACTTCCGGCATCTGTCACAGATGCCACTACTCCGTGGCATCTGTGGCATGTACTTCCGGCATCTGCCACAGATGCCACTACTTGCCGAGGCATCTGCCGCTGCTGAACGGGGGTTGGCACAAGATGCCAGAGTGCAAATGCTGCTGTTTAAACCCGTATTTATCGTGTAAAATGTGATCTGTACACGGGACTGATGTGCGATCTCTATTTTTCAAAAAGATTATAAATTATCATTTCTATTCAATTTTACTTGGAGAACGTGGTTTGCTAAAATAAACAAACGTGCTATATTTATGATAGTAGGCTACTAAAAATATATTGTAATAAAAAAGAAATATTGGCGAGTGAGGGTTGCAACGCAAGCCCTTGGCAATTGTTGCGTCTGGAGGGGAGTTTCCACTGCTTGCTATGATAAACCAGGTGTATTATTACTAGTAAAGACAAATAATTAACAAATACATATCTGTATTGACACAGCAACGTGTACACTGGTGTTATTAGACTTGGCTACAGACTTAGGGCAGCTGTAACTGATTGCCGTTGCCACTGCTAGTAAGATGCTAAGGTTTATACTTTATAAATGAGGCAAAGGACAGTTATATTTGATAGTACACATGTATAAATGTGTTATTTTAAATGTAGGCATATGTACTTAATTTGTATTATTTTCGTTGTTAATAAACAGATCAATGTCATTGTATCTGTTTTGTTGTTTAATATTTTAATTCTGATTAACAATTTAATTTAAATTATTTAAATGATAAAATCCATTAATAGCGGATACTCATAATTTTGTATTGGCTATACTCTCTTACAGTTTGGCTAATCTGCGTCACAAATACACTTTTTTGGGAGGGGCAGTATAAGAACTGTATGTGTTTAAATCTGGGATTTTTCATCAGCCTTTATATTTATTTCAGATTTCAAATCCTAACTGTATGGCACAAACAACAATTTCAATTTATTTCCCTCAGGTTTGTCTCAAAATCATACGTTTTTGACTATTTGAGAAAGAAATTAAGAATAACCAAATCCAAAAATAGTAGGCTGTATGTATGGCAACATTTCTCAATGCTTCAGATGATTCTTATTTGATATTGATATCAGTGAATCTAAACAAACCATGTTATCCCGTTTAGACAATCATGACAGTATAGTAAAAAAGCAAGACACAATTCATGTTTTTTTATCCAACCCTTTTATTGTTTTTCGAAACTGGCGAACAATTTGTTATGCTTGACATCAACTAGTTCTTTGCAGAACGTTTCATAGTCCTTTTTTTGGATTACACTGTATAACTGTATGAATGTCTTGCTTGAATAAACAGATAAAGAAGACCAAATAATTAACATTACGAAATATTAGCAAGCAAGTAGTGGCATCTGTGGCAGATGCCGGAAATACCTGCCACAGATGCCACGGAGTAGTGGCATATGTGGCAGATGCCGGAAGTACTTGCCACTGCCTGCAGATGCCACAAAATGTGCTTGCTCTCTCTCAATTGTTGTCATGGTACCAAGATGTCAGGGCGCAAAGTTCCTCTCTGTATGCTGTCAGGCTTGTTCTACACAGCCAACTGGATGATGGTTATGGACAGGGGCGGACTCAGGCAGTCTGAGGGGCTGGGGCAGTAAAAAATAAAAGAGGCCCCAGCTGCCTGTGGTGGACCACCAGAGTGCAGGGAGAAGGTCTGGCACATAAAAGCCACCTTAGTGTGCACTTCATCACACTTTCTTCACTATAAGAGCTCCTTCAGGCCTTTTCTTTTGCGTGTTTTTCAAACTGGCTTTGGTATTTTTGGACTTCACCATGTAGGTGTGACTACAGACTGGAGCGCGACAAGTTTAAAATGTTTGAAAACATCTGTCAGTTGATGTGCAGACTTCCTGCAGCTGTGCCAGGGAGGCCCTAGATCTGTCTTGCGTGCGCTAAACAATTGAGGACTGCAGGAATAATTATTCATATTTATTTTTCTGTGCACTTTGGAGGGTGTGTTTTGCTTGTAATTTCCTCAGAGCTCTGAGTGGACTTGAATATTGATAATCTTGAAGCATGACTTTCCCACAGGTTTTATTTTATTTTAATTACATCACTTTTCCTATTTTCTTTCTCATCCACAGTCCATTTTTGTTGCACTTGACTTGGCCATGCGCATTAGTTAACGGCAACCATTCCCTATGTAACAGGCAGAGATTACCACCAGGTTAATGCAGGTGGCTCAGATTTATAAATTTAATTTAACATTTTGGAGACTATATTGACATTTTCAAGTTCTTCCAAGGGTCAATCCGGGTCGAGTAAATATGCTATAAATGAATGGAGTGAGGTAGATTGGAAATAAATTATGTCTTCCTAGGTCTATTGTCCTCGTTATTAAGAAAATAATATACAAATACAATACCTTTATTTGGAATTAAAGTCAGCCTAATTCAATTATGAACAACCACTAAACTGTAAGGGGCCCAAGGCCAATAAAACCTGAACACCATATTGAAGTGAATCATCTGCAAATAAATAGTCCCAATTCCTGTCCTACCAAAATCTATTACATGAATTCTGTAAATAAAGTAAGCCCTTGAGTTTTACTTCGTTAATTATGTTTTACTCAATCTACATATAACATTACATGTCATTTGTTAGACGCTTTTATCCAAAGCGACTTACATACTCAGTACTGCGGACAATCCCCACAGGAGCAATTTGGGGTGTAGTGTCATGCCCAGGGACACAACGACATGCTGACTGCAGTGGGACTCGAACTTGCTACCCCCTGGTTCGAAGTCCAGCACACTATCCACTGAGCCACAGCCTCCCTGTATATATAAAGTGCATAAACCACATAAGTTGTTAAATCCCCAAAACTAGCTTACATATTCATTAACTGTTCAATTTCATGAGCCTAGCTGATACATTCTGGTGCTTTTAATAACATTGACATTTATTCTAAAATAAATTCATTTATTTTTTGTTTATCACATTTGATCTGCCACTTATTCGCACAATCCTGCTCCACAGGCACAGCACAAGGTTTTTCCTGACAGTTTGCTATGGTGTATTGAAACAATGTGTGTTGTGTTGTAAACCAAAGTTTTCTAATGTTGGTTTTTGTTAACCGTGAGGGCATGTGAGTGCCTGTGAGTGCCTGAATGTGGCAGGCAAATCTTCACTGCTCTGCACTGCGCTTATAGGGCAATTAGCGCTGATAGCACAGTTGGCCAAATAGCTTCCAGCTATAGTCTTCAATAGAGTGCTTCAGGAATGAGTCCAAAACCTGGGAATGAGTTAGCATTTTGTCAATTTTCTTTTAACGTATTCTTGATTCGATACCTGAAAGGAGCCCTTTCAATGCCTACTTCTGGGTCGGCCTACAAAAATATGTAATTTTTCTGACCATTTACAAGCCTGTTTGTGGGAAGTATTTCCTCTGTTCGAGCCTGCCAGCATAAAATAAAAATAGATGGGACAAAGCCTTTGGCCCTGAGGCTGTGGAACAACCTGTCAACAACCTGGCAGAGTTAGTAACACCTTTTTTTTTTTTAAATAAGAAAATCTATAAATAAAACATTTAATCTAATTTCAGTTGAATTGTGTCTTTATTTATTTGTTATCCAATACCACAGTAATTACTTTTACACAATTCATATTGGTCCTCCTGTTAATAATGTTTAAAATACCTTTTCAATTCTCCACTTAATTTTGCAATTTTTTTTGTTGTGACCAGCTTTACGGACAAAAATGACAACAACAATAATTATAATAAATATAATGATTATTTATTAGCATTATTAGTATACTTTTTATTATCAGACCTTCCTTTAGTGTTTTATTTTGGAGGACATGACCGGAAGTTGCATCCTTTTCATGCTGGCGAACTTGACAGCGGTTTTCCTTGAGCCTTCCTGCTTCTGGCTGCTGACTGCCACGTCGAGCTCCGTAAGGAACAGCAGGTTATTAACTTACTGTACTTTCTGCTGTATCAAACCTGGCGTCTCGGACTCCGGTAGAAACACTGGAAGAACGGCCAAAACACATTCTCCGCGCGGAACTGTTCACAACTCCGACTATCTGTAAGATAACGTTACGTCTGACTTTATGAATCGTCAGCAGTATTTTCTCAGGGCTGTAACTTCACTAGCTCACATTTCCTAAAGTTAGTCCATGCTAACTAGCGTGAGGAGCCACCGGATACAGGACCGTACTGTTCCTCAGCCGCATATTGTAACGCGTTAAAGAACATGTGCTGCATTCTGGCCAACTGAATAACCTGTGCGTAAAGTCCATCATCGTATTAAGCTAGTTAAATTCCAGTAAGCAGACAAAGTCACTACCTTGTTTGTTTGTAGCCTTTATTTATCCAGGTAAAAAATCCCATTGAGATCAACGATCTCTTTTACAAGGGAGACCTGCGTACCTATTTGTACCTACTGCGTACCTTATTTGTACCTACTGCATGTAATGTTAGCTGACTGCTACTGGGCGGCATCAACAATGTGTCACTCAGCAACTGACATTACTAATGTTATCATCACTTTATTTGACTTGTTTTGTTACTGTGTACTAAGTTACCGGTAAGGTTATTTGACTTGTAAACAGTGACGTCATACATGGTTCAAGTGTCACCAGTCAGTCGAAGGGTGTAATGGTACACAACTTTTGTGGTTCGGTATGTTTTCAGTACAGCATGTAAAACAAAATTAATAATACATTAATACAAAAACTGAAACATTTCACATTGGCCACAAATCCTTATGTTTGTAGAATGCACAATATGCAGTTGTTCATAGTCCAGGCTATTTTTTTTACCAGGGTCCAGTATTCCACAGAGGTAGCCTTCTCTCTACTAAAAACACATTAGGTGATGAAAACCCGTAAATCAATGTATAAAGCCATTTTACTTCTCAGATGCTGCCAGCGCAACAACAAATGTCCAGGGACTGTAAGCTAAGTTACCTCTGATGTTTGCTCTATTTGTTTCTTTATCATTTAAGATTCTGATGAATTCACCAGGAACAGTCTCCTCTAAAAAAAAAACAGAAACTGTGAGTAAAACCGGTAAAAAAACACAAAAAAAAGGAGTAAGATGTTAAATAAATGTTTCTCCATCATGGTTCAAGGGAGTAGGATGGAGGTGCTGCAAGCTAACCAAACATTTTGGATCAGCTTCTACTTCAGGAGGTTTTTACGGAACAATTGGAGTTGGTCACACCACTGACAAATAACCCCTTGCCTGATCTGGGTTATAGAAACGTTTTGCACTCATGGATGTAATGACCCTTTTTCTGTTACTTGCATTAACAGCCCAAAAGTCCTCACAAAACAAGGTTTTTCACTAATTCTGCCATGACACATTGCTTTTGGAGGCTCGCTTTAAAGCGATGCAGGAATGATTCCTAAACCCAGAAATTAGTTAGCATTTTAGCACTTCCAGGGTACCTTGTCTCAAAGTCAATGTTTTCTGGAATTACTTTTTAGTTAAAGACCGCAAACAAGATATTTTGTTAATAAAAGCGAAACAGATCTTTGAGTTTTGTTCTCTGCAGTAAACACCCCAATGGGGAGTGTCTAGAGCTTTTACGTGTCTTACGACCTAACGCGAGTCTACCTTTTAGATTAGCAGTGTTGACGGGAAGTCATGGGACAGTCTTGTGGTTGTTTTATAGCCTAACGTTAGCTTTTTATTTCTGGCGATTGCATTTATGCTAGATCTATTATAAAAGTGGTGTTAATATATGGAGACTACCTTGTTGAACAAAACTGATTTCAACAGACCTTGTTTTTTGCAATATTAAAATATCCGAAGGAAAAATCCAATAGCTAATAGTTGAAGGAGCTATTGGAAGGTAACTTCGGTCAACAGTTACATTTTTAAAAATCTTTATACAAAGATGTTAACTCTTTCCTGTTGAACATTTTGCTGTGACTAATTCTAAGCTTAAGACCTTTTTCTGACCCGTGTTATCTGTCTTTGTCAGGTTCCTGTGAGCACAACAAAGAAGTAGAGGGAGCGGTCCTGGAGACAACATGAGGCAACTCAAAGGCAAAGCCAAAAAAGAAACGTCCAAGGACAAGAAGGAGCGTAAGCAGGCCATGCAGGAGGCCCGACAGCAGGTGGCCACCATAGTGCTGCCTACACTGGCTGTGGTGGTGCTGCTCATCGTCGTCTTTGTATATGTGGCCACCAGGCCTGGTGCTATAGAGTAGACATTCAAGTTCTGCTGAGAACACACAAACTACAAACTGACAATGGCTATACCCAAAGGATTACCCCCTTCATGAGACTACCGTCCCTCTGTAGGCCCATGTCTAGCCTACCAATTGTCTCAATGAAAACCTCCCCCAAAAGTGCATCTCTTTGCTCTGACCAGGATTCAAGCGGCAAAAAGAAGAAATCAAACAGAGCGAAGAAACCTCTGTGCCTTCAGACGATTGAGAATGTTATCCTGTTATTTCAGAGTAGCAGATAGATTCATGTTGATGTCTTAGAAAAAGATGCAATACCATGCGTACCAAAGGACACGTGCACAGCTTGCCAAGTTTGACCAGAGGTGTTAAACATTTTTTTAAACCTTTGACTCGGTGCTGATCTAAATATTTCTAGTTAATGCAACATTAGCCCGGTCTCTGACATGTACCACTCTTTGGACAGCACTCACACATATCTGTATGAATATGTATGTATGACTTAGGGACAAAGAACACTTCCGGTTTTTCCTAAATGCAGCGCCAGAGTTTTTTATTGAATGTATTTGTAGAATGTGTTATCTCCAGTCCAGTATGTTAAAACACACATGAATCTTTTCATCTTTAATGTGAATGTTACCCAATTTGTGTCCATTAAGTTATTGACAAGCATACATTTGAATCACTTATTTCATCTGTGAGATTTCAACAAGGTGCCTTAACAGATTTGAAACTGTATCATTTAAGTTCAATAAATTACTTTTTAAATAATTTGGAATTTGTTTAGTGTTCGAGAGTTTTGATTTATGCACATTAATGTTGCATTTTTATGTCTTGTATAAAGTGTATCTCAGTTTGTATCTGTCTTGGTAGAATCAGGTAGAGGATATAATGAATGAGATCCAGACCCAATGACCTTATATTTAGCTACGGCTATCGATATTGAATATGGTCAGTGTTATTCTGGACTTAATGCATTCTTAAGGGTTAAATTATATATGTTTTTACTTTGGATGGCTGATGACAGTGCCTTGAAAATATTAAATGAAACTGGACAACATTGACTGAAACTTGAGAATCAGAATATTGAAAAAAATTCAACTAAAACTTGAGAATTTTGATTGAAACTGGACAAAATTGAATGAAACTGGATAATAGTAACTAAAACGTGAGAGTATGGAACAAAATAGAATAATTTTGAATGGAACTTGAAAAATGAATGAAAATGTAGATTAGAATGAAACTGGGTGAATATGACAGATACTTGGGAATATTGAATGAAACTTGAGAAAAATGAATGAAATAGGAGAATAGTGGCTGCACCTTGAGAATATTGACTGAAACTTAACAATTTTATCAAAACTAAGAATATTGTCAAAAATGTGACTGAAACTGAAGAATATATGACCCCTGAAAATATTGACTGGAACTAGGGAATATTTAATGAAAGTTTGAACAGCATGCGGCACTGTCAAGTTAGCTACAGCAGCGTGTTTTTGTTACTGTTTTCTTTCATCCTTATGCCAATTCTAAAAATGAAATACAGATTCTGTATGAAGTCATACAGCAGTCACAAGGCAAAACATCCGGATGATTTATTTATCTAAGATTCTTATTAAAGCTGCTGGTTTTTAATCAAACACACACAAGACATTCTATCATATATTTTGCATTTAAAAAAGCGAATTCTTGTTTGTTTGTATACCCAGGATATTATTTATTCTAAATAATTATTCAGCTTTTAGCACAAGTATAGGCCAAACTGCCATGTCCCAAATTATGTTTGATCAACTTCCATAACAGATATAGAAAATAAATCAAACAAATCAAACAAATACAAAAACATTCTACATTGTTGTTGTATTTTGTTTAATTTGTATTATTAATGATCTTTTATTGTTTAAAGGAGAGGTGTCATGCTTTTCCGGTTATTACCCGTCCCCTTGTGTGTTATGAAGGTTTTTATGCATGTAAACGGTGTGCAGAGTCAAATCCCTCAAAGTACACCCTGTAGCGAGTAAAACTCTAACACAGAAAATACCTCCCCAAAACGCCTCGTTGGAGATACGTCACTGCCCATTTGATTCTTCCGGGTACGGGATGATGTAATCCCGTACCCGGAACTAAATGGACCAATCCGTGGAGCCGTTACATTACGTCGGCGGAGCCGTTACGTTAAGCCCCCGCTGATTGGTCCAAATTGACCAATCCACAGACTTCCTCACACACAGGCAGCTCTGCTGATTTCTCCTCCCTGGCTGCAGGCTGATAACAGACAGTTGGGATCGCGGCGAAATTCTCTCTGCAGACCCATTCTCACAGCGTTTATCAACCTTTTTCTTACTTAATATTAAGCCACACTTATTGTTTTTAATTCGGCTGTGAGTTTGTGTGTGCTCAGGATGAGTTTGGCTGTGTTTCGCTATGTATCCTAAACACAGTAGCGTGGCGTGGGGGAAAATGTAGGGGAAGCCCATTTTTTTGGGTTGGTTGTGGGGGGGGGGTGATTACAGCGCCCGGTATCATTTTACACACATTTGTATCACACAGATGCAGGACTTGCACACGCCTGTTATCTAACCGACAGGTCCGCACGCACTCTCCAGCCGAAACTCTCGTTTTATTAATTTAAGCATTTTCTTATTAATTAATTAATTAATTATGCAGACACACCCCCCCCCAAATGCAATACCAGCCGCTCAATGTGCAGTGCATTCATTCCCAAAGTAAATCAGGAGACCTTTAAAGTTTTATGTACACATCAAAGTATCAGTATGAAACACATGAATTCAAAAACAATTATGTACAGAAACATTTGCATGCGATAGTCCACCTTCTCTTCCCTTCCCTTTCTAACACACGGCAAGTGCAGCAACAGTCCTCGTCTCTGTAATTAGCTCAGTCCGTAGTCCAAAAGTAACTAAAAAATATAAACAATCTCATCTATTCAGGTGAAATCGCCAGCCGCCTCTGAAGGGAAGCCAGAAGCAGCTGGCTTCCCTTGGCATGGCCCTGACCAATCACAGGTTGGCAGGGGCATCACGTGGGCCTCATCTGATTGGTCAATCCCTCAATTTTTTTCACCAAGGGAAGCCCAATCCGACTGGCCTCCTCTCGCAACAGTGAATGCAATCTACTGTTTCACCATAACATCTAGAGGGGCGCTGATTGTTTCACTCTTTGTAAAATACTCAATGAGAGTGGGGGAGAGACGGGCCGGCAGCAACACACAGCAAAGGAGAATTATCTAAACAAAACAAAGTGTTTTTATTTATTTATTTAAATTATAACTACAATCCGAAAAAACAGGGGAAGCCTGGCTTCCCTTGGCCTCCGGGAGAAAACGCCACTGCCTAAACAAGGAAACAACACCTCCACGGAGCTCAGCGCGATTCACAACGTCCCGACCAATCAGAGCACACTGTGCTCACAGGGAGGGTGGGGGCTGGAGTTATTGGAGCTACAACGAGCCGTTAAAGGCAGAGAGTGAAATTCAGTGAATACACGTAGTTTACAGAGATGCTGTATGAGAAACCAATGTGAGTTTGGAAAAATGCACAGTATAAATCTATTTTAGTATACCTCAACAATGGAATTATGATCAGTGGAAATGGCCATGACACCTCTCCTTTAAAGTTTTTTTTTTAAAGTGTGTGTCCCATAGTTGAATGTCCCCCCTGTCACTCTGATTTAAATCCCCTGGCCACGCCCCTTCACTATTCTACCATTTTTAGGACTCAAGAAGAAGAATTCATTTTGCGCAGGAAAAGTTGTTTTTTAAAGAGCTTGATTGTTGTGGAAAAGCACAACATGTCCACCTTGTTATGCTTATTTTTTGTGGACATTTTTTAATTTAGAGAATATGGTTAATATATGTTTAAAATATATCTTTCTGTGGTCACCAAATGCTAGCTTGATTATCGTCACACAAGTAGCAATAGCCACAATTTGCATAACATGTCCACCCTGTTACTATTTTCACAGTAACAGTAAATGTTGACCATAATGTCATAAGCTGGACCGAAATATTGTGCTTATACTTTAACAAGCCATCATTAATTTTAAATAGGAATAATATTTTTACCCCAACAGGTACCGACCTCGACCAGGGGAAACAATGTTCCTTGCAGCTATACAAAGCCCCCTCCCATTTCATCTTTGTGACAGTCTGACCATACTTCCCTGCTTCTGCATCTTTTTTATTCCAGTATGATTAAAGGGTCAAACTATCAGAACAAAAAAGATGCAGTGAAAGCATGTTCAAGATAAACCACATCAACCTGGAGGTTTATAATTCATCAATGACATCAAACATCAGCAAATGTGTTGCAGCGTCTTTCCTGAAATGTTTTTGTCTAAAAGTAAAGACATTATGATACAAAATTAGGGCATATAAATAAATCACCAGCATGCACGAAATGAAGCAGTTTGATGCTCACATTTCTAAGACACCCTGCTTATTGAGGGTCCTCTCCTATTCTTGAAACGGAACATAGCCTACGCCCTTGAAACAGACTCAAATGGACAGTCAGTCAGGAAACATCACTTCAGACCCTTCACAATCTGTTGCAACAATATTTTTATTTTTTATTTTACTCTTTGTTTTGTCAGCTTTACTGTCCTTAACGGTACAGTAGCTTCCTGAGCTGTTGAGAGCAACGAAAATATAGTTTCGTGTATATAATATTTTTTTCGTGTAATTTTGGTTATTTTATTTGTGGTGTTTATTTTCAATACTGTGTACATTTATTTTAAGAATGACTAAGATTTAATAATGAAAACAGAAACATCCATTCTTAGCACAGAACACATTCTGATAGGCCTGATCATGCGCTGTAAACGATCTGCCACTTGCCAGAATTTCCTCCATTAGCAGCGGAAGTCATGAAAATCATGGTCAAAATAAAACAATAACATGAAAACTGTTGCAGTTCATTGAGAAGAGCATCTACTCACATTATTATGTGGGTTAATCCCTGCAAACCTGGAGGTTGTTACATCTAAACTACATTTTATTCAGCCTGAAAGCAGATAAGACCACACTAGAGGCTAAAACTACAGAAAACAGAAACGTTTAACAGACAGAGGTCTTTTCTTGGCTGTTTTTATCACGTTTATGTGTGAAGTGTTTTTTCTCCCTCTGTAATCGCTTTGTCATTCCCAAAAAACATCCATATTCGTATTTATTAATTCGAAAAACATTTCGTCAACAATCGTTACTTTGAAGATTGTGCCTGGAAGTGTTCCGTTTCATTCCCGCTAGCTTGACCCTGGTCTCCAACACCTCCCATCAATTTCTCTGAAGAAGACTTCCGGTGGTGTGTCATGGCGGTGGCATGGTGAAGCCTACAGAAAGGGAAAAATACTCGCCCCTTTCGTCCTTTCCCATCGATTCAGGGCAGATTTTCATTCATAAATAAGTCTGTCAAGCTCCGGCCTCACACCTTGGATTTAGCAGCCCAGCGTTGCGGTGTCCCTCCGCCCGGCCATGGCGGCTCACAAACCAGTGGAGTGGGTCCAGGCCGTGATTACTAGATTTGATGAGCAGGTAAGATGGGTTGATTCAGTGGATGGGTGTAGCAAGCTTAGGTAGTCTCGAGGGCCCCACTACCCCGGCAAACGTTACATTTACACGGACGACGTTTTAAAATACAACATGTAGGGAGTGTTATCCCGTCGGGACTAGTTTTCCGACGGAAATGTGTTCTGTGTTGCTTGTCCCAGCTGCAAAACACTGAAGATGAGGTCTTTCTAGCTAGCGCCGTCTCCACGATCAATTAGCAGATGTATCCCGCATTTGTCCCGGGATTTAGACGGACTCAGCCGCCCCATTGCAAAATAATACACAATAAAGCAACATGGCAGGGACATTTGGACTTGCTCATAAGCGTCTGTGTGTCAATTAAAGTTCCTAAGCTGACATTTTCTTTCGTGCCAGCTAGGTAGCTAACATTAGCAGGCCTAGCTATCTAATGTAAACAAATAAGATGTGACTGTGTTAGCACGCTGTATTCATATGAGCTAATGAGGTTAGAGTTATGTGAGGAAACATCAGCAGTAAGAGTGACTGCTGCTCTCCCTGCTAGCTATTTTTTTAATGATCCATTATCATGTAGTCTCCTTGATATTGCAGGTGAAACAACCATAGTGAATGGTGTTATTTTCTCACGAGCAATCATTTTCATTTACTCATATTGAAACTGTGAATAGAAATGTCAACAGTGTTTGTAAAACTCCTCTGTTGTTAAATTAAACCTTAACTGAAGAGCCTTCTGTAATAGTCAAGCTATGCAGCCTATATACCCAATATCAGAAATCACAGTCGGATATAGTTAATAGTTAATGTCCTCAACACTCAGAAATCCCAATCAGTTTGCATTTCTACTTTTCTTTGTCGTTTGAAGGGAAATACAAAATAATAAGTGACCGCTGCTCTCCCTCCTAGCTATTTTTTTTTAACATTCTTTATCATGTAGTCTGCTTGATATTGCAGATTAAATATCCATAGTAAATGTTTTTATTTCTCCCAAGGAATCTATCTCTTGAGATATATTTTACATGGGCTATTACTTTCATTTTCTCATATTGAAACTATTACTAAATGTCAACAGTGTTTGTATAACCTTAACTGAGGTGTTTTCCGTAATAGCCAAGCGATGTTTATACCCAATAACCGAAATTACAGTCAGATGTAGTTAATAGTTAATTAATGTCCTCAGCACTCAGTAATCCCAATCGGTTTGCATTAATACAATTCTCTGTCGTTTGAAGGGAAATCTGACCGCCGGTTTGTGTGTGTTAAGTCTTTAAAAGTCTTGGTCTCTGGTGTAAATTTCAGCAGATCATGCACTGAAGCCAGGGTTTAGCCGCTCAGGTTGGATTACTACCATTGGTTTAAGGTGTTGTATCCGCTTCTTGGTTATTGTTATCCTAAGCCCCAACTAAAGCCTTCCAGTCCCAATAAATATGCTATTTATTATTGACACTTGAACATTTCCCTTGCTTAAGTAATGTGCGTGGTAAATTAAAAGTACAGTCACACAAGAGAAATGATATAGCCTGATCATAATCCTCAGACCATTGTATTTTTCTACATTAAACAGCTCGCATTAAACAATTAACTTTGCAGGCCTGCTACACAGTGACAGTGTTTATTTAAAACTATAGAATATATAATTGAATGTATTATTTTGTAGGTACAGGGTGTGTTTAGTGTTATGATTGAGTTATTGTGTGTGCCTAATGAAAGACATGCACCTGGTTGCTTCTGCGTAGTGCTTTTTTGACCCTAGCAGAGGGGTGACGTTTGAACAGGTCATGTCAAAAGTGTGATTGGTCAACAGTAAGAAGTACAAGTGATGCATGGTTTGGACAGTTTCTATTCTGCTCCAGGACTAACAATATGCTCAAGTTCATCGGCAGCAGCATCCAACTAACACCAATTTCTAACACAAACAAAAAAGAGGTCACCAAATTGAAAAGTTGACATTGGGGTTTTTAGAAAACAGATCAAGTCACGGGGCACTGGGCGCCATTTTTGAGAGTTTTTGTATCTAGACTGAAATCGGTTAAATTTACAATAAATGACTGCACTGATGTCACTGAATATTTTTTTGTCAAGACACCACATCATTGATTTATGCCCAGATAACTGTCATTTACACATAAAAGGATAGGTGACAAGATGACATATTCACTATATAGCTAAAGGCCCTTTTAACATTTAAACCCTAACCCGAACAACAACAACAACGTGAGCTTCCTCATTCACAAAAAGCCAACTTACATGTATGGTGTTGTCTCTTAGCTGTAGCCTTCCAGTGAGCTGCTCTGTGGTGTCTTTTAGCTGCAAGCTCCTGGAAATCTATGCTGTGTTGTTTTTTAGCTGCAGCCTATTGGTAAGCATCACTGTTTTGTCTTTAGCTCTAGGCTACTCGTATTCTTCGCTATGGTGGCTTTTAGCTGGATGCTACCACTAGCTCCGCTGTGGTCTTTTTTTTTTACTAACATTAGGCTGCACTGTGGTGTTTTTTGGCTTTGACCCACCTGTAAGTTGTGCTGGGTTGTATTTGAGCCATATCCCACCTGTAAGCTGTGCTGCAAAGAGAAAAAAAAACGACTTGGATAATGGGGTTCCTGCTCTTTATTCAGATTGAATCACAAACCTTGTTTCGATTGATTTTCAAATTAGAATCCTGACATCTTTAAGTAAGTACAATGCTATGCAATTCAAATATTTGACGATGAAATATTATCACAAGTTCCACATACTTGGTGATTCTGTGGATTTCAGCCACATCTAATGGTTTTGTTTCATGTCAAACTTCTATTTCCAAGGTCAAATATTCACCTTCAAGCCAAATGAGCAGCCATAGAATCATTGCAAGGACGTCTTATGTTTCCCCTTTCAATTGCAGTTGTTCATTTCATACATTGATGTTAATCAGGTGAAAAATCAGAGAGCCAGGCTTATTTTTCAAATAAGCTTAATTCATCACTCAACAATGATGACTTTTTCTACCTGCCCAAAGATTCTGATCCCATTTGGAGAAAGCATTTCAGAGATGTGGCCATGGATGTATAATAGAGAGGCGAAGTCCCTCCCCTTCCGGTAGAGCTCCATGGGACCTTATTTCGGAAATATTATGTATTGAAGTCAATGGAGAGAGAAAGATTATCTTTCGATCCCGTTTGAATTGTGTCACGAATTACACATATGATGTTTGTCAATTTAAAAGATAATTTTGCAAGTCAAAAAAATAAAAATGTGTCGTAAAACTGTGAAGTAACACTTTTTTTGGTGTGAAACCAGGATTCTGGGATTTGTAGTCTTTCTAGTTGCGTATTTTTCATAGTCTTATATTTCAACAGTTTTACGACAAACTGTGACTTTTTTGACATGGAAATTATTTTTTAAGATTGACAAACATCATATGTGTAATTCGTGGCACAATTCAAACGGGATCAAAAGATAATCTTTCTCTCCCCATTGACTTCAATACATACTTTTTCCGAAATAAGGTCCCATGGGTCGGAAGTCGATGGGCGGGACTTCGCCTCTCTATAAGAACTGGATGTGGTGAGCCTCACTTCGGCCATCAGCGTTTTTTCTGTGGAAAAAGAAAGTCTGTTAAACGGTTACAACAACACCTTGAACTGCAAACAAGGTCTTTTGACTCTTTCTATTATGTATTTAATACAAAATAATAGAAACACCTGTTAATATCAACAGCACCACAAAAGCTACATCCTTCAAAAAGTCATGCAGTTGATTCAATCCCTCTCTAAAACAGTATCAACATAATAACCTCCAGGAAGGAGGGATTTATTGCAGGACTTTTGTATTAGACTGCATATGTTTAAGCTAGTGTACATAATAAACTGGACACTGAATGCATGTGTGACCTTTGGAGGAATGGCTGGGCCTAGCTGTGTGAAACAAAGAGCTCACTGACCGCGCTGTGCTGCACTGGACTGCAAACAGAGGCCTGGCCTGTTTTACATGGTATATTATGCGCATGTGATGGTGTGATAGTCTGACTTCATGATGAAACCATTGAGCTGTATTGACTTCCTGTCCCATGGCTTTCAATTAGGAGTCCAATTTTTTGGCCTGGTACAAATGACTATTGTTGGGCAGAACTTTGGTCTAGGGAAATATTCAGTCAAAACAGCGTAAAGTGAATTACTTTTCCATTTTACGCAACATAATGAGAGAATTGTTATTTCTGAGATATGGCGCCCCTTCAGTTTCAGAAGGAAATTCACTTTACAGCTATAGTATTTGAGCAGCTGTTCAATTGCATGTGTTATGATCTCATTACTTGTAAACAAAAACCAGCAAGATTTCAAATTTGATCACATTACTTGTAAAATAAAAAACAGCAATGCAGCCAAATTTCAAGTGCAACATTAGTGACACTTTAGCCACAAATAACTATTTCCTTCCATCAGAAACTCAGCAGTGTAGTGGGAGGACCTTTGAAGGAAAACCTGAAAACCATCAAATATCATCCAGTTTCGTCAGTCAGTTTACTGCCATAAAGGCTTACACACTTCTCCCGTGAGATCTTAACCACTCACCAAAGTTACATGGTGCAAGAACAGCGATGAGTAACCCTATTCCAAGTGAGCGTAGCATCGTAATGATTTTGTAGATATCTTTTTAATATAGAACATTTCATTTTGCCTTTACGAGGCTTTACTGTTATGACATCACAAAATAAAAATGTATATTTTTTAACAAAAACTTGACTTTGAACATTATGTTGGAACAATGGATTGCTGGTTACAGAAAACACAAGATATGCCATTTTTCAGGATTTTACAGTACAGCATCTTGAGTTGTCATATTTACTCGTACCAAAAATGTTTATTCACCAACATTTCCGTAACATTGTTTTTTAACTAATGTCTATTGAACTCAATATTTATTGCAGGCTTTTCACGTCAAAAGCCTTTTAGGCAAGCAAGGTGTTTAATGTGAAATATCCGACCAGGAAGTGGAAGTTATTAATAGTGAATGAAAAGTAAAAAAGCACTTGATGATATGATAAGTGAATGAAAAGAGTTTTGGGTGTGTAGAACATGACAGTTGTTTTACTAATGGAAATATAACTGTGGATACTCACAATGTTCTCAAGCTATCAAGATGAAAAATAAACATGAACTAAGTGATATCATACAAAAGAACAAAATGAATTGAAGAAGATGAGTAAAAAAGAGTGGGCACAATGAAATATGATCAATGATAATAAGACTTGTAAATTAGTGAGTACGGCCTGTCTCCTATATAAGGCCAGGTTCTCTCTGCAGTTAAGGTGAATAAAGACCTTGACCAATATTTAGGAGTTTAACATTAGTATATTTAATTCAATTTATCTTCACTTCCTACGAGGTGAAAGTAATGGTTATCACATTATAACTTTATCAATCAATAATGTTTTGTGAATAAAATAAACAATACCAAAGGATTTAGGGACTACGGTGCGTAGTAATCAGCAGCGAACCGCTTCAACACGTGTATTTCGGTTTATTCACGGCATTCATATTGTTGTCTTATAGTTATTTGTTAATGTATTGAACCCAATTGGTGTTCTTTGAAACTGAAAAGGATATTGCATTGTGTTTGTTACTTTCGTTGCAGTTGTATATGTCTTAGTGTAATTTGGCTTGGCTTCCTATTTTGTATGGACATGTTTTTATTTTGAAGGAGAGTTAGCGCTGTTGACAGGAAGTTGTTGTTGCTATGGAAACAACGTGACGGAGATTAACGGAGAAAAAGTTATATCTACAAATAAAGATGGAGAAAGTAAACTATAACGTTTATGGTTAAGTGTTAGCACCCCCCGAAGAGGCACAAGCTCTTACGTTGATATTGGAGTTTTCAATAAATTCAATTTGAAAAAAAAAACGAATATCCGAATAACGAAATTGAAACCCGAATAGTACTCCAACGAACGAATATTCGGATATTCGGGTACAGCCCTAATGACCAGAATGTAAATGCTACAGTATGTGACGATTGCGGTACAATACGAGTATCACAATGTTATAAAATACATTATAATATTCCGTAATGGTAAATTGACTTCACCGTAATGTGATACCATGAGTTGTGTGTTATCTGCATCATCATCATTCTCTCTTTTCTTTTCTTTCAGCTTCCCATTAAAGTTGGACACCAGAACACCCATACCAAAGTCAGCACAGAGCACAACAAGGAATGTCTGATCAACATTTCCAAGTACAAGTTCTCCCTCGTCATCAGTGGCCTCACCACCATCCTCAAAAATGTCAACAACATGGTGAGTGGGGTTCATCGTAGTAAATCTTTCCTAGTTCTAGTTGTCTCATTTATGCCGTGTTTCCACCACATGGTATGGCTCTCTTCGCCTCTATCTTTTTTGGTGTTCCACTAGGAATATACCCTGGACCCTGGAACTTTTTAAAGTACAACCTCAGCCCACTGAGCCATTAATAAAAGGTGTTGGTATATCACTGCAGGAGTGCAGGTCATTCATTTAGTCAGAGCGTCGTCACGAGACATTAAGCACACCTGTGTTTATGAATAGCAACCATCTTTTTCACTGAACCCAGATTGAAAACAAATGGTAGTCAGTCAAAACGACGCTGTATACTACCAGGCCCCCAGAAAACCATCCGGGTGCTGGAGCACATTTTTGTAGTGGCCACATTGGTATTATAACCAGGGGTGCCCATAACTGGTACGCAGGTACGCATGCGCGGCAACAATCTGAAATGCGTACCGTCACTTGTGTCACAAAGCGCATTTGCGTACCGACGTACTTGTGAAGCTTTTCCAGAAGGCGGTTAGATCACCGGACGACAGAGTCGGTCTCCGTGTGTACCGACAGGGCTGCTGTTAACGTCGGTCTGTACAACGGAATTGTGCCAAAACTTCGCCAACCGGCTGCGGAGGGAGACTTCCCCCCCCCCCCCCCCCCTTCACTGGAGAACTGCGCTAAAACAGCTGATCACAACGTTCACGCTCTGTGGTCACGAAGTACTCCACTAGCCCCCCATTGACGTTTGCGATACAGAGGGCTTCATCAAATAACTTTGAGTGGAGCCAGAAGTTGGAGTACCACACACTGACTCCAGGTACTCATCCGAGTACCTCACTGAGAAAGTTATGTGCACCCCTGATTATAACCACTGTGACAGTCTGTGAAGTCATTGGCATCAAAAAGACTATTTCCCTTTGACTTAGGGATGTCTATAAAATAGTTTTTGTTTAAACTAAATGATATACCCAAGACGAACACTTGAATAGCCCTTATTTAAACCATTAGATCCTAGACTAGAGGTTGTAAAGTGCCCAAAAAGCCTTTCCTCATTAGGCGCGTTTACACCGGAGTACTTTTCCACGTACTTTTCCCGTTTAGTTCCGTTAGTGCCTGGAATGTTGCGTTCACACCAAAAGGAGTACTTAGTTCCGAGAACTTTTACCCCCATGTTTAGTGCCTTCTAGAGAGGTGGTACTTTCCTGGGGAGAAAAAAGTACTAATTTCGATTGGCTGGGCGAATTGCAAACCACGCCCCGTAAAACTCTGAAAAGTTTTGTGAAGCCGCCATTGTATTTGCTGGCATTAGCATTATTAGCCATGACCAGACATGAAGCAGTGGATTGGAGGCGGGGCTCATGGAAAACAGATTTTTTTAAATGTATTATCCGGTTGCATTACCTTAGCCGACTATATTACAACTATAGATTATAATACCAATCCATCCAATCCTTTATCCCTGACCCAAAAAACATAAATCAAAATATTTGTTCTGCTTTTCTATCTTGTTTATACTTTGATATTGTAATGAGGGCATTGTGATGCTGTTCATTAGTATGACTGAGGCAGCAACTCCCAACCTTAGGTGTCCTAATGCTGTGTCTTAATGTCTTAATGCTGATTAATGATGTTCTGACTGATCTTCTTCACAGCGGATATTTGGAGAAGCTTCGGAGAAGAACCTCTACCTCTCCCAGCTCATCATCCTGGACACCCTGGAGAAGTGCCTGGCTGGGGTGAGTCTTCCCTCTGAACACCCTGTCTGGGGCTGTCAAATGGAAACAATATAAGTTTTAGAACTCAGCTTTAAAGACTAAGATCCATGCCATTACAAGCCCTGTGTTGGGATTAGGTTGTTGCCTACGATCCTTGTGCTTTGCAATGAAATCAAACTCAAAAGATTCAGTATCTCTGCTGCTATGTTTGTGCTCACCCAGACACAAACCTCTGGTAATGTACTTATCCTCCATCAATCACGCTCTCCTCATCCCTGGGAGGTTCCTCAGTGAACCAGCAGGCTGGGATTACATATGCAGGCGTTTGGTGGGAGCCGATCATCCGATGGGAACTGCTCTCTGCTTCCTGTACAGGTTTTAGTCATTAGCATTCACATTCAGATAGAAATATCTCTCTATTTTTGCGAGAGAGTTGTGCTGTTGATAGAGTGGTCCAGGAATGAGTCCTAAACCCGGAAATGAGTTGGCCTTTTAAGAGAACTCTTTTGTTAGCGAATGAAATTAGGTCTGTGGTGAACAGAAGCTGGAGAGATGTTCACATTTTGTTCTCCGACATAACACAAATTCACCTTTAGCCAAGCAGTGTCGAGGTCAAAGCATTTGAACATGATGTAGTTTGTTTATAGCCAATGTTATCTTTTGACTTCTGGCAATTGCATCTATTATAAAAGTGTTGTTATTATGAGGAGATTATCCTGCCTATAATATTGAGTAATGAGTCCATACCAATGGACATGGGAAGAAGTGTCTGGTTAATCGCATGAGTAATTGCGTATTGGTTAAAAATAGGGTAAATAAGTGCCTATGTCTGTGGAAACTACATCAACTTGGTCATTGTGAAGCCTAATTTTGGTATAAAACCTGTATTCTGTCAGCCCAAACAAAAACACAAGGTCATATGATAATATGACTCTGCTAAATAAATATTGGCCCACAATGCCTATATTGTGAATGCACGATGAAATTGAATTTCTCAGAAAATGTTGCTGAGGAGCACCCTAACACTTGGAAGAACTACAGTGGTTTACAAAAGATCCATAGCTAACATGCTGAAATAAAAGAAATCTGTATTAATGTGTAATATAGCACACAGGGTTCGACATTATCAAAAGCGAGATGACCTGTGCCAGGAAAAGTGACTTCATTGACCAGCGTAGATTCGCTGTAGGTGGCCACATGTGGCTATAGAGATATTTCTACTTTTTAGAAAAGCGCTGGTGACGTCTCTATAGAAATGTTTAGGAGAAGCTTGTTTTGACTGTGTCATTCAGACGGAAACTATCATAGCAAAGACCAAAAAGGCCAGTTTTCTGACAGATTGGATGGACGGACTTTAGATGTCGCTGTCTGTGAGTTTTGTACTTGTATCAACCTTGCGGGAGTGGCCCTCTTAGCTCTACGGCTGTCAGATTGAGCGGTGAACCTAATTCAAACAAAGTGTGAGAGCAAGAATCTCCCGGAAGTCAAACAAATAGATGGATTAAAGACAAGAGGGCAAAGCTAGTCTGTTTTACAAAAGCCGTGATATGTTGTCGAGATATAGTTGTGATATGAAGGGCGGTTCTTTTTGATAAAATGCTGGGAGGAGGCCCAGCACCTTTCTGACAGATAAAGACGCCATGTGGACTTTTCCACTGACTGTCTTCCTGCTCTCTGCCCCCCCCCCCTCCTCAGCAATCCAAAGACTGCTTGCGTCTGGACGAGACCATGCTAGTGAAACAGCTGCTGCCGGAGATCTGCCATTTCATCCACACGTACCGCGAGGGCCACCAGCACGCCGCCGAGCTGCGGGCCTCCGCCTCAGCCGTCCTCTTCTCTCTGAGCTGCAACAACTTCAACGCCGTCTTCAGCCGCATCTCCACCAGGTAGCTCACAGCAGCACGTGTTCTCTCAAGAACGGCCACATCTCAAATGTTTCTGGAAGCTTTGTTGATATTTGCCAGAGCAGTATTAATCACCTGATATTATTATGTGCTAAAAAAATGGGGGGGGGGGGGTCTAGTAGTATCCCTTATCTTGATTATCTGCAGTTTCCAATGGAACATTTTGATACCACTAATGTACATAAAAAAACTCCATATTATCCTGTGCTTTAATGTGTGTTTTATTTCAATTGTATTATTTAATGTGTTAAAAAATAGTTTTATTTTTTTCATTATTTATGTCCCTACATTTAGCATTTAAACTTAAATCAAATACCCAGAATACTTTATTTATCCTGGAGAACATTTTATTTCGGTACAATCGTAAACCATTTTTAAATATGAATATAAGTAAAAATATAAACATAAATAGTTAGAATGCGCAATAAAAAAATAAAATGTAAAATAAAAAAATAAGATGTATATGTAAACATAAGAAGGTCAAATATGTTGAACTTCTTGACATCTCTGACTTTGCTGTGTCTCCTCAGGCTACAGGAGCTCACGGTGTGCTCAGAGGACAACGTGGACGTTCACGACATCGAGCTGATGCAGTACATCAACGTGGACTGCTCCAAGCTCAAGAGACTGCTACAAGGTGAGCTTACTGCTCATACAGCTTTACACTCTTCTTAAAGGAAGTGTGACGTTTCAGTTGGCACACATTTCAGCTGTCTGTTTCTTCTTCTGTAAATAATTCCTGATCTGTTACAGAAATTACCAAGAATAGGCGCTTTCACACCGCAGTACTTTTCCCACAAAGGTTCATGAGAACTTGGTTCATGAGAACTCTTTAGTTCTCATGAACTAAGTACAGATCGCGTTCACACCGGAATAAGTTCCCTGGGGGAGGATTAGGCAAATGAAGCCGCTGACGTCACTTCTTCTTCTTCTTCTGCTTTGGGTTTACTGGCAGGCCGCAAACAACTTCACGGCGTATACTGCCACCCGAAGTTCCCGGCCGGAAGTCCCCGGAGTTGGGGACTGGCTTCAGTAGAAGCTGCTGGGACTCCCAGCAGCTTCTACTGAAGCCTTCAGAGTAAATCGCCAGAACGCCGACACCTCCTCATCTCCACCGCTCCCATGTTTTATTTTGTGTTGCCATAAGTTAGTCTCTCTCCGTTTGTGCGCTGGGCTAATGCTAATGCTAATGTGAGGATAATAAAATGGCGGCTTCACAAAACTTTTTGGGAGTTTTACGGGGCGCGGTTTGCAATCCGCCCAGCCAATCAGAAATGGGAACCTTTTTCTCCCATGAAAGTACCTGCTCTCTAGCAGGAACGGAAAAGGGGGTAAAAAGGTTCTGATGAACTCATTTTAGTTCCGGATCTTTTTGGTGTGAACACAACATTTCGGAACTAAAGTGGGAAAAGTACTGCGGTGTGAAAGCGCCTAATGCTTTTGTTTGTTTATTATTTCTGTGATGTATTCATTCTGTTTTCTTTCTTTTTCCAGAAACTGTGTTGAAGTTTAGAGCTCTCAAGAAGCCTGCCCAGCTAGCAGTCATCAACAGTTTAGAGAAGGTACTCACCATCTTGTTACCCAACCTGTAATCTCTATAATATTTAACCCAACTTTCAGCAATATCTGCTGCCTTATGTTCTCCACAGGAGCAGCTCCAGTATGAATTAGCCTGTGCTACATTAGCATTTTATGGTATTGATTACTATTATTATGGCGTGTAGTCACTCAAAAAGTGTTGTGGGCGGAACATTGAGTAAGTCTAAAGAGAAGAGACTACATTTGTAATACCGATATTTGTAACAATGCAGATTCTTGCAGCAGATAACCGATCGACCCCTGTGCCCTGATTAATGAATAGCTGAAATGTCAGAAATAATAAGGCAGTTTTAACCCCTGTTACCAGAGAAGCGTGGTGGTGGAGTGTAAAGTTCCTCTTGTACTCACACTGTTCTCTCTCGACAGGCGTTTTGGAACTGGGTGGAGAATTACCCAGACGAGTTCACCATGCTCTACCAGCGGCCCCAGGCAGACATGGCAGGTAGGAATGGATTCACAACATTTGTTCTGACATGGACTGAATCTCTGCAGCTCTCACACATTGCCTACAATTTTATTTGAGTTCATTAAAATGTCTGTTATTATTAAATATTAGAGTTCTACGATACAATTGGTTTAAAAAAAGTGCATCCAAACCAAGCCAGTCATCAATAAATTCATGTTGGTACTAGATGAAAAAATATTTATTTTCAAGGCCTTGTTTCAGACAAAAAATATGTTCATTGTGAAAGTTGTCTGGAAATGAAATCCTGTTCATAGAGAAGTCTCTATGATAAAATATTTGATTTATTACATGCATTTACCGACATATTTTATGTCTCGTCAGAATCAGAATAACTTTATTCGTCACAAGGGGAAATTCACAATTCGTAAGATTCGTAACCACAGATCTCATTTCAGGACGAGGTTATTATTTTAGCGTTAAAATGCCAAATCATTTCCAAATCAATTCATTGTTTAGGACTCATTCCTGCACCACTATACAAAACAATAATCCCAGAGAAAAACATGTGATGATGTTTAACATGGGTCTTCTGATAATTATATTGTAATGATGATATTTTTGGATGGCCCCAAAAGATCACTTTTGAAGTAAACTTGCTCTCATTAACTGTGTGTGTGTGTGTGTGTGTGTGTGTGTGTGTGTGTGTTCAGAAGCTGCAGAGAAGCTGTTTGACCTGGTGGACAGCTTTGCAGAGAGTGCGAAGAGGAAGGCAGCTGTGTGGCACCTGCAGATCATCCTCCTCATCCTCTGTCCAGAGATCACACACACCATCTCCAAAGACACCGTGGAAGAGAGCAAGGCCAATAAGGTTGGAGGACAGAACGCACGCACGCACGCACATTGTGGAGACTGACTCCAGCACTCACACACACACCTTCCTCCTGTTGTGTCTGCAGAAACTGTTTTTAGAGAGTATGCGGAAAGCTCTAGCGGGCCAGGGAGGCAGCAAGCAGCTGATGGAGAGCGCCGCCATCGCCTGTGTCAAACTGTGTAAAGCCTCCACCTACATCAACTGGGAGGACCACTCCACCATCTTCCTCCTGGTGCAGTCCATCGTCATGGACCTCAAGGTCTGTGCAGTCACTCAAAATGCATTCATTTCCAACAATTGTATTCCAATGTATTTTTATTGGACATCTTACTTTAACTTCTTATATTTATTGATATATCTTAATTTGTTATTATATTGTTATATTACACTTTCCTGAACTTCTTTTGTTTGTATTACTTTATATTCAAACATTTTTTTGAATTTTCTTTTTTTCTTTATCTCATTCTTAAATGCAAAGTTGGCATTGTGTATGGATCAGAACACTTTATTTATCCTGTGTAATATTGCCTTTTGTGAAATAACTACTTTTTTAAAGTGATATAAAACAAAAGTTAAATCAATAAAAAAATAAAAACATTTATATAGACATAAGAAGTTAAATAAAAAAGCTGCTATCAAATGAAGATATCTATATATTAAAATAGGAAATTAAAGTAAAATGCCCAATAAAAGATAAATTAAAATAGATTAAAACTAATTCATATATATATATATATATAGAGATATATATATATATATATATATATATATATATATATATATATATATATATATATATATATATATATATCTCTATATATATATATATATATCTCTATATATATATATATATATATATATATCTCTATATATATATATATAGAGATATATATATATATATATATATATAGAGATATATATATATATAGATAGATAGAGATATATATATATAGATAGATAGATAGATAGATAGATAGATCTATACATATATATATATATAGATCAGGTGCTTTTGAACCACCTGAAGTGACCTGTGGCTCTGTTCCCCAGGCTCTGCTCTTCAACCCAGCGAAACCCTTCTGGAGGGGGACGGGGACCCAGAACGCTGACGTGGAGCTCATGATGGACTGCTTCGTCTCTTGTTTCCGCATCAATCCTCACAACAACCAGCACTTTAAGGTAGACTGGGAGAAAAAAAAAAATATTTATTGGTAACAAGGAACAGGTATTTAATATTATATGCTCTAGCTCAGGGGTTCCCAAAGTGGAGGTCGCGAGACCCCGAGTGGGGGTGGCGAGATCATTACAAAATAAAAATAAATGTTTTAAATTATTATTAATAATAACGTGTGCATAGACATTTTTCAGGGGCGGACTAGCCATCTGTATAATTCCCCGCAGCGAGGCTCCCCCCGTTGACAATCCGCTAGCGCAGTGTTTCTCAAACTTTTTCATACCAAGGACACTTAACCAATAAAAAAACACTCACGGACCACCTGACTCACAAATATCCCAAAACAATCGGCCTGCTTACCACTCCATCAGTACATAACAGCCTAATAATGACAGCTTAACCTTCTCTACTGTATATCGCCTCGTTCACACAATAAATCAACAATACAAATACAACTACAGATTATTTGTGACCCGCTCTATCGAAATCAGTCGGATGTCGCAACGGCTCATTTAAAAATAAACGTGGATTTGCGTAAAAAAATATTTTTTCTGGGTTTGGGTGTTTTGTTTGATTTTAAATAAACAAAGTCTTGGCTTTCAGAATATGAAACTTTTATTTCCAAAATCACACGATAAATACATTTGTGAAGCTTGTAAAGGGAAGATGACAGCTCTCACTTGCACTGTGCTGTTCCTCAGCGCAGCTCCCCCTCCCTCCGGCTGAAATTATGAATGTAAGGCATATAGTAATCATAGATAACACGGCAGGGTCCGTTACAGTTTGTTTTCATCTGATTTCAAATAAACAAAGTCTTGGCTTTCAGAATATTAAACTTGTTTCGGCAAATTCAGATGATAAATACAACTTTGAAGCTTGTAACGGCATAATTACAAGCGGAGAACGGAGTAACTTAACGTCACAGCAAGCATAACAACAGCCGGTGTTTCTCGTGAGTGTTTTCCCCGGGAAACAAACACAATACACACAAACGCAAAATTACACAAACACACACACACAAACACACACACACACACACACACACACATACACACACACACACACACTCGCGAGCTTCCCCCAGACCAGTAATCCAAACAAAAATATTTTCCCTCCGTTACTACTTTGATCATTTGCTAATAATCAATCAGATCGATGGATTCCAGAGAAGAGGAAACTTTGAAGGCCTTTTTCTCAAAATGATGACTCGGTGACAGTCATTATATAATGTGACATATTTTGCTTAATATTTGGAGTACAACAACAATCCTGATATCATTAGAAAGCTAGGAATCTCCTCTTTCCAACAGCGTATACAACTCAAAATGTGTCTTCGGGTCAATGCGACTGATTTCAATAGAGCAGGTCACATATAAGCATTTAGTTCAAATGCGATTTAAAATGCTCACAGGTTTTACACCTCTTATGAAATGTAGACTACATTTATTACGGAGTTTATGTCCGAGCCAACAGACTCTCAGATCGTTGGCTATGGTGCAAACAAGTGGCAACATGTTTGACGAAGGTGTTGCGCTAGGCTATATCATGCAATCGAAAGTGAGATATTCCCGCGAGAGTGCGGAAAGCTTAAATCAATTCACTAGCACCCACCCCCCTTGACAGGGGTCGCCAGTCTCTGGCACTGTTATTTTGGGGGTCGCGGTCTGAAAAGTTTGGGAACCCCTGCTCTAGCTAATCCGGTGATTGTTTTTCTCTGTGCCCTGAAGGTCTGCTTGGCCTCCTCCTCTCCCTCCACCTTCCACTTTGTCCTGGTCAACTCATTGCACAGAATTATCACTAATGTAAGTCTGCAGAGCTTCTCCATGACTAAGTGACCATGGAATCATTTGACGTGTTAATTGACTCGTATCCCTCTGACTTCCTTCAGTCCCACCTGGACTGGTGGCCTAAGATCGAAGCGGTGTACTGCTACTCCGGAGAGCTCCGCTTCATGTTCTCTGACACGCTCAACCGGGTGATACAGGGCGCCGCCACCCACGCTCCTCTACGCATGACACCCGTGAGAGGACTTTACACTACTACAGTACTATTATTTTACATTTTCATTATTTATTTTTTATTATGCAAATTCTTAACTGCTTATGTTTATATAAAATCTATTTTTTATTGGACATTGTTACTTTAAGTTGTGTTTGTATAAGTATATTTATTGAATTTTTTGTCATTATTACTTTAACTACTTTTGTTTACACAAATAAATATTTTTGGATTATTTGAACTCTCTAAATATATATAAAATATTTGTTTATTACATTTTTTTATTGGACTTTTTATTTTTGTATGCATCTCTTTATTTTATTATATATATTTTTCATACTTTATCTTCTTATGTTTGTATAATTCTATTTTATGTTATATATATGGAATCCACTTGTAATAAAAGTGTTCTGATGCTGATTGTCCGTGTGTTCTGCTGCCCCCCCCACAGAGTCTGACGTTCAAAGGGAAGATAAGCACCAGCCTTAAGTACAAAGAGAAAGCCACAGAACTGGACACTCGAAGCTACAAGTGCCTCCTCCTCGCTCTGGTCAAACTCATCCACGCCGACCCCAGACTCATGCTGCATGTGAGGCTCAGAAACAACTCTATTGATACGTTTAATAATGATTAGCCTTAGGTTGACTTCTTTTCTTGCAGCCAGGTTTTGACGCACCTATTCCCCAGAGATGTTTTGAGCATTTCGTGTCAATGTTGGTTTATGAAATGACCACCAGCTTGTGTCTCTGTGTGTCAGAACCCGGTGAAGCAGGCTCCAGAGATGCAGAGCAGCACGGCGGAGCTCATCACTGGCCTGGTGCAGCTGGTGCCGCTCACCAACACCACCCAGCTGTCCCAGGAAGCCATGGAGGTCAGACCCGCCCCTACCCCTTCACTAAACGCACTACTAACACTTCTCTTATTATGGCAGCCAACAAGGGAACAATTTGAGAGAAGAATTTCAGTTGCTCAGGATACATTTTTCCCAACTCTCCTTTCTAATTATTCAATTTTCAATGACTTTTATGGTCTCACTATTCAGTTTAACAAGGTGCGCATTATTACTTATTATTTCAACTTTTTAATGTTAATATAAATATTTTACTTATTATTTAATTGGACATTTAACTTGAACTTCTTATGTTTATATTGATATTTTTTATCTATTTTTTGTAATTATTTATCTTTGACTTTATTTCATCCTTAAATGGAGCACATGTCATGAAACCCTATTTCCTCAAGGTGATAAATCATTCTGAAATCTTTGAAGCTACTGGAATGCTTTTAATGTGAACATTCAGTCAGGACGTTTCGAGCTGCATTCACTTTTTACAGTGATGTCAAAATGAAAAGAATAAAACTGGAAATAATTAAAAACCCCTGACAGTGTTTGTGATTTAAAAAAAAAGTGTTTTAGCAGAGTGGTAAATATGTAATAATATAATACATACAATAGCAGGGTTTAACCAGTAGAGGGCAGCACGTTTATTTAATACCAACATACATTTGGTTTTTAGCTGAAAAAGAGTGGTTTGGGGGTTAAGTTACTTATTTTGTTATACTGTAAAACTCATACTAATGACAAACCATTGTTTATTTGTCCCCCCCCCCCCCCTCCTTGTATGCTTTCTTGTCTGTTTCCAGGCTCTGTTAGTTCTGCACCAGCCAGAGACCATAGAGCTGTGGAATCCTGAGACCCCCATAGAGACGTTTTGGGACATCAGGTACTCAACATTATCTAACTCTGAACATTTTACAGGAAGCGAAGCAGGATATTTCAGGTGTTTTATTTGATTCTGGTGAATATCTAAACGTTCAGTAAGACTTTTTCGCTTGAAGTTCACTAATTGTGGTACAGACTTCACTAACTTCCTTTCTTTGTTTCTTTCTTCAGCTCACAGTTGCTCTTCCTCATCTGCCGCAAACTGATTGGCCACCAACTGGTCAACGGGACAGAAGTTCTCAAGTGGCTGAGGGAGATCCTGATCTGCAGGAACAAGTTTCTGCTCAAGAACAAGGTACAGTCCTGTTCCTTAACCATAGCTGCTCTATTAGTAACACAAAGTCAACCAATGAGCTACACAAATATTGACCTACGTTTTAGAAAATGTTGAGAGAATCACCTAATTAAAATAAATTCACTTGCACTTTTATAAATAACTTAATTTTTGAAAAAATGCTTTTATTTTCAGTAATAACTAAATTTCTGACAATATTACCAAACATTTTTTTTTTTCAAGTCTGCTCAGTTTTCATAAATTACCAAAATTTAGAAAAATGACTTATTTTTCCAAAATGTACATAATTTCCCAAAAAATACAATTTCCCCTTTTTTTTCCGGCATTTTTTTTAAACATTTTTGAAAATGTGAGTAATTTCTTTTGGAAAAGTGAAATGATTACTTTTTTGTCAAAATGACATACTTTGTCATAAAATTACCCTTTTTAATTCATTTAAAAAAGTAATTTTTCCAAAAGGTTTGTCATTCTGAAGCCTCTTGCATTATGGCTCAGAGGCAGATTTTGGTGTGAAATGTTGATTTGGTCGTTGATTGCTCCAGGAGTGTGCCACGATGGGCGGAGGGATCCCCATCTGCCGGCAGGCACAGACCAAGCTGGAGGTGTCGCTCTACATGTTCCTGTGGAGTCCGGACACCGAGGCAGTGCTGGTGGCCATGTCGTGTTTCCGCCACCTCTGTGAGGAGGCTGACATCCGCAGCGCCGCCGACGAGGTGCCCGTCCAGAACATCCTGCCCAACTACCCCACCTTCAGTGAGCTGGCCTCCGTCAGCAACATGATGGGGACAGGTCAGTACTGTCAGCCCACACCAGGAGTACTGCAACCAGGTCAAGCACTCAGCACTGCACCTCGCCTTTTAACAACAAAAAAAACAACCGTCACAAAACCCAATTTCCACTGGGATTAGTAAAATATTGTGACTCTTATTCTGACATAGGAAACTATTGCTTTTCATTATGTTAAAAACCTCACACATCACAAACATTAGCAAACATAAACAAATTTGTATGTATTTAACAATTTTCAGAAATTCCAAGACAACACCTAGATTACTGGTCTTTGTTGAATCTGAGTAGTTCTTGGAGTTTAAGTATGTTTGATCCTGAGGGGATCAGTTGTTGGGAAAGCAATGTGGAAAAAGCCTCAGCCTAGTTAGCTGTGGTGTTTAAGTGCTGCTCACTCTACAAAATATGGCCGTCAGAGTTAGGATCAGAATCTGCAACATACAAGGTTCACTTTTGGCGCATTTCCACCACACGGTCGGCCTCGGCCACGCTCGGTACTGCTTGGCCGCGTTGGGCCTTAACAGGGCCGGCTCACTTCATGCTGCGCTTCCATTACAGTTTAGGAACTGGGGTAGTTACTATAGTAACGCAGTGTAGGCAGAGCCGTGACGTCATCTTCATTGAGAACCCCAGAAAAACAACATCAGCCGTTAGCTGTTAGCACTCAGAGCTCACAGCTCCTTATATATGTTCAGAAACTCGACAAAAGTTAAACAAGTACAAACCACAGACTGCCTGTGTCATGGCGAATACAGTCGCTGCTTTATTTATGTATGTATAGGCCGTTGTTGTTAGAAAACACGCATTTTAAAAAGGTTTTTCCCCTGCCGTCTGTCTGCAGACTTGCCAAAGCATTAATTCATGGTTTTTACTAACCGGTATCAGTATGTTGTTACTTCGGCATCATTTTGAAACGTGTATTACAATTAAATCACGGTCAAATATGTCCATCTTGTTGTAGTTGTAGCCCCCTTGCCAGCGCTCCTCTCTCTAGTTTAGCATACTCAGCCCGACTCAGCCCTGTTTGTTGGCCCCGATAGAACCACAATTTTGTCGGACCAGAAAAGAGGTGAAAAAGTGGCGCCGGGCCGGGCCGGGCCGTAACTAGGCCTAGAGGAAGCGCAACCAAAAACGGGCACGGCACGACACATCACACTTAAACCGCGCTCCGCGCCATGGTGGAAATGCGCCATTACTGTCCTTGTATTCAATGGTAACATGCCAGTCTTGGGGTCTTCTTCAACATTGTGGATGTATCCTTATATTGAATGATTCCTTTGTTTGTATTCTGGACCTATTGGCCCATGTTGGATTGTTGGGAAGTATTCCTCTTCCAATTTCTTCCAATAACATGTTGGACTTGTTTGGACAGGCCGGTCCACCTTACAGAAGAGAGTGATGGCCCTGCTGCGGAGGGTAGAGCACCCCACACCAGGAAACATTGAGGTGACATTCAGTTCACATTCAAACCCATACTATACTATACTTATGAAAGATGTTTCTTTGCTCAGTTTTCTCCAGAAACAATGTATTTAATAACTCACTATTTCCTTTGGTCCACCTTCAGGCCTGGGAGGACACGTATGCTAAATGGGACCAGGTCACCAAACAGATTCTCAACTCCCCTAAAAACAAGGCAGATGATGGGCAGGTAAGCATGTTACACCAGGGATCTCTCCTCTCCTCTCCTCCATCTCCTCTGCCTACAGGAACAGTTTTGACGTCTGCCTGGCTCCAGACCTTTCCACTAGTAGCACTTGTGCTTATTTTTTTTTACACTTATGTTTTTATTGAGTTTTCACAACAATAATAACAGAACAATATGTGAACCTAAACAACAAAAAAGAATACACAAATATCAGTTATAAAATAAAGCACAATAATGTACTAGTTGTCTGAAGACCTTCAATATTCACACATACTCTATAGCAGGGGTGGGGAACCTTTTTCCTCTCAAGGGTCATTTCAATTTTTTCAACATCCTCCGAGGGCCGTACAAATGATTGACCTCTGCTTAAAAATACTAAAATCACAGCATTTGGCCTTTCTTTCATGCTGTGCAAAGAAAAAGAACCTCTTAATCCAGATATCTTACTATGACTCTCGTATGCATGCACGTGCACGGTTTTGGCATGACCACCACAACAGAAAGATATGGACACAAGATATGTGCAAATGTATTTAGTATCCTATCCATGTGAACATGATTTAAGTGGGGGGGGGGGACCTAACCTCCTCTAGGGGGGTCCGGGGGCATGCTCCACCCGGGAAGATTTGTTTTTAAATGTTGAATTAAAAGCATCAATCTGGTGCACTTTGAGAGCAACATTAGGAGATCTATGGATACATCTCTCAACACCCATATGAAACAGAACTGTAAACAGATTTTCTTTTTCTTTATGGATATTTTACAAATCACTCCCCTTTCAAACTGTATTCTTGTTTATTAATAACAACTTTTTTTTACTGTCATATAGTATTTTATACCTGTTTACTTTATTCTCTTGTTTTTTTATAACTATAATGATCATATAAAGATGTGCCTTTACCTCACTGGTTGGAGAAAAAGCTTCTTATATTCGTTAGCATAGCTAGCTAACCAGATGCTAATAACAACAAAGTTATTGACTGTATGATCAGTATGACAGATGAACAGATCTCCACTGGGCTTTCAACTAAAGACACAGCCACGCACAAACTGCGGCATGTGTACGGCTCCTTATGGGTACTGACATTTGTGAAGTGCCGGAGTTGCGTTCTGGTGCTCTCCGTCAGAACTACACCCCTGTCAGACGAGACATATACCACGTGATGACACGTTAGGCTCGTGTTGTGTTCAAGGACCCTGACCTTGGCCAGGAAAAACAGGAACTCGCTTGTTTAATTATTTTGCGGTCTAGATTTCTTTCATTTTTTTTATTGCGTGTGTTTATAAATGACCTCGAGGGCGTATCAAATGGTCTCGCGGGCCGTATACGGCCCGGGGGGCCGGAGGTTCCCCACCCCTGCTGTACAGGAATGAATTAGTCATTCACTTACTCATTGGTGTCAACCATGTAAATATTCCACTTTTCCCATTTCCTATTGAATGCATTCTCTTGGATTCTCAAAACATATGTCAACTTTTCCATGACAAAAAGATCTTGAACAATTTCCAGCCACTGCTCCTGATTCGGAGCGTTCACATTAAGCCAATTCCTAGTTATAGCTTTCTTACTCGCTGCAAGTAAAGCCTTAGTCAAATATAGATCGCCTCCCATCACAACATCCTTAATGTTCCCAAGATACATCACCGGGCAGGTATTTGGGATTCCATACCCCATAATAATTTTGACAACTGCATTAACCTTCTCCCAATATGACCTTATCTTTGTACAGTTCCAGAAAATGTGCGAGTGGTCAGCCTCCATGTTCCCACACAACCTCCCACACTGTTGCTGTACACCAAGTTGCCTGCTCTTTCTTTTGGGTGTTATGAAAAAGCGAGTCAGGTTCTTCCAGCAGAATTCCCTCCATACTAATGTTACAGTTACAGTATCTAAAGATTCACCTGAGCACTAGTGCTTATTGATGAACAGGCAGTCCTAATTTGTATATTTCTGATACGTTAAACATCTCCAACAATGCTGTTTTTGTATTGGTATTGAGTTAAGCTTTAGGTAGGAGTAAAGTGTAAACCTTGTGAAGGATGGACGTAGGCAAGGAACGTTTATTTATATAGCCCATTTCGACACATGGCTGTTCAAAGTTCTTTAGAAAGACATTCAAATTACATTTAAATACATTTACAGATACATTAGGGTTAGGATTAGAATAAAAACAATTATAAATTACAAGAACAAAAGTTACAGTTCTGTCTAAGATATGAATGGTTATTTCATTTAATGAAAGGCAGCGACAAACAGTCTTCAGTCTTGATTTAAAAGACGTTGGAGCCGCAGTTTCCTGGGAGAAATATGTAGTATTTTCTAGTCCATGAATCCATGTAGACATCTGGTCTTTAAACATTTTTTTACATAGAGACATTTTGTCGAGTAATGCCTCCTCAGAAGTAGCCACCATGGTGTCGTGCTCCTGCAGTTCAGCGTCTCTCTGTGTCCCCCCCACAGCAGGAGTGGATCAACATGACAGGTTTCCTGTGTGCTCTGGGTGGCGTGTGCCTCCAGCAGCGCAGCACCCCCGGCCCGGCCACCTACAGCCCCCCCATGGGCCCCATGAGCGAGCGCAAACACTCCATGATCTCGATGGGCCCCTGCGACGTCTACAACCCCGTGGTCTCCATCTCCTCCTGCTCCTCGTCGGCCTCCAGCGAGTCGCCCGTCAGCCGCTTCGTGGACCGGCTGCTGGCCCTGCTGGTGTGTGGCCACGACAGGGTGGGCCTCCACGTGCGCACCAATGTGAAGGACCTGCTGGGGCTGGAGCTCAGCCCCGCCCTCTACCCCATGCTCTTCAACAAGCTGAGGAACAGCATCGGGAAGTTCTTCGACACACAGGGGCCGGTGAGTGGAGCTACGGCAACGCTCAGAATGTTGGAACGATATAAGATTGTCTTGTAGATTACAGAACATTTGAATTGGTGAGTGTTTTAGACGACGTTTGTCTGTTGGAGCAATACATAAGAAATAATCCATATACAAATGTGGTTTTCTTAAGCTGATATGAAGGACTATGTTGGAGATGTGCTCATGTTGCTATTAAACTTAGAAACCCAGATTTAATTCATAACCATTCCAAATGTTTACTCATACTTGGTTTCTTGTGCCATCTTTTTCTTCCACCCATCCCAAGGTCAATTTTCGATGTTTTTATATGTATCGTAAATAGTTTGTTCACATGAAATGTACACCTGTTTGGTTTCTCCTGTTTCCAGGTTCCTATCAATGACACTAACACCCAGTTTGTGGAGCAGACCATAGCCATCATGAAGAACCTGTTGGATAACCACACGGAGGGCAGCTCTGAACACCTGGGGCAGGCCAGCATCGAGACCATGATGCTCAACCTGGTCAGGTCAGTACTTCCTGCAGGGAAATGTCCTAAGTGATGTTTGCAGAGAGTGAGCTAACGTGGTGAAAGCACATTAGCATCGTATTGTGACTGAAAGACGTGACGCGTTGCTATGAGGTGTATTGACCTGCCCACCATCCCTCAGGTATGTGCGCATCCTGGGCAACGTGGTCCATGCCATCCAGATCAAAACCAAACTGTGCCAGCTGGTGGAGGTGATGATGGAGAGGAGGGATGACCTGTCCTTCTGCCAGGAGATGAAGTTCAGGTCAGTGACAAGGGTGGACTTTTAGATATACGCTGGCAATTGAAGTTTCAAGGCCCCTTTCTTACATATCAGACCTTCAAAACTCTGAGCAGAATATAGACACATTTTAATAAACAAATTCAAAGGGTAAGAAAGGGAAAACCTAAAACTAACTTGAAGGTATTGCTGTCTCTCACATGTGAGTGCACAAGTGTGTCCCAATGTTAAGTATGGCAGAACGCGGTGCACTATGACTACCTTGATCGTGCTTTGATAATGGTCAAAAAGAGCGCACGACGCTGGATGCTTCTGAAGTTGATGTGTAAAAGTTATACATTCTTTTCCGCTCTTGATGTAACATCCCATTATGCTGGAGTCAAAGAAAAGCCACTGTTAGTTTTATAGGGACAATGAGCAGTCTGTTGTGATGTGGAACAGCAAATTATTGTTCATGACATAACAGTGTATCAAGGGAAATGAACCAAATTCAGACACAGCATATGTTTCCCTCTACTTGTCCTTCAGATACTAAAGGGGCACTCATTTAGTAAACCTGAGCACACCTTGGCACACACTGGACCGTTTGTAAACCTCGGAGTGGTGTTTGAATGTACCATTTCAGTAGCGTACTCCGAGCAGCAGAGCAGAGCACACTTGCAATGTGTCAAGTTATTTTGTAGCTATACAATTAAAATAAATATATAGCTAGCTAACTAGCTTAGAAAAGGGGCTTCACAATTGGGAAAAAATAACAATATATGTGGGATTGATCATTTTTTATTTGAATATTGTCCAAATTTCAATACAAATGTCAGTTACTTGTGCGGTCTTACCTTTAATTTCCCTAACTCCTAACATTAGCTTTGGCATTTAGTTAAAGACCAAGTCGCATCATATTAATCTGTCAGGTTGGATAAACAAACACCCTTTTTAGTTCCCCATCGTCAGGAAGGAAGGTTCACTGAAGCTGTTGTCTGTTGTCTGCAGGAACAAGATGGTGGAGTATCTGACGGACTGGGTGATGGGAACATCCAACCAAGCTGCTGATGACGACATCAAGTGTCTGACGAGGTGCGGCTCTGTTCCAACTCATCTAATGCAGTGTCCAACTGAGAGAGCTCCTTTTGAACTATTTGATCTTCTGTCTGTGTAATGTACAGGGACCTGGACCAGGCCAGTATGGAGGCAGTCGTGTCTCTGTTGGCGGGTCTTCCTCTTCAGCCAGAGGAGGGAGACGGAGTAGAACTGATGGAGGCCAAATCTCAGCTCTTCCTCAAGTGAGAACACACCTGCCACCAACCTCCTCTGAGGCTCGGTCATACATTTACGTGTTTATTTAACATGTGTCTTGATAGAAATAAGAAAAACTGAATATTGGAAAGAAATTGGTGGATTTTTTCATCTAAAGAAATAGGCAGGACATCCCATCAAATGAAGATCAAACATGATGCACATGGGACACAATAGGGTGAAACAAACAACTCCAACATTCATTGTTTACATAACGTACTGGCAAGAAAACGTTTAGCATCATGAAAGTGTCATCATTTTAACTGGAACATGTAAAGAATTATCGAATATGCAACCAATTTTTTCCGCATATATATATATATATATATATAAGTGCTTTGAGGGGGTCAGAAGACTAGAAAAGCGCTATTTAAATGCAGACCATTGAACATTTAAAAATGTTGAATATATAGAAAAAGAGGAAGAATTAGCCCTGTGAAGTTGCGTAACCTACATGGGCAAGCCTTTCCTTTAATATGCTGTGGTTTGGTGTTTGTGTTCAGATACTTCACCCTGTTCATGAACCTGCTGAACGACTGCAGCGAGGTGGAGGACGAGGGCCAGGCAGTGGGGGGCCGAAAGAGAGGAATGTCCCGCCGCCTGGCCTCGCTCCGCCACTGCACCGTCCTGGCCATGTCCAACCTGCTCAACGCTAACGTGGACAGTGGTCTCATGCACTCCATCGGTAAGGCGGACGCAAAATGACCCATCGTAGCATTATGAATAATGGAGCTTTCTACAAACCAACCGATTTGTTCCTCACTCCCCCCTCAGGTCTGGGCTACCACAAGGACCTGCAGACTCGAGCCACCTTCATGGAGGTGCTGACCAAGATCCTGCAGCAGGGCACAGAGTTCGACACGCTGGCGGAGACGGTGCTGGCCGACCGCTTCGAGAGGCTGGTGGAGCTGGTCACCATGATGGGAGACCAGGGAGAGCTGCCCATCGCCATGGCGCTGGCTAACGTGGTCCCGGGGTCTCAGTGGGTGTGTACCTCGTCTAACGTCTTATATATTGTATGAACAGTTATCCATGAAAAGTTGATCAGCATTGACGTACGTGTTTGTGTCTCCAGGACGAGCTGGCCCGCGTGCTGGTGACGCTGTTCGACTCGCGCCACCTCCTCTACCAGCTGCTGTGGAACATGTTCTCCAAAGAGGTGGAGCTGGCCGACTCCATGCAGACGCTCTTCAGAGGAAACAGCCTGGCCAGCAAGATAATGACCTTCTGTTTCAAGGTAGGAAACATAGCACAACCCTGCCATGAAGTAAACATGTTAATGTTTGCTTGACAGATTACATCGTAGTTGAATATGACCTAACATTAACATTATTATTATTATTATTATTATTATTTACAACATGTGATAGTGCTTATGGCCAGAAATAGTCAACTACAGTATCCTGATAAGATGCTGGAAGTCTGCATGTTTTGATCCCAACAAGTAGTTGACCGTGTAAAAATGTTGATTTATAACTGTGTTTTAGTTATTAAATGCAGTGTTGTAGCAGATATTACTTAGTGAATCACAACGTTGGTAATGGACTGTTATGGATGTCATTTGAATGGAAAACACCTGCCGTGATGCTGTCATTTACTTTCACTAGGTACATACAGTAAGGTCTTCACAAAAGGTTTGGAAGTTTGTGGAATGCAAATCAGGTCCAAGTCATCCTTGCAGAAAGAGGCCTTGAGGTGTTTCTGAAGTCCCGCTCAGCTGCAACGATAGCTGCTGCACAAACGGTCCTCAGTTAACCTTTCCCGGGAGAATTAGCAGCCACAATTCCACTTGTGCAGCCAATTTCTCAAGAAAGTCTCCACTGTTTAGCAAACTTCTCATATATTGGAATTAAATATTTGTTTGTTTGCTTCATACTGCCGTAAAGAGACCAGATGAATGAATCCAGTGTTGCTTGGTAGGCTTCAGTGAATACAGCTTGGTGAAATATACCTGACGATGTGGTGAATCCAGATTGCAATGAAGGGTCAGGGGTTCGTTCCCCAGTTCTTGCAGTCAACAAGTCAGAGGCTGCGTCTCAGGTCGGTTAAATGGAATCCTTGCGTCCCTCACTTGCGTCGTTTCCCTGCGACTAGTCTCTCCCTCCAGGGAAGCATGGAGAGACGCAAGGAAACCATGAGAAGCAGGGAAATGAGTTTTAAGAGCAATGGGACGTCGTTTCCTCCGGAGCGTCACGTGAAGCGACGTCCGTTTGTGATGACCCAGAGTGTCCTTGATATAAACATGAAAGTGTCAGCTAAAGGAAATGTATGTCATTTCTGGTTTAAGTAAGGCTAGGAAACACAAATGATTGTCAAACCTGCGCAAGAAATAGGAGGCGAAAACTGGAGCACAGCACTAGTAACATTAGTAGAGGTGTATTTGTATATTGATTTTGACAGTATTTCCTGCTGTCTTGTGTCAGGTCTATGGGGCAGCATACCTGCAGAAGCTCCTGGAGCCTTTACTCAGAGGGGTCATCACCACCCCCGAACACATCAGCTTTGAGGTGGACCCCACAAGGTGAGTCAAATGTAGTGTTCATATTTTCTGACAAATAAAGAATCTAAACTATAACTGATTTTAAACAATTGTTACTCATGTATACTCAGCTTGGGTCTTATCAAAGGTCTCACAGCAGGGTGGTATACATCATGTGGTGTTATTATATCTTTTATCAATACATTTGTATTAACTACGGAATGACAACCATAATAATAAACACACTAATCAATACATTGAATGTAACTAAAACATGTTATATACAGTAACTAGAGCATGCTAGTTTACATATTAGCAGCACCATAGCATGTTAAATTAGCTACTTAATTAAAAACATTGTTTAAAATAATGTTCTCTTAATATTAATAATAAATATAAACTGTAAGTATTTACCTTTTTAACTCACACACATTCTAGAGGACCCAAACCTCAAAAAGTAAATTTTTTGAAATACATTTAAGGAATTATATAAAATAATGACATACACAGGTGTTATCAAGTTTAAAGGGTGGTAGTTTTGACACCCCTGTCACGGTGGAGCTTTTCAACCCGTGCAGCAGTGACCAGCAGATGGCAGCACAGAGGCAAACACTCCTCACAGCAGTCAAAGTAACAGAGGCTTAATCAAATCAAATCAAATCAAGTTTTATTTATAAAGCACATTTAAAAGCGATTTTTGGTCGAGCCAAAGTGCTGTACATGTAATAAAAACACATTACTACAATCACAATAAAAGACAATAAATTACAACAGATATATAAAAAACACAGGGAAAAGTCAGGAGTTGTGCTCCGCTCTGACTAGAAGGCCAGGGAGAAGAAGTGTGTCTTAAGTGTAGATTTAAAAACCCCTAGGGTCTGGGCCGACCTCACATGGAGGGGCAGAGTGTTCCAGAGCCTAGGGCCAGCTGCTGCGAAGGCTTGGTGCCCTCTGGTTTTTAGCCTGGTCTTGGGCACTACCAGCAGCAGCTGGTCAGCAGACCTTAAAGCTCTGGCTGGGGTGTAGCGCTGGAGCAGTTCAGCTATATAGGCCGGAGCCAGCCCATTTAGTGCTTTAAAAACAAATAAAAGGATTTTAAAATCAATTCTGAACCGAACTGGAAGCCAGTGTAGTGAGGCCAGAATTGGGGTGATGTGGTCATGCTTTTTGTGGCCAGTCAGCAAACGTGCAGCAGCGTTTTGGACTAGCTGCAGGCGTTTGATTAATTAATGGGCAAGAAGTTAGTGAAACACTGTATTGACAAAGCACATGGTACGAGATTTGTACAGTTTTTAAAAAAAAAAGCAAACGATGAAATGTAAAATAACCAATGTAATATTTTGTTTCCATATTCAACAGAATTCATTAATTGTCTGTATTCGGAACACTAAAAAACGGAAGAAGTATTACTGATGTTGAAGATTAACACAAATCTGAATTCAGACAAGATACTGGCATAGAAACGTTCATTTAAAAAAAAAAAGTCACATTGAATTCACTCAGCTTTATACAGGGTTTGACACAACATAATTGTTTTAAACAAATATATTGTATTGCGGCTGGAACTACAATGACAGCATGGTTACCTAAAATAATGGCAGCACTGATTGATGCAGTGGTTACTGTAACTGTCCGAGTCTGTTCACATTTTCTTTTCCACGAACAAGTCTTTAAACACTGCCAAAGTCCATTCAGTGCTCCTTTAGTGATGACTTCCTGTCTGTCCTCTGCTGCTGATTTATCTGTGTCGTTTCACCTCTTTCTTTCTCTGCTTTTTACTTCTCTTTACTGGGGACACTTTAGCCATCATGAATCAATAATGTTGTTCTCCACACATTTTTTGAATGGGGTTTTCTGATGATGTGTTGTTTTTGGCCACAGCTGATGAGTAATTGACGTACTTCTTTTTGTGGATGGATACATTTAAAGGAGCTTCCTTAGTAACAATATGCTCTTTTTTTGATAGCAGACTGCTGCTGAATTCCAAATCAGAATGGAGTATTCATCTGAGCCATGTATTAATGTCTTCCTTACGGTCCTCTCAGACTGGAACAAGGGGAGAACCTGGAGGAGAACCAAAGGAACCTTCTGCAGATAACTGAGCGCTTCTTCCAAGCCATCATCGGTTCGTCCAGCGAGTTCCCCCCCCAGCTCCGCAGCGTCTGCCACTGTCTCTACCAGGTACTCCCTCCACCACGGCCCCCAGCTGCTCACCTCAGCCTCTCTGCCCTCACCTGTGTGTGTGCAGTGTCACTTACACATTTCAAGCTCCTGCCTCTCCACTCATTGCACAGCTGTACATCCTTCACACAATCTGCTGGGTCAAAACATACAGATCTTCGGTGGTCAGTGTTTCAACGTTAATTGTGCATAAGGGCAGAAATCCCCTGAAGCACCATGGGACACTAATCATGATATATTTTTAGCTGACCCAAAAATATAAAACTGTATTACATTTATCTATTGGATTTTGGAATATTGCAGAAAATAAGATCTGTGGCAAACACACGTTTATGATACTTTGAAGCGTAATTGCAATCGGCAGAAGTAAAAAGCTAACATTAGGCTGTAAACGAACTACATCACGGTCACATGGCTGCACCAACCATCACCAATGCTAAGCTAAACATCAGAGCTAGCCTCTAGCAGGCATCTAACTAAAAACAACGACCCATTCCTGCACCACTCTATTTAGTTGATTTTCTTTCCCAAAGCACCTTACATACTTTAATATTGGATCACTTTGGGGTAAAATATCTTGCGCAAGGACAGTTCAACATCTTGGCTACAGGGGTTTGGGTATTGAACCACCGATCCTCTGATTGATTCTGATAGACGTCCATTTAACCCCTGAGCCACCCCCCCTCCCTGTGTAAAAGGCAGACTTTTGCCATCATGACAATTCATCGTTTACTGTTCTCACTTAAGTCCTTCAAGCACTGACAGCAGGAAGTCTACACAGATAGGGCTGGCGCAACATCCAATCAGCTGACGAGGATCTTTAGTCAGCGATTGATTGTCTATAAATGGCAGAAAATATGGATAAAATGCCCTCAAACTGTTTGTTTAGCCCAAGAGGATATATTGATTTCTGGGGGGTTTGTAAGTCTGATTAACACTTGAAAGCTAATCAGTTTACGTATATTAATGACTTAGGAAAACACACTTGAGAAATTGAGAAAAGTATAATTTTCCATTCTTTTCTGAAATGATGAGCAGTTGGCACTACAAGAACAATGAAGTATTATTTATGATGATGCAGTATAGCTTTTTATAAAATGTTCTCTACCAACTTTAAATCAGTGTCATATTCCATTTAAAGTCTGATTTAACAATTGAACCCATACTTAAATAGTCCATTTGAAAATGCTGAATAATAAGCACTGTAACTTTGTGTTCTTCGGTCACGATCGGTTGTTACTGTAAACGACCTTATCTCCTTTCGCAAGGGACGGTGTCCTAAGGAAAAGTGCTTAAATTCTTCCCTGGTCATCTCCTTTACCAATCATCTAGAGAATTCAAACAAGCTCTCATAATGACTGACACTTATTTACTTCCGGGTCATTTCACACAGTTAGGAACCTTCCAAAACAAAAAAAACAATTGGACCACAACCGTTGTTAAAAACGCTGGTAGGGGACAGATGTTCGTAGGGAATGGCTCCTACTGTCCATGGCCAAAACAAATGGATTAAGTGTGATCACATCAAATGACAGTCCTTTTTAAATATACCAAATGTATCTAAAACAATATCATAGTCTAACCTCAAATGCAAGCATTTTCCACCTCACACTGCTTCTGCCTCTTACACTTACTTGGGGAAAAAAGAGCTCCCCTGCCCTGCCTGTCCACGCTTAAAAACGACATAAATAGACTTATTACTAATTCCGAATACTTCACAACAAAACCTATAAAACAAGGTCTGTTTCGTTTACCACAGATTTTGTATTTTCCATGTGTTGACATCTTTGATTTTTCATTCTCCATCTTGGATTTCCTTTCGCGGCTATGTAGACACACACACACACAAACACACACACACACACACACACACACACACACACACACACACACACACACACACACACACACACACACACAGTCTGTTGGAGCATGCATGGACATGCTTTGAGTCCCCTGAGCAGTGATGAACACTTTTCTAACAGCAGATTTTGATTTTCCTGTGTTTATACCTAGATGTGAATGTGCTTACACCTTGAGTGGTTAGAGTGTGTGTTGTGCGTGTGTTGTGTAGCTGGTGCTGTGACCATGATTGTGCTCATCTCTGTTCTGTAGGCTACTTGCCACTCTCTACTGAATAAAGCAACAGTAAAAGAAAAAAAGGAAAACAAAAAAGCAGTAAGTTTGGAGAATCTATTTTCCCTCAGACACTTCCCCCTCCCCCAAAGCAAAAAAAATAAGGCTTTTTTTGCATTTTATTTTCTTCATTTTATTTTCTTCATTTTATTTTCTTCATTTTCAAATGTTGGTTTTGATTTGGTGGAAATGTTTTTATTCTGTTCTCCATAATCAGCTTTGTATAACCCTCTCTTAAAATCATTGTACTAATATTGGCGCCATTTGGTGTATTTTCAATTAACAGTTCCCAGGAAACTGCGGAACTCTCTCTTTTCTTTCTACACTCTTTGTTTGCTCTCCAGGAGACATTTTCTCAGAACGTTTCATCTGCACCTCAAGCATGTTTCTCCATCCTTACTGGCTCACTCTAATAAATCCCTTAACATGCCCTATAAAGGATCTTTGGATGAAATGTTCTGAAAAACTGCCCTCCCTCTGTCACGTGGGATTCCTCAGCTGTCCTTCTCCTCCATCATTTATGAAGAGCAATGTCTTTAAGTTGGATTTATGTTTTGCATTGCCTTCCAAAAACCTTAGGCGCATTCACACCGCCGTACTTTTCCCACAAAGGTTCATCAGAACTTAGTTCATGAGAACTCTTTAGTTCTCATGAACTAAGTACAGATCTCGTTCACACCGGAATAAGTCCCTGGGGGAAGGATTAGGCAAATGAAGCCGCTGACGTCACTTCTTCTTCTGCTTTGGGTTTACTGGCAGGCCGCAAACAACTTCACGGCGTATACTGCCACCCGAAGTCCCCGGCCGGAAGTCCCCGGAGTTGGGGACTGGCTTCAGTAGAAGCTGCTGGGACTCCCAGCAGCTTCTACTGAAGCCTTCCGAGTAAATCGGCAGAACGCCGACACCTCCTCATCTCCACCGCTCCCATGTTTTCTTTTGTGTTGCCATAAGTTAGTCTCTCTGCGTTTGTGCGCTGGGCTAATGCTAATGCTAATAATGCTAATGCGAGGATAATAAAATGGCGGCTTCACAAAACTTTTTGGGAGTTTTACGGGGCGTGGTTTGCAATCCGCCCAGCCAATCAGAAATAGGAACCTTTTTCTCCCATGAAAGTACCTGCTCTCTAGCAGGGACGGAAAAGGGGGTAAAAAGGTTCTCATGAACTCATTTTAGTTCCAGATTTTTTTTTGTGTGAACACAACATTTCGGAACTAAAGTGGGAAAAGTACTGCGGTGTGAAAGCGCCTCTTGTTACTCAATGATCATGGAAGATTTGTTCTTGCTTAATCTACTTTGCTGCACATGAGGAACACGCCTGACCACATTTCCCTCTCACTCCTTCCATCAGAAAGGTTCCCTGAATTAGCCACACTTTATGTAATCTGCTTCCAGTCAGCCCTGTTCATCAGTTTTGTTTCAGGAATTGAAAGCAGTGGTCAGCGCTGGCTTAAAAATAGAAGCATGGTAATGTAACCTAATGACTGGTACATTCCTTCATGCAGATATAAAGAACAAGGAAACATGAAAAAAATGGTCACATGATCGTGGAAGTTGTCACAATTATAAACCTACATGTAGAAGGGTGCATTCAAACGCTCGTCTGATGGTTCATTTTAGCAGCAATGGACAAACTAAATTATTGTTGGAAAAGTATGCAGTTATAACAAATAAACAGCCAACCATCAGAACAAACTCAATATTTATTTTTGCAAAAAAGAAGCCTATGAATTATTGCTAAACAAAATGCATAGATTTGTTTAAAAAGTTTCAAAAAAACTGATCTCTGATGCAATATAAACTCATTTGGACACACTCATCAATGTGTGTCCAAATGGCTCATTTTACACAGACTTCTAGTTCTATCAGTTGTTCTACATTGGCATTGTGATGCATTTAATATAATATTAAATATCCATTAAAAAGGTTACCCAACTTCATTCAGGGGGTTGCCGGTTTGATCAATCATAGGAAAGGGTTCCCTTGGGCGCTTTCACACCGCAGTACTTTTCCCACAAAGGTTCATCAGAACTCTTTAGTTCTGATGAACTAAGTACAGATCGCGTTCACAACGGAATAAGTCCCTGGGGGAGGGTTAGGCAAATGAAGCCTCTGACGTCACTTCTTCTTCTGCTTTGGGTTTACTGGCAGGCCGCAAACAACTTCACGGCGTATACCATAGATATATATAAACACTAGATGACTCACCCGCGCTGTTGGCCAATGGAGACCGACGTTGCCACACGGCGGCCATCTTGCCACAGGCAGCTCGCTCATTCATAACATTATGTCTATGGTGCACTATTGAAATAACCATAGATTGCTCAATTTTCAACCAATTTTCAAACGGTTTGGTTTGTTATAAACATCAAATATGTAGTTATGATACTGCATACTTATAATTATAATTATAATCATGGACTTTTTGTCTCCTGTATCATAGCCATGCTAATAACGTTTATAATAAACCAAACCGTTTGTAAATCAGTCAAGATTTCAGCGAGTTAAGAGTATTTTTGTGCAGATCACTCACCTTACAACAGCTGTAGCAGTAGTTGTTGACTGTGGCAAGATGGCCACCGGTGAGCTACGCTGGCGACTTCCCCTTGAGCCATCTAGCCTTTATATATATCTATGGCGTAGACTGCCACCCAAAGTCCCCGGTCGGAAGTCCCTGGAGTTGGGGACTGGCTTCAGTAGAAGCTGCTGGGACTCCCAGCAGCTTCTACTGAAGCCTTCAGAGTAAATCGCCAGAACACCGACACCTCCTCATCTCCACCACTCCCATGTTTTCTTTTGTGTTGCCATAAGTTAGTCTCTCTGCGTTTCTGCGCTGGGCCAATGCTAATAATGCTAATGCGAGGATAATAAAATGGCAGCTTCACAAAACTTTTTGGGAGTTTTACGGGGCGTGGTTTGCAATCCGCCCAGCCAATCAGAAATAGGAACCTTTTTCTCCCACGGAAGTACCTGCTCTCTATCAGGGACGGAAAAGGGGTAAAAAGGTTCTCATGAACTCATTTTAGTTCCAGATTTTTTTGGTGTGAGGGCGACATTTCTGAACTATATCGGAACTAAAGTGGGAAAAGTACTGCGGTGTGAAAGCGCCTCTTGAAAAAAAAAGGATCCACTTTCCTAGACCAATGGCAACTCTACAATATACAGATTGTGCAGACAAAACATCTTTCTGATCAACATTACCTGCCCATCAAATATTTTTTTAGTAATGTTCGGGTGGTATAAATATGAGTTCAACCCTGTTGAGTGTAATGTTATTTTTTACTGATACAAGCAATGACTGACACTTCAAAATAAGCCTGGAGTTTTAATTGACTTGTCTTAAGAGGCACTTCTAAAGGCCAAATGTATATCTTCTCAATAAAGTGGTACATCGATGACGTGTTTTTGAAGGCCAACCTGGAAGGTAGCCTCGACCAAAAGCAATGGGATTTTTCCAAGAGAATAGGTTTATGATACTTACACATTTTGTTTAGCAGGATAATCTCCACATATCAACACCTCTTTTATTTATTTTTTAAATGCAATACCCACAAATAAAAAGCTAACGCAATGATATAAACAAACTACATGACGCTCATGTTACTTCACGTCAACACCACTATGATAAAGGCGGACTTGTGTTTGAATTGATGACGTTCAAAAGTCTAATTTAGTCACTTGTTAGCAATCGCTGATAATATGCTACATAGTCTTCGGACATTCACAACTGGAGTATTAAGAGATTTATTTGATGTCGTAGAACAAAATGGGAAAGACTCTTGAGCTTGTGTTAACCACAAATCAAGCATCTAACTAAAAACATGTTCAAATCCTTGTTTTTGCTAATCATCCATCACAGTACAAAGTCTTTCCTTCAAATGTACCATTTATTTGCAACAGTGGCTCATTTGTGTTGACTGATTGAAAGCTTGGGCGAGGATCTGAGCTCTCAGCAGAAGCTTTGTAGCAACATGTGATGTTGGAATATTTTGGGATTTGCACCTGTACCGCTCATCCACCGCTTCGCACCATAACTCATAACTCCACATTTGTCATCCGCTTTTTATTTTTGTATTCTTCAGCAACAGAGAGGGGTTCCTTTTACTGCACTTCCTTTCTTTTCTCTTTCTTGGGCTGTAACTGGAACCTTTTTAGTTCCTTTTAGAGCTCAAAATGACCTGGGTAGATTCTAAGTCTCTTCATATGTCGCCCTCCTTCCGAACCCGACATCTGTTACTGTCTCTGGCCATGGCTCACCTTGCTCTGCTATGTCACACATTGATTGATACATGTTTATTAAGTTATTCTCATCACCCCTCCCCCTTTGCTCTTTTCAATATTCCAATATTACATTTTACTTCCCTTTGCTCAAAACCTTCTCTTCTCTTCCATCTGTTCTACACTTCCCGTTTGTTTCCCCCCCCCCCCCCCTCTTTTGTCTTCCCTTGTTCCCTCCATCCTTCTCATGGCAGGTGGTGAGCCAGCGTTTCCCACAGAACAGCATTGGAGCGGTGGGCAGCGCCATGTTCCTGCGCTTCGTCAACCCGGCTATTGTTTCTCCCTATGAGGCCGGCATCTTGGAAAAGAAGCCCCTACCCAGGATAGAACGGGGTCTCAAACTCATGTCAAAGGTATGAAGTCGTACTGCGCTGTAATTGTGTTGTTATAGCCATGTTAGGTACAGTTATTCCACTATTATGACTTACTACGATTTAAAAGTTATTTAATCTAAATGTTTTATATTCCTGTCTTCCTACAGATTCTGCAGAGCATTGCAAACCATGTCTTGTTTACGAAAGAAGAACACATGAGGCCTTTTAATGACTTTGTTAAGAGCAACTTTGACTCAGCCAGAAGGTAAGAGTATAGTTAACTCCCCTCATTCAGTCTCTCTGCACAGAACCCCCCCGGCCCCCCCTCCCTGCACTGTGTTTTTATCCACTTATAAGTAGGGATGGGTACCGAGCCCCGGTATTAAACGGGCCCCGGGGCTGAATTATTAAAGACCGTGATACCGTTAAGCTCCGACGTTATTGGTCTTTTTATCGGTACTGGAGACACGTAAAAAATATATCTCATATGTATTATTGCTACACAAACATTATATTGCTGTTTTAGTGTCGCCAACTCTGTTTCTAATACGCAAAAAGACTGCAAAATGCGTCTATGATTATTTTTAGTATTTTCGATCTTTCCAATCCAGACGAGAGATCTCTCTCTCCCGTCTGTGTGCGAGGGGGCGGGGCAGTTTACACATACGCAGCTGCTACATGCAGCAACACACACACACACGGAGGGGATGGCGGAGAGAACGCGCTCCGAGGTGTGGTTAAACTTTACCCGTCTCGATGTGGACAATGCTCGTTACCTAAAGTGCAATAAGAGTTTAGCATGTCAGGGTGGTAACACGAGCAATTTGTCTAAACATTTAGCAAAAGTGCACCACATTCAGACGGAGAAATGCACCGGGTTCTGGTAGCTCTGTAGCCCCATCCACGAGTAACGTTTCCACGTCAGGTATTATGTATGCTAGCAGCAAAAAATGGAGTTAACTCAATTATACAAACACGGGTTAATGATTAGAGGTAACTGAGTTATTTATTAAAGTTTCAGCTATTCTGTTTACAATTCTGTCATCAGATTACGTAATACGATTTGTTAAAACACTGTTGTTTCTTTTGATGTGAAATATTATGTATTTAATTTAATTTAAATAAAAAGCAATGTTAGTTTTGTTAACAATTTGTTTAGTTAGTTTACCTCATTTTCTTCTCCAAAAGAACCGATAAAAGTACCGTTAAAAGACCGGATCGATAAGCGGTATCGATAAAAGTAGTAGTACCGGTAAAACCTTAACGATATCCATCCCTACTTATAAGGCTATTTGTTTGAAAAACGATATCCAAATGATGCTTGGGTTCAAACTACACCTGCTCTCAAAGGGTTAAAAGTAGAGGTTGTCAGTTGATTATTGATGTGACATGTCAGCCGCAGAATATTGAGTTTTTCTTGTATCAAATCATCATCTTTTGTGATTAACCTTGCATCAGGGTTAGGGGGTTAGTAATACAGCAGCCCTGGGTCTCATTACGGCTACCGTTTTTGTACTTGATGAGGGGTTAGAAGGTTATGGTTACAGACCTTTTTATTGACAACATTACTCTAGAGCGCCACTTGTGTACAAACACATACACTTCAGAGTCCCTTTAACTAAACTCTTCTCTCCATCCCAGGTTTTTCTTGGACATAGCCTCTGACTCTCCGCCCAGCGACTCTGTGAACCACAGCCTGTCCTTCATCAGCGACGGCAATGTGCTGGCCCTCCACCGCCTGCTGTGGAACAACCAGGAGAGGATCGGCCAGTATCTCTCCAGTAACAGGTCAGGATAAAGGACTGTATGAAACACAACTGCGGTGTTCTATGATGTCTCAATTTACATACTTCTGTCTATACATTTGCTGTTTTGAGTGCATCCCAATGCGAAGTAAGGCTCATAACGATCATAGGGTTGAGTGTAGAGTGCTCTGGAACGCTGGAGCATGGATGTATAAAGAGAACTGGATACAACGTTGATACAGCATTCCTATGAAAGTTGCTCAGTGGCACATGAAGCCAAAATGGCCTGAATGTTGAGGGCAAAAGTACCCGTAAGTGGGACCATAGAGAGTGCGCACTTAAGTTTTCTTTCAGCCCCGCCTACAACCATCACTGCAGTCTCTGCTCAGTGAAATTAATGGCAAAGAACTCTGGATTAAGCTTTTACAGGATTGTACAACTTTTAATGATTTAAAGATCTATTCAAGTGTTCGTAGTAGTTGATTTAGGTTTCAAAATAATTCTGCTGATTTACAGACATCTCTTTCCTATGGAAGAGGATTAGGGCCACATGAATTTTTCTTTTTTGTTCTGAGAAAAGTCAGAATTCTGACTTTTTTTCTCAGAACTAATTTTTTTTTTTTTTTTGGGAGAAAAAAAGTCAGAAATACCGGTAACTGTAGAGAACCAGCTTCAGTGAGAGACTTACACATTGCAGTAGGCAACAATGGAGGACGTGAGTGAATTTCTGCGCGCCAGAGGGGTCCAAGAGGAAACCATATTGCAAATGGAAGAACAAAAGGTGAGTTATAAATATATAAGTGTGTTTTGAGCGTTGGTAAAAACAACGAAAAGGCGTTAGAATGTGAATGTGAAATGCAGACATTGATGAGCTAGCAGCAAGTGCATTAGCTTATATGCTATGGCTTCCCCCCCCATCTAATTCAGTAAATAATGGTTTAGTTCAGGGGTGTCAAACTCAATTTCATCACGGGCCACATTAGAATTATGGTTGCACTCAAAGGGCCGGTGGTAACTTTAAGACTATATAAATATACATAGATAAATATATATAATATATATAATATAATGTATTATTTAACAATATTTCCTCTGCATTGGATTATTATCGGATAGGGTAATAACTTCATAATTAACTGTCTGAAAGCAGAAGTCTAGGGCAAATAATTGCAAGTAATTTCAAGTCTCTTCAGTGCGCATCTCACAAAATGAGATGCATTGTGGGACATGTAGTTTATGGGCAACGTGCTCCTGTAAAGCGGCACGTAACCTTATAATAAACGTATTATATTCTTTGCAAGCTCTTGTGGGCCACATACAATGAGGTGGCGGGCCGGATTTGGCCCCCGGGCCTTGAGTTTGACACCCCTGGTTTAGTTAGTTGACACGCAAGTTTGTGCTTGTTGGAACAGTGACGACTAACCAAGAGCAACAGCCTGGTGGTTTTCATGTTTCTGTAGAGATTTCATTAAGTGTGTTTAACAAGGCAGCTAGCAGCTAGCTGACAATCAGAAGGCTATTAACCATACAAATAATCAAAATCTCAAACATCATCTCGTCTAGAATGGAGTAAGACAGTTGTGGTTGTGGGAAAAATGATATTGTAAAAAAATACACATTTTATGAAACAAGTCAGTGAGGTTAACAGTAAGAGTGTTTAACACTTTCTGGCTTTAAATTAAAGGTAGGATTTTTGTTCCTGCATATAAAGTGTTCCTGATAAATAAGATCAGTACTCCGTAATGGACACTTTTACTGAGCATATACTGTGTAAAATAGGAAGAAGAGTCTTAACCTTACAATATTTAAACAATGTATTTTCTTTTCTTTTTTGCAGATTAAAAGCAACGTTATTGTCTGATGTACGATTCAACTTCAACTGCCATATTACAACCCCTCCTACGAATACCAAATTGTCCTCTTTATATTCTGCATTACATCAGTTTGCTGCGCTGCTCACAACAATGCCTGCAGTGCCGGATTTGGATGACTTAATTAAACTATACTTCAGACTTTCCCTAAGTAACAAAGAAATACTTGCTATTTTGGCACATACTAATCACATTGTAATTAGTGTCCGAACATTAAAGAGAATTTGTAAAAGACTTAACCTGTTCAGGAGGAAGAACCAGTCTGACTTGGAGGAAGTGCTAGCTTTTGTACAGCATGAGATCATGACCAATGGACAGATGCAGGGATACCGTTGGCTACCTCTCCGTGCAATTCAACAGGGCCTTGTTGTGTCACAAGATAGCATAAAACGCATCATCAAACTGGTTGATCCACAAGGTGTGGAATTAAGACGAGCCCACCGCTTGAGAAGACGTCAGTACAGATGCAGAGGGCCAAATGCACTTTGGCACATGGATGGTTATAAGCTAAAGCCCTATGGCATTGCCATCAACGGCTGTATGGATGGTTTTAGCCACTATGTGTTATGGATGCAGGCCTATACCACAAACAGTGATCCTAAAGTAGTTGCAAGTTACTTTATCAAAACAGTTTCAGGTATAGGTGGATGTCCAGAGAGGATTCATGCAGACAGGGGCACGGAAAATGTTTCTGTTGAAGAAATGCAGATGTTTTTGCGAAGGAACCACCCAGACAGTTTTGCTGGGGAGAGAAGTTTCCTTTATGGAAGAAGCACAGCAAACCAGCGCGTTGAAGGATGGTGGGGTATACTCCGCAAACAGAGTGCGCAGTTCTGGATGAACCTGTTCCAAACTCTCCAGGAAGATGGGCACTTCACAGGAGACTTTTTGGACAAAAGTCTTATCCTATTCTGTTACCTTAATCTTGTTCAGGTAAAATATTTCATTTCCTTCTGAGATGAGTCATTAATAAAAGTAGTACGAGTAATAATAATATTATAATTCACTATGTTCGTGGACATTGCAGCAACCTCAGCCTCCATCTAGACAGGTAGAAGTTATGTCCGAAAGCTTCTTAAGACATCGTCTACATTTGCTCTGCTTTTTTTCTATGCAGGATGAACTTGATTAATTGGTCAACACCTGGAATTCCCACAAAATCAGACCAAGATCAACTGATGACACAGCATCTGGTCGGACAGTGATTATGTACTCATTCCCAGAGTTGCACAGTGCTGAGGATAGACTCAAACCTATTGCCATGGAGGAGGTCAATTTTTGTATGGAAGAGTGTACTTGAACTGTGTTGTCTACTCATGGCGGATAACGGATGGGATGATCCAGCAGATCCATTTACTGCAGCTGATCTATACATCCTGTTACGAGATGAAATACGACGACAAGTATTTGATTAAGGGTACATGTAGCGTACATGTCATTATGCAAAACACAAAATACTGTTCAGGACAAAACTTTGTGACCTTAAAAAATAAGTAATTATTTAGTCAAAAATGTATCAATAAAAATCATAGTCAATGGTATTGCATGTATCCCTTAAATGTCTCTCAGCAACACTATTTTCATTTTTTCAGTTTTTTAATGGTACTGTATGCCCCAAATCTGTGTTACATTTTTCTACATTGTATACACAAATCATTTACTATGTGTTACACAATGGTAACAACTGATTGCTAATTTTCACTCAGTTGCCAGATTATTTCATGTGCGCTCTAAAAACAGTAAGAGGCCAGTCATTAATATTGCCATGTAGTTTGCTGCAACTGAGACGGCCTTGCTTACACTGGGCAAACGTCCTCCTTTAAGAAAGGATAACAACGCCATTCGCTGACATAACAAACCTGCTAGTGCCATGTATTGGTGAATACAAATATCACTTTAGAATGACTCAGCATCAGAGCAGGTGAGTTTTTACTGTATTCCAGGTAACACAAAGCTAATGTGTGTACAAATGTAATAACACAACTAATATGTCCTTATTGATTGCCACATATGCATACAATAATGAACATGTTTTTTTTTTTCAGCATAACTCCATTGTTTTTACTAAGAATGTCTAATCACATTCTTGCAAAAGTGTAAGCACAAATTGAATGATTTAACCTATAGATACATCGTTCACACCTTTTTGCAAAACACATTAATTAAATGGATCAGATTGTCTTTATGCAGTAACACATTTTATTTATTTATTTCAATTACTTTGAGTATTTCAAAATGTGGTTACATTTATGTATTCTCGGAACTCAATGAAACAATGTAGCCGTAATAACCAGAGGTGAACAGACTTTGGGAAGCTTGGTTGTGAGTTCATATAGGAGCACATTGTATCCAATGCTGATACAATGAGTATGTCAGTGCAGTATTCATCATATGTTCTCAGTATTGATATACATCAGTCTTTTAACTGTATTCACCATAACATTGCAACCTAGTTTTGGCAACAAAAAAACAATTAACTTTATTAAGACAATAAAGGATACAATTTCTAGACAATTAAATACAAATTGAATATGTAAAAAAGGCATCAAGAATTCGAAGCATACATAAACATAATTTTAAATGGTAGTGTTCTTAATTAATTAGCAATTATTTTATCATTGTTTTTAATGCCAAATGACTAATTACTTTTCTCACATTAGTGTCAAATATGAATTACTATAAGATATTTTAGAAAAGTCTTGAATAACTATTGTAAAGCTTATTTATTCAATCACTTTATACCCATAAGAATAGGGAACTTTATCAACATTCAATCGAAGACCTGAATACAAATGTGGTGTAAGAAAATACATTTTATTCACAATGTAAATTTAACTTGCATTTCAATGTTAAAAGTAACATTTAACAAAACATGAGAATTCCGCACAAGGATGACCGGAAAATTACAGCCCTTTTGCATTGCTTTTTTTAAATTATTGGTTGATCCACAAGATGTGAAATATAGAAACAGAACAAATATCTGCCTGCATTGTGCCAGTGCAATAACAATTATTAAGGTATCCACAAATAAAAATAGGTTTAGATAGATAGGTTTTGTTGCACACAACAATGCCTGCAAAACAGATGTTGAGACTTAATACAACTTACCTTCAGAATGTCTTTCAGTATCAAAGCAATACTTGCAATCTTAGTAAAAAGCAAACAATTGTAATCAAAACTTCTCATAACTAAGATAACTGGTAGAAGACTAGTTGTGTGTGTGTGTGTGTGTGTGTGTGTGTGTGTGTGTGTGTGTGTGTGGTGTGTGTGTGTGTGTGTGTGTGTGTGTGTGTGTGTGTGTGTGTGTGTGTGTGTGTGTGTGTGTGTGTGTGTGTGTGTTGAAGAACCAACCAGTCCACATTTTAAGCATTATTTTAAGATTATGTCTTAATTACTTTTGACACTAGTATAAAATATGTTCTAAATAAACAAGTATGCTTTAAACAAGGCACTTGCTTTGCAACTTTATATTCCAGTCAATGGTCAGATAAGGGGTTAGCTACACATTCATGCTTTTATACAAGTCATTCACCTGGGTAAGTGGCATATCATTTTACAATTTACACAAAAAGTAAGAGGGAGCAATCAGTACATTGTATTTTACAACTGTTTCCATATAAGAACAATGAAGCATGCCACTGTTCTTGTTTGAATCCTTAAACATCTTAGCAGCATTAAAAGGTCTTGAATTACATGAACAAATTACATTTCTGTCCAGTAAGGTTTGTGTTGTGCAACTGGAGAATAATAGTCAATATGCAAGTTTGTTGTAGTTTGTGAACACACCACCAAGTTTGTGTAGTGAAAGATGGGCTCCCTTCTGGCTAGCTGGACTTCTATATAACTATTAAAGGTCCTGGTGAAGTGCTTCTTTTAGGTCCCAAATATACAGTATCTATAGCACACCATTGCTTGCAATTCTGCACAACTACTTCGAACATGAAAAACTCTTAACAGTTTGGATTGGTTTGGTTATTGTTGTTGGAGTCTAAACAATGTCCATAACCCACACATTGCTCTCAAGAACTGAATTGAATTCTGAACGGAAATCATAGCTGTCAGCTATGTGCAGAATATTCCCACGTGTGCGCAATCGGTCTTCTTGTGAACTCTGTCATTTTCTCAAATTCCACGTAGATGCTGTCTGTCACGATGAGATCAGATCCTGTGCAGAACCGTAGAAACTTCTGAAGTTTACTCTCATCTAGCTCTCCGATTAATCTTTTCAGATGATTTGCTACCTCCTTTTGGTTTGTAGTCAAATCAACATCAAATTTCAGTAGTTTGCAGACTTTTTTTGTGGTGGGTTGCAGGTCACAACCTCACATTCAATGATTTGTTTAAAATCTCTGCATCAGAAAAGGCAGTAATCATGTCAGGTAGGGTGTTTGCATGATGTACAGTGATTGTTAGTTGTTTCTCTGCCTCAAGTGGACTGGCGGGGGGGTGGGTGCTAGTGAATAAATACATTAATTTAAGTTTTCCGCACACTCGCAGGATTATCTCTGCAATGGAGCGAGCTTAAGTTTCACTTTCGATTGCATGATATAGCCCAGCGCAACACCTACGTCACACATGTTGCCACTTGTTTGTACCATTTTCAGGCGATTTGTAATCTGTTCTAGAAATACGATGTTTTTAGGATTGCAAGAAGCATATAGAACAAACAATGGATGTATTTTATGAACATTTATCCCACTACAAAAAAAGCCCAGGCGAGCCTAACATGTGAAAATATGGCTTAGACCTCAGAGAGTTAAACTTGGGCCTGCGACCATAGTGTTACCGCATTTTGTTTTGAAAAGCCACAGCGGAGGTTTGTGTCGTACTACATGCGGTGTATTTTGCACATCTCTCAGTAGCCAACGATCTGTGAGTCTGTTGGCTCGGACACAAACTCCGTAATAAATGTAGTTTACATTTCATAAGAGGTGTAAAACCTGTGAGCATTTTAAATCGCATTTGAACTCAATGCTTATATAATCTGTAGTTGTATTTGTATTGTTGATTTATTGTGTGAACGAGGCGATATACAGTAGAGAAGGTTAAGCTGTCATTATTAGGCTGTTTTGTACTGATGGAGTGGTAAGCAGGCCTATTGTTTTTGGATATTTGTGAGTCAGGTGGTCCGTGAGTGTTTTTTTATTGGTTAAGTGGTCCTTGGTATGAAAAAGTTTGAGAAACACTGCGCCAGTGGATTGTCAACGGGGGGAGCCTCGCTGCGGGGAAATTATACAGATGGCTAGTCCGCCCCTGAAAAATCTCACGACCCCCACTTTGGGAACCCCTGCTTTAGGTGATATTCCATCAGGAAAAAATTGTGTCTTTCCTGTTTCAAGGATTTCATTCAAACCAGCATTAGTTGATAGTTTAATTTGTCTAGTGCCACCTCCTTGTTTTGCCCTTACTTGTTTGGTTGTGTTAGTGTCATTGTGAATCAAGCCTATTTCAATATTTCTTGTGGCTTTCAGCTTCTTTGTCTGTGTTTTTCTTGTTTCTGTACCTGATGCGTTTCCTTGAGAACTTTCCGATCTCAGTGTAATTTTTTCCCTCAGTCTTTCATAAAGGTCTTTTTTTCGCTTTGATGTGGGCTTTTTACTTCTACAATAATTAAAGATGGCAATTCGGTCTCCGTTGGAGGGGATGTATTTTTGAAGAGTGGCATTATCCATAAGACCAATGACGTCGCTGTCAATCTGCAAAGAAGAAAGAAAAGAAAAGAAAACACAATCAAGTTTGTGCACATTGTATAACTATTGTCAACCCTTCTACATCGTGTATATAGATATATACTATTTTTGCCATTTCGCAGACCAAATCAGTCCTGTTCATAATACAAAACATTCATTAATTTTCAGAATATTAACTTAAAAAGCCAGTTTTTGCCATGATGGTACTGTTGTCACTTTGTTAGAAAAAAACTGAAACTGCTAGTTTCCCTGTTTACCCTAAAGTTTATAACCTTCACATAAGTATAACCCTTAAAAGTGTTTTTAACTTGTTCCAAGAGGCAAATAAATATGATTGTGGACATCAGTTCGATGCGTAACATTCTTTTAAGACCAGAGTAGTTACACTCAGTAACGTTAGAGACTGACATGATACGCAGCAACACATACTAGATAAAATTACCAACATTGTCCTGCTGTTTTAATCCCCTTCAGACAGTACAGCAGGATTCATATTCATATGCTGATAGTTCTGTGATTGTGGGGTAAAAGGACAATGGCCCAATGGACAATGGTAACGATGCTACAGTACCGAGAGGGGTTATACTGGGCGAATGTTGGGTATATATAATTAGCAACTGCCTCCTTGCGTTGTACTTTGACCACTGATCTCTAAACTGTTACAGGCAAAATTATTTGAAGTAATGACGGCAAAAAAAAAGAAGTTTGGGCGATATGTTTTTCCCCGCCAGGCAGGTAGCTGTCAGGCTCTCAGCTAGCTGCTAGCTGCCTTGTTAAACACACTTAATTAAATCTCTACAGAAACATGAAAACCACCAGGCTGTTGCTCTTGGTTAGTCGTCACTGTTCCAACAAGCACAAACTTGCGTGTCAACTAACTAAACCATTATTTACTGAATTAGAATAAGCCATAGCATAAGCTAATGCACTTGCTGCTAGCTCATCAATGTCTGCATTTCACCTTCACATTCTAACGCCTTTTCGTTGTTTTTACGAACGCCCAAAACATACTTATATATTTATAACTCACCTTTTGTTCTTCCATTTGCAATATGGTTTCCTCTTGGACCCCTCTGGCGCGCAGAAATTCACTCACGTTCTCCATTGTTGCCTACTGCAATGTGTAAGTCTCTCACTGAAGCTGGTTCTCTACAGTTACCGGTATTTCTGACTTTAAAGTCAGAATTCTGACTTTAAAGTCATAATTCTGACTTTTTTTCCCCCAAAAACAATTATATTTTTTTGTTCTGAGAATAAAGTCAGAATTCTGACTTTTTTTTCTCAGAACAAAAAAAATACATTTCATTTGGCCCTAATCCTCTTCCGTACTTTCCCAATGTAAGTCAATTTGGAAAGGTTTTTGTGTGCGTCACAGACTAACACGAAAGTTGTAGTACCGCCGTTAAGACACTAAGAAAAGTTGCTTCATTGCCCGGCTCACTTCCTGGGGTCTTGCACTGGACATTTGTCACCCTAAACGAGCGCAATCTTGGCTACAAAACGTAAAGTACACAACCAGCCACAAGTACGGCTGCTACAGTAAATTACATTGGTATACAAAAATAAGTCACACATTTACATATTTTTTACACTATTCAAGCTGTACCACTTGAAGGCATAGCAGCGGTAGAAGTTCACACAAAGTATAATTGTTCACAATGCACAACACAGCACTGTACTAAGAAGTATCCAAATGGAGACAGAATAATTATTTACCACTACTTCATCACATAATTACCGTTAAATGATTCATTCTGATGTCATTTTCAGGGACCACAAGGCTGTAGGTCGACGACCCTTTGACAAGATGGCCACCCTGCTGGCCTACCTGGGCCCTCCTGAACACAAACCTGTGGCCGACACCCACTGGTCCAGCCTCAACCTCACCAGCTCCAAGTTCGAGGAGTTCATGACCAGGTAACAGATCAGCCTTCATCCGTCCCTCAAAACAAGCGAGTCCCTCCTGCTGAATACCCACTCGGCCTCATTTCATCCTCGAGCCGGATTCATTTAATTTACATGTAGGGCTCAAATAAGCTAACTTATTGTGATAGGAGTGTAGTTGTGTGCACTTAAAAAACCCTTTGTGGGAAGTGTGTCTTAATCCTATTCCCACCTATTGCCTCATCGCTTGATTAAATTATTGTGGCTTTGATTCATAAAAATGTCTCCCTTGTTACTTTTCCATTTTCACATTATTCTCCGTTGCAGCAGAGGCAGTTCTTTGTCATATTTTGACTCTAAATCCAGCTTTTCAATGTCATATTTCACCAAATAGCTAAATTCTGCATTGCATTCTGACTGAGAGCTATACAAAATCAGTTTTGGATGTTTATTTTATATTTTGTATCAAATCATTGCCATAAAGGAAATAAAGCTGGCTTTGCAGCTGCTAAATGCTGTGGCTCTCTGAGACGCACTGTAGCTTTATGATGACCTTTAAAATTGGCTTCATGGGTTTATTTTATATTATATCAATATTTTATACTTTCGCTTTAATAGATCCTGATTTGTGATAAAACATCACTTTATCCAAAGCTCTTGTTAGTAAATGAAGGTTGACTGATCCTATCGTCTCTGTCCTGCAGGCACCAGGTTCATGAGAAGGAGGAGTTCAAAGCCTTAAAGACCCTCAACATCTTCTACCAGGCAGGAACCTCCAAGACCGGCAACCCAGTCTTCTACTACGTGGCCCGCAGGTAGGCGTCATCCATCTTCTGCACTGAGTGTCAGGTATCGCCTGGTTCTCTGAGGTTTCTACTCAGTAACAGATCCTTTGAAATATGCCTATTACTTTTCAATCTTGCATTATCAGCTTCCTTCATTGTCATGGAGATGCATCTGTCAACAGCATGTGGGCTGAGTCATGTTGAACTGGAAAACAAAGTGGAACTGGAGTTTTTATTTTATTATTTCTATTGTCCTAGTTAGACCTCTAATCCTATATTCATTCCAGTTTGGATCATGAAAAACCTTTAGGGTTAGAAAAACAAGAGCATTAAGTCTGACTTTAGTTTGTTTCTAAATGTCCAATCAAGCTTCAACCTATGTTTTTTAATTTTGTATTATTATTTTATTTAGGTGGTTTTGGGTTGCAATGAAGTTTAACTGAATCTTTGTGACGATAAGTCCTACTGGAATTCTACAAAATGATTTTTATTTTATTTAAAAATTGAAGCACGTGCTTGTGGATCTTTTGAAATGTGAAGCAAATGGACAGTTTAACCTCTCATATGACTGATTGTTTATGCGTTTACTCTTTGTCTTGTGACTTGAATGAAAGAAAGGCACTGTGTGATAATTCAAGGCCCTGATTTAAGGCGGATTTTCACCACGCTGGTGGCAGTTAAAATGTGAAGCTGGATACACACCTGGATTCATCTCAATGGCCACAAATAACCTTCCCTTGCCTTTCTTTTTCTTTCTTTGGAGGGATCATTCTGAAACATGTTTGTCCTATGGTCGCAGCGTACTGTGAAAGAGAATCATTTGAATCATTAGCCTGGAAATCCCCCAGGAAGAAATTCCATAAGCATAGTCTGACTTACCCGTCAGCCTAACAACTTTTTTGAAAGTATTGTTTTGTTTGAGTACATACATTTTGCGTAACTACTACACGTCATTATACTTAACATAAGTCACTTTTAGTTTAGCGGTGGTGACCTGCTTGGTTGTTTTAGCCTCAGATGTAAGCCATTTACTCCTGGAATTTCATTCACACTTCTACAATTATAAAAGTGGTGATTAGTGGAGATTATCCTATTAAACACAATTTGGCAGTATCATAAACGTGCGTTTGCCACAAATCCTTTTTTGTGCAAAATGTAGAAAGTCCAATGGAAAAATACAATTGCTTTTTTGACGAGGGAGTCCTTGCAATGCTATGTCATAAAAAATGCCTCATCACTGCGCCACTCTATGGCTTTATAGTAAGAAAAGCAGCACCAACAGTCACAGCTTATTCAATTTGATTCAAATAAACAACATATTTTACAAAACAGTTCTTGTCTTTGCAGATACTGTATGTTGATAGACGGCTTTGAAGTAGTATTACATCATAGAGGATTCATTGCATTGCACTGTTGTAATTCATTGAATTTCTGATTTATTTCTTTATTACATTTCCATTGCAGGCAGTAACACCTATAACCATTCCATGAATTTGTATTTGAATGTTTGCAACTAGCCCTTTATTGTCACCACTGTTTTTTCGTATTTTGCTGTGTAGACTTTACTACTCTGAGACAGAGTTTGAATAGGGTGTAATTGAGTGTTATGTAATGTATACAATCAAGTTTTGAATGGCTAACAGGGCTAATTGAGCACGAGCATCACTATTATAAAGAAAGCATAGAGCACAGCAGTCTGAGTGCAAGCATTATACTGAGATCTTGTCATGTCGTACATGTTGAGCTAAAAAAAGGCAGTAATAGTCTCAACAGTTGTTTGTTTTTACGAAAAATGTACGTTCTAAATTGAGTAACTTGGTCAGACATTCACTGTCCAGAATAATCCTAAAATAAGTGTTTTGGTTCAGAAGAATGCTGTTGTCATGATTAACACAGTCAGGGTGACAGTTTCTCGAGTCTCCATGACGAGTCCGAGACATTTATTCCTCGAGTTAGAAACTTTGGGCTTTCTCGTCGTCTTCGCTGTCGTTGTTGTTGTGCTTGTGTGCGCGGAGAAGCCATCCAAACTTGTGGTGGATGTTAAGACAAACACCCCGTGGTCCTCAGATCCATTTGAGCCTCTTCTGTCCTGATACATTCCTGTCTCAAAGAGAGCCGATTTGCCCTGGTAGCTAGACGTGACCTCCTCAGTCCTGGCGGGTGATGGACCATCATGCCCTTCACCTCTGCTTTCGACCCAGAGTGGGGGCTCTGTGAACAGAGCAGAGTGCCCCGCTGTGGCCTGATGGCTCTGCCCGCAGATGGGTCTCGTAAAACAGGGGCAGCCTAAGATGGTTGCAGGGCTGTGCTCCGCCCATGTTAGGAGCTTCGTCATGTTTTCCTCTTCTTCACAAGCCCAAGGGTTATCCCCAAGAGTCATCAACTGCAGCCCCGTCAGCTTCTCAAATATCCCTTCTGACAACGAGGAAAAGCCGTTAGCGTGCAAATAGAACTTGGCCAGCCTCGGCAGACGGTCCAGAGAGCCAGGCAGGATCTGCACCAGATAGTTATGTGACAAATCCACAATCTGCAGGTTGTGTGGCATGTTGGTGGGCACAGTCCAGAACCTGTTGTGGCTGAGGTTGAGGGATTGGAGACTGGGCAGCGTGTTGTTGATGAAGACCACCCTCTCCAGCTCGTTGCCCGACAGGTCCAAGACCTTCAGGTTCCAGTGATAGGCTGTGCTGTTCTTGTCCAGCGAGCGCAGGTGGTTCCCCGCCGCTCGGATGTCCCACAGAGAGCGAGGCAGGGCGGGGGGGAGGGTGTCAAGCCGGTTGTAGGACAGGTCCAGCGTGCGGAGGTGGGCATAGTGGGTGAGCTGGCTCTCCAGACCCTGCAAGCTTAAGCCAGAGTGCGATTTAAAATGAATACATGTATACACACACAGTCAAGTTGACTTTTTTCAGAATTTATTTTTGTTATTTTTAGAGAGAAAAGTAAGAAAGAACATTATATTACCATACTAATCATAAAGGCAACTTAGCTCTAACCTTTGCTGATCAAAATATAAAAGTGTTGTGAATATATGAAATGCTAAACTGTAGTCTATGAACTAATATGTTATGACTCTGTAGTGTCAGTTAACCAGCAATGTCAACCTCAAGTTTGCTCATTTTAACATTGCTAACAGCAACACAAACGGCTCAATAGAAGCACTCGCATTGCTTCCCCACTGCAGATTTTGATTTAGCATCCTAACACCTTACATTGCAAGTGTGAGAAAGTGAATGAGATTGTGAGTCATGTCAGAGGCGTAGACAGATCATTAGCTGCGATAGCTTCATGTTTGTTTCCTGCCGACACCTTCAGAGCACCATGGTTTAGCCGATATAGCTAGCTTGCAAGCACTGTTGATCAAATGAGAGACAAAAGAAGTACTAGAAGAAGGAATAAGGAATTTGCTTTGGTGTATAATGATGCATACTTGGGGTACTAAACAAGCAAATAAAGAACTATTAAAAAAGCAAACTATTAACTAATGTTAACTAAATCTATTTTGAAATACAACTTAAAAAAGAGACAAATATTTTTAAGAAATAAAAATAAACCATTAAAGTAAGTACAATAGAATCTGACAAACTACTGTAAAGTATGTAATAATTTAATTGGTGGCCTATAATCATCACTTCACCTGACAAGCTGTCGTACCATATACACACTGGCCAAATATCCCTTATTGTTTACCTTTAACCCAATCCTCTTTTAGAAAAGATTAGGCTTTAGTTGTGTTAGTGTACCTTCCGTTGCACAGTAACTGTCGCAGAGCAGGACTGTAACCAGATCACCCTTCAGAGCTGCTTACCTATTGAAAGAGAGGTTGAGGAAGCGGATGTTGTGCTGCAGACCAGGCGGTAGCTTGGTGAGGCCTCGAGAGGAGCAGTCCACCACGCGGTGTCCCCGGCTGCAGGAGCACACCGCGGGGCAGATGGAGTGCACCGGGCCCCCCCCCAGCACACACAGCAGCAGGAAGAGCAGGGAGGCAGAGCACACAGCCATGGTCAGGGCTCTACAGAGGAAGAGAAGGGTCAGAATGAAATGTGATAAGATAGGCACTGTAGACAAATATGTAATGGGTATGTATTATGGTCACTCCAATATTATAGATTGCTTAATCTAAATTCTTAGTACTATTTTGTTATGGCAGCCGGTTTGAAGCTCTGCCAGTGGGACAGGAGCTCTGAGTGCTGCAGTGGAACTCATTTCATTCAGGGCGATAACATCACTCGGTGTCCACAACTGCAGATGTTGTGATCTGCAAACTAAAGGTCCATGTGTGTCTGGGATTTCAAAGACAGCACCGTGGAATACCCTTAACATTTGTTCCAGAAACGTCCTCTGTCAGAGCGCTGCATTTATTAGCCAGTGATGGCAGTGGGTGCTCTGCTGTGACTATATTCTCTCGTGCTTTTGATTAAATGTTGTAGTATTACTTTTATTAATGTGTCCATGCGATACTAAAAGCTTAAATCTGCCTAGTGACAGAGCAAGGGAGTCGATCCAAAAGAGCCAGCACTATATTACATGTTGGTTTACTGCATTAACAACAATCAGAATGTTCCGGCTCTCCGCTCAGGTGCATGTGTGTCGCGTGTTTATCGTTATCGTCCCGTTTCAAATCACTCACCTCATCCTTCTTAGTGTTTATCTGTCATCTCTCCTCTCCTCCTGTCGTCTCGTACCGCTGTAGGGTTTTTTTCTCTTTGTGCTTTATTGGTCGCTGTTGGAAGGTCTAAATCTTTTTTCTCTGGCACTTATTGATGTGGGTAGTGTGGCCCTTAGCATGCTTTCTGCATGTGCCGGCCTCTTTTCTGCTCCCCGCTCTGCAGGACCCTGATGCAGCTGGAGGTTTGGGATAGGAGAGGGGAGAGGGGGGGGGGGGAAGAGAGAGGGAGAGAATTGCAGCAGCGAGTCAGCCCACTGCTGATGAGGCAAGCTGTGTGTGTGTGTGTGTGTGTGTGTGTGTGTGTGTGTGTGTGTGTGTGTGTGTGTTTGCTGTGTGTGTGTGTGTGTGTGTGTGTGTGTGTGTGTGTGTGTGGTGTGTGTGTGTGTGTGTGTGTGTGTGGTGTGTGTGGTTGTGTGTGTGTGTGTTGTGTGTGTGTGTGTGTGTGTGTGTGTGTGTGTGTGTGTGTGTGTGTGTGTGTGTGTGTGTGTGTGTGTGTGTGTGTGTGTGTGTGTGTGTGTGTGTGTGTGTGTGTGTGTGTGTGTGTGTGTGTGTGTGTGTGTGTGTGTGTGTGTGTGTGTGTGTGTGTGTGTGTGTGTGTGTGTGTGTGTGTGTGTGTGTGTGTGTGTGTGTGTGTGTGTGTGTGTGTGTGTGTGTGTGGTCACAATTATCTCAGCCATTGAAAGTGTTAATATTGCATTTTAGGAAATGTAGTACATGCTATAGCAGATTTTCGACATTAATAAATACTCACTTAAGTTCAGACATATTGTTAGAAAATATATTGTTATACATAAAAGATTACAAAATAATTGAAGAGCAATCGAAAAGAGCAGGACGACACTCCAGGTTTAAGGTTTCCTGCCCTGTACTCTCTGATACGAGGACTTGGTTGTAATTGTATTCTTAATCAATGAATATGGTAATTGCTGTTGGTACATTCATCAGTAAAATGTACCATGAAGTATGACTATCAAATGAGCTTAGCTAAAGTAATTACACAAAGTGAATGGAGTCGCAGTCATGTTGTTCAGTTTGTGTTTTTCCAACCACTTTTGATTTTTTTTTTCCATAGTAAAAGTATTTTGAGGCGACCGGTTAAAGTACAGCTTTAGAATGACTTGCAACCTGGAAGTGCGTTTTAAATGTGACAACCAAAACCACTGGGAGACGAGACAGAACCCAAATGAACTCGGCTCCTTTCTTGCCTCACATTCAGAAATGATCTCCAAATACAATAACACTTCTTTATTATTTTATATACAAAATATACATTTACATACTCTTTATTAAAAGGTTTATGATAAGGATCATTACCAACATGCAAACAAACAGGAAGACCTAACAACTTGATTAAATACATGTACATACTCTTCTCATGACTCACATCGTAGAAATACACATGATAACCACATAAGCACAGTATTAACATAAGAAACCAACAAGGGCTGCACAATTCCATCGTAATAAGTGCTAGTGCAATATTCAAATCTCAGTAGGCACACTATGTTACAGGCAAAATATGTGAAATATAAATATACATCATAGCAATTATTTTAAATGTATGTTGCAATGATTATCAGGATAATGATGCAAAAATGAACAAGCTCTCCAATAACATAAATCATATTGCAATATCAGTCTAACTAAATGCAATTTTGTGTGTGTGTGTGTTTTTTTATTATTTCCAAATTGTGCAGTCATACCATTAACCCATGATCTCATCCTATACTTTGACCCTTTTCTAATGGGTCAATATTTGCAAATTAAATTATAATTAACTGTAATTGTTGTTTGTTCTCCCCACCACATACTGTCACCTTCTGCTTTACCAGCACCTGCGAGAAAAGAAGAAAAGGGGCCTACATGCGCCTTTTATAGAAAATGTTCTCTCCAGAAGTGTTGGAATAAATGCATTTTAGATTTATACTCTTTAGGTGACATTTTTACAGGGTGATAAAGACAATACAGCAGGGGTCTGGTGTCAGAATCCTTGAAGGGGTGATGGGGAGAGGCACATTATTTTTGCTGATAACAAAAAATAAGAGCCTGGTTGGCTAGCAGTAAAGTGTACAATAGTCTGACTTATGACTCTAACACTGCCCTGTGCATTACACAGGGTTGAGCATTTGTCAATAACAAAAAAAAAACATTTGTTTTATCATAGCGCTTTTTTTCCCTCCACTTTTTGCAGTGGAGATCTAGATAAATATGACTTCTCGTCATGATTTCCCCAAGCGATCAGTTACAGTAGTTTCCTGTTTTCTCATTCACAGTTACTGCTGCCTAGAAACCAAGAATAACGACAGTGTTTGGGGATGTGTTGCTAACTTCACGCTTTGTTGCCCAACGTCATCAATCAGTTTTCACAGCTTCAGATAGAGTGGGAGGATCTGCTACATTTTCTTCATTTTGTATTGCAACCTCTGAATTGTTGTTTGTGATGGCCGTGTCTTTTGTTGGCGAAGAGGTCAGGTTTTCAACAGTCTTTGGAGGGTCTCCTGTGCTTTCTATTTCTGGAACAGCAACCCCATTGCTTTCTTGTACATCATTCCCATCCCCCTCTCGACCAAATGTACTACCTTTATTTCCAAATGTAGTACCTTGTGTCATGTCTTTTAACTCCTCATCAGTTTCTTGGAGTAAGGACAACCTCTTGGACAGTCTCTCAGGCAGGAAGCTGGAAAGAGAAATCCGGTTAGATGACCTCAGCGTTACCTGGCCATTGTCAGCTCCGTCCTCAAGAAATGGTGAAGGACCGGCCCAGTCTCTAGTTGTAATCTGCTGCTTCTGAAGCTTACGTTTCTTTATCAAAATTACCAGGAATCCTACCATCATGAATACCAGTGCCCCGCCTATCAGCCCAGCCACTGCTTTACCATGGGGTGCTTGGTTTTTTGACTTTTCTTCTGGAACCTCTTCACCTGCCTTGGTGATGTAGATGACTGGTTTCTTTGTGGTGGCCATTGAAGTTTTGTATCCTGTGGACTGCGTAGCATCACCACTTCTGACTGTACTTGTAGATGTGTTTGTAGATTGGTCTGTAGATTGGTCTGTAGATTGGTCTGTAGATTGGTTTGTAGATTGGTTTGTAAATTGGTTGGTAGATGGGTTTTCAACAGGCTCAGTAAATGTGGTTGTAGTAGAGTTGGGGTTTGTAGACCATGTTGGACGTGTAAATGGACGGGTCGTTTTGTCAGTGGTGAATTGCCTTTGGCTGGAACTGCTTGACATTGACAGTGTCCCTATGGTTGTAGTTGGAATGCTAGCGTGACTGGTTGCATCCGTTGTTTCTGATGTTGTGAAACTAGGGTGAATTTCTGTTGTGGATTTCATGCCTACTGTTGAGCTGTTTGACTGAGACCATGTGGAATTGGTTGGAATTGATGATGTTGGAATACCTGGAAAGAAAGTCTTAGAAGGCGTCGTTGGAGATGTCTGCAGTGGAGTTGTAGCTTTTTCCTCTGTTGTATTTATATCAGTTATGGAGGTTGGATTTAAGCTGGAAACTTCCTGTGATGTCATCTTGTCCTGAGCGAATGTATTTTGCGTAACCGGTGTTCCCGTCATCACATTAGTGGAGTTGTACCTCTGACCAGATGTCACTGTGCTGCTTGCCGTCAGTGGCAGCAGCACTGTGAAGATTAGGCATACAGAATTGACCGTCATTGTTTTCTTCAGGCTTCTTGCTGGTTGCTGTGTCTTGAGCTAGAACAGAGGAAGTCATTTTGTCAGAGGTGACAAGAGTACAATCTGAAGCAGTTTTGAAATATATAATATTTCAGTGTTGCAGCGTTTCCTCAAAATGCAACTCTAAATGGGCATGTTTTCAACGTTACATACAGGGTGTATTTAAAGATTCCTCTGACTCACGGTCGTTTTTTTCCACTGGTCCTAAGATACATTTTACAACATTAAAGTATCTTAAATTAAATGATATTCTCTGTTTAATCAAGATAATAAGTGTCGGCTTTGACAATAAAAACATTCTTATCTTCCTTAGTTTTCTTTCATCCTCTTCATTTTCAACCATCGCTCCAAGGCACTTTATTTGTGATAAGTATCACTAAGTTGTCACATTGTAAATATATACAAGGTGTCTGAATAGATTTTTTTAATCTTGGCTCTGTTTCAATTCACTTCTCTGTAGACACTTTTCCCCTATTTTTAGCTCCAGCAACAACCCAGGTGCTCCAGATATATGTTGGACCTGAGGCAACATTTAAGACATTACATTATAATTCAGATGATTAAAATGTACTTACCAATGACTTTACACAGATGAGCTCTGTAACCCGTTAGCCGTGTTGCTCCAGGATGTTATCAATTGAAATAGTTATAGGATAATATGGTGTTGCCAGTAGGCAGGATGGCCTTGAATGAAAAAAGGAACTAAGGGCATGAAACCCTCCTCTTCTCAAACGCTGACTGATTCTTGCCTCACTTACAGGAAGTGTGACATTTGAAACTGGTTCCTTTATTCTGTCTGTCTGATGTGCTGTACATGACTTTTGTTCATGTTTGACACCAAAGCCTGTTTTTTGTTGAAATTACCAGAATAATATTTAATATGAATCTGCTATGTGGTACCTTAAATGTAATTATCTCCCCAAAAATTACATTTACACATGTTCTATACCTTATGGCCTGGTTGCACATGCTATTTATGTACTTTCAACCGTTACATTCACATTAACCCGTGCATGTCCAATAATGTAGACCAGGGGTGTCAAACTCAATTTCATCGTGGGCCACATTAGCATTATGGTTGCACTCAAAGGGCCGGTTGTAACTATATAAATATACATATATAAATACATAATTTATATGAAATAATGTATTATATTATATTTTTGCCTCTGCATTGGATTTTTATCGGATAGGGTAATAACTTCATAATTAACTACGTCTGAAAGCAGAAGTCTAGGGCAAATCATTGCAAGTCTCTTCAGTGCGCATGTCACAAAATGAGATGCATTGTGGGACATGTAGTTTATGGGCAACATGCTTCTGTAAGATAAGATAAGATGGACCTTTATTAATCCCCGTGGGGAAATTCAGTAGTTTAACAGCAACAGGGTAAGATTGAAAAACAGGACAGCACAGATTCACACAGATTAATAAAATTAAGGATAAATCAAAGATAAAAAAAAAAAATGATAAATAACTATAAAATAAGAAATTAATTAAAATGAACATATATAGATATACTGTAAAGTAGCATGTAACCATATAATAAACTTATTATATTCTTTGCAAGCTCTTGCGGGCCACATAAAATGAAGTCGCGGGCCGGATTTGGCCCCCGGGCCTTGAGTTTGACACCCCTGATGTAGACAAAGAAACCAATAAAGCTAGGTTAATGCTTGCTGTAATGTTCCCGGCCGATGGTGCACTTAAAGCGTCCAGACACTGTTAATTGTCCATTAGTTGTGCACTTCCAAATTATTGTAACTAGTATATGAAATACTGATAAAAGCGTATCACTTAAATGTATAAGATAAGTTATTAGTAACAGAGATGCAGCAATTGTATTGGCCAATTCAAATTCACATTTTTGTTTAAGTCTGAGCTGCTGATTCCTCTCTTATAACCAGCATACACACACGTCTTTTTTAACACTATTTTCAGTGTATAATTTAATTGTATGTTCATACATATCAGAGAACAATCAGAGAAAATATTATTCTATATTGTATATCTGTATGTAGGCCTATTATAGAGTCAAACATGTATCTATCTAACACTGCATTTATCTAGTTATTTACACAAAGCTATTAATGAATCGCTATCTTTTTTCAATAATTAAAATACCTGCATTATATAATATATAACATTTGTTCTGCTTACCACACCTTCACTACTTCAGTATATACTATCCTACTCATCATTTCTTACAATTACGCCTCATAGCTTATTTTTAAACACACATAAAATGAATATTGACGTATTGACTTAAATCACAAATATTGATTTGAAACCTAAGACATTGTGGTGTGCAAAAACCAATTTATTGAAACCTGAAATAGAACAAGCTCTGTTTCTTATGCACACATGTTACATAAGAACACTAGTATTAGAAACTGCAGTACAGGTACAAGAGCATGAACAGCTTAACACACAGAGGACTGTTCAACAAAGATTTGTGAAAACAACCAGGACTTTTAACATATATTGTTCCCAACTTTCTGATCATCATTTGACCTCGTCAAATCTAGGAATAGGATCTCTTTGATACTTTGAAATTGGGTTGATCTATTTGTTGTTGGTTTACCTTCATGTCTGTTTCATAAATGTATTGTGTCCACTAATTTATGTACCCAAAACAGAGACAAATCAAACTGTTATACAGTAAATGTTGAAGTTACTAAGCGTAGAAAATAAGAAGCATATCAGGTTAAATGTTTAAAAGTTATACAAAACTCATAATCCTTAATAATATACACCTTACTCTTTAAAAAAAAAAAAAAAAAACATTTCTTGTGTCCGACACTTAGCTGAACGAGATGACTTCTTTGTATACAGAATTGTAAAACCCCTTAAAGCAATTTAATCATGTTGGTCTAGATACTTAAAATGTAATTGACTTGACTTATAAAGTCTTTTTATATACCATTTAAAAAATGGTATATACATTTTGGAAAGATTCCCATGGAAGCTTCATACATCAAAATGTATACACATTACTATCACTTCGTACTGACCAAAACTTTAGAGTAAAACTTCTAATTACCCAACACTGATATTGTCAGAATTGTAATCTTCCTGATGGTAATTTAAAAGTAAAACATTTCCAGTAAGGGTACTGTCAACCTGGTATTCTATAAGCCTTGCATTTTACTGAGGTTTAAGTAAAGTTATGTGAGGGAAATAAACTGGAGAAATAAACTGAGCTGAACTGACTGGTTGCTGTTTGTCTAAATGACGTGTGGGCCTGGGGATTACCAATGTGGGGTGACCTCCTCACACAACAAGGGGCATGTCCTCTAAATCCCTTGGAACCTCCAGACTGGAGTACCTGGAGCTGGTGCTCTGCATCTGACTGGTATTCTCTTGAGGAAGTAAAGCCACTTGTTCTGCCCCAGCCTCTTCGCTTGCCTGCCTCTCTTCCTCCATCTTGCCCTCTTCTTTTATCTCCTCGAGCATGACACTGGAATCACAAGGCCCAACAAGTCCTCCGTCCTCCGACTGGACAACATCCCAGTAGCCCGCACCACCGGAGTGTCTTGGGGCATAATGTCGGCGCTGAAGGATGTAGACCTGGCATGCCAATACCACAACAGCCACTAGCAGGCAGACAATCAGCCCCCCTGCTGAACCTATAGCAATCAGACCCATCTCTGTGTCGATCAGGCAGTCGGCACGGGTGCCATTCATGTCGATTTCAGGTGGGTTTGTGTAGCCATTGGTAGCGAGGCTGGGCTCCACAGCAGTGGTCAAGCTGCTTTCTTGACTTTCTCTTGCGTGCAAATTTGGATGCGTGGTTGAAAGGTCGGTAGGGCAGAGCAGCAGCTGGCTGAGCAGTAGAAACAGCCAGAGAGAGGTTTTGGTGCCTTCCATTGTGCTGGGAAATTAAAAGAAGAAATGTTTCCCAACATTCACAATATGCGCCTTGACTGTTTTAAGGTGAATGCAAAGGGACTGAATCACAGTTTGTTATGAAAAAGCAACTTCTTACATAATGTCATTGCAAAAAATTCAGACAAGAAATAATTGTTTTAAATCATTTAAAAAATATGATATTGTATCGTCAATACTTACTTGGAGTAGTCTTATGTGAAGGTCTTGTTGAGAGATGGTTTGAGACAGCAGCAGCTGACAGACTCTTGATAAGCTCTGAACTCACTTCCTGACCCTCTCTGGGTCTTTTCTGGTCAGGTTATTTTGGTGCCTCGTTCTTTTCACAGATGCTGAAGAGCTCTTTCAAAAATCGAAAGACAAAATTGAAATGAAGTTTCATTGGTGTATAATTATTGTGTGAGAGCAATTTTAAGCAAGCTTTTGTGTACATAACCATTCCCCAAAAAAAAAGCATAATTTACTACAAAATGCCTGACCTTGAACTGTTTTGACTGAGTTTTTTTATTCTCCTTTCTTTAGGTTCAAAACAGGCCAGATCAATGGGGACCTGCTCATCTACCATGTCCTCCTCACTCTCAAACCCTACTACGCTAAACCCTACGAGATAGTAGTAGATTTGACCCATGTAGGACCCAGCAATCGTTTCAAGACCGACTTCCTGTCCAAGTGGTTCGTGGTCTTTCCCGGCTTTGCCTATGAGAATGTAGCAGCTGTCTATGTGTACAACTGCAACACCTGGGTGAGGGAGTACACAAAGTACCATGAGCGGCTACTGACAGGCCTGAAGGGCAGCAAGCGGCTCCAGTTCATCGACTCTCCAGCTAAACTAGCCGAGCACATTGAACCAGACCAACAGAAGCTGCCTGCGGCCACGCTGACCCTGGAGGAAGACCTTAAAGTGTTCCATAATGCCCTCAAGCTGGCCCATAAAGACACAAAGGTCTCAATAAAGGTGAGGATATTTCCAGCAGTAAGACTGAAAAAATTGGTTTGTACAATCAGTTGAAATTTGAGCATTGGGTTTTCTTTAACTACATATGTTTTCTTGCTGATCAGGTTGGCTCGACAGCAGTTCAAGTGACCTCAGCCGAGCGGACCCGTGTTCTCGGCCAGCCCGTCTTCCTCAACGACGTCTACTACGCCTCAGAGATTGAGGAGATTTGCCTGGTGGACGAGAGCCAGTTCACCCTCACCATGGCCAACCAGGGCACGCCGCTCACATTCATGCACCAGGAATGCGATGCCATCGTCCAGTCCATCATCCACATCAGGACACGATGGGAGCTGTCACAGCCTGACTCCATCCCACAGCACACAAAGATTAGACCAAAAGATGTTCCTGGTACTCTGCTTAACATCGCCCTGCTGAACCTTGGCAGTTCAGACCCCAGTCTCAGGTCAGTACTGCAAGCCATACAGAGTCATTCTAGAGTTTTGTGAGGAGTTACCTCACCAGCTTTATAGAAAAAAATACTGCGTTTCGCACTTCTCTTAAAAAGGTTTAACACCTCTGACTTGTTGTTCATCCAGGTCTGCGGCTTACAATCTACTGTGTGCTTTGACCTGCACATTCAACCTAAAGATAGAGGGCCAGCTGCTGGAGACCTCAGGCCTCTGCATCCCAGCCAACAACACCCTCTTCATTGTCTCCATCAGCAAGACTCTGGCTGCCAATGAGCCCCATCTAACGCTGGAGTTTCTGGAGGAGTGCATCTCGGGCTTCAGCAAGTCAAGTAGGTCCACCTAAAGCAGCTACTGGCGGACATACAGCCGGTCACCGTATAACTCTTAACCGTTTTACTATTATCAAAACAATCTTGAGATCATATGGGTTTCTGAACTTTTACTTTTTCAATACAAGCATAAAAATATTGGTGTCATATTAAACTAGAAAAATTCAAAATCCATCTGTACCGACCATTTAATGGTTAGGAGCAGAGGTCGCGTTAACCGAATATTTTCCGTCTATTTTTTAACAATGATGGAAAAATCTGAAAGCAGTCCGTCATTTTGACAGATTAGAACAAACTCGGAACAGCGCCAAAGTTTCCCCCGCAGCGAGGCTCCGGTGTTATGCCGTGTTATGCATGCCCGCCAAATTATACCTTTTCCAAACCTATAACTTTGCTGTACAAATCATTGACATTTCTGTGAGTTTTGGCTTTACGCTGTGCGCGCACCCGCGAGGTGCAGTGGGCATGCATAACACGGCGCTAACAGTTCACGAGCGTGCGCCCCCCGTTGATAGTTCACGAGGGTGCTCCCCCCCCCCCCCGTCAGAGTTGTGTAAAGGCCGACGGGCAATACTGGATTTTGACGGAAATTTGACGATAAAAAGTCTAGCGCAACCTCTGGTTAGGAGACTCACAAATATCAAAGGTTAGGTAACATTTTGGCAATGGAGAAACTGGCATGGGCTTAAGATTTCTGAATGAAATGGGTTCCATAAGTACCCACCAGCCTCCCCTTTAAAGATATGCCCATTTTATGCTAATCCCATGCACTTTGGGGTGATATAAATGTGTTTCCATCCAATTGCCGAAAAACGCATTTCTGCATTAAGACTTTTAAGATTGTGTTCCCTAAGGCCTCATCCTCATTTGGAGTAAAGTACATTTTTTCATGAAAAGTGAGTACCATGTGTTAATAATAAAGTGTATTGATAAGTGTTGTCCTGTTGCAGGTATTGAGCTGAAGCATCTCTGCCTGGAGTACATGACACCCTGGCTGCTCAACCTCGTCCGTTTCTGTAAGCACAACGACGACGCCAAGCGCCAGCGCGTCACCGCCATTTTGGACAAACTCATCACCATGACGATCAATGAGAAACAGATGTATCCCTCTATCCAGGCTAAAATCTGGGGCAGCCTGGGCCAGGTGAGTCCCTAACCCTTACAGTCTAATAAGGAAAAATGTATCGAGGACCTGGCATTTAACCTTCTCACTGTGTCTCTAGATAACCGACCTGCTGGATGTGGTGTTGGACAGCTTTATTAAAACAAGTGCCACAGGAGGCCTAGGCTCCATCAAAGCAGAGGTCATGGCTGATACTGCAGTGGCCCTCGCTTCAGGAAATGTCAAATTGGTCTCAAGCAAGGTGAGCTAACACTTTCTGTAATATTGTCTGCAAAGTTACCTGTGGCCAGCACGTAGATAGAATTTGTTTACTGAAGTCTAAAGATCCTTAACATCCTCTTAGGCAACAATACCTCGAAAAGCACTTCATGTTATTGTCAACCTCTACTCAAATCTAATCAATCTTCATGGTCATGCTTGGTTTTTAGACAACTGATCAGGAAAGTGTGTTTGTAGGGTGACTGTGGCTGCGAAGTCTCATCCTTGTTTGTAAAAAGAACAAAGATGGTTCTGGTCATGGATTTTTCTTGCATTCGTGGGTGTACTGTGGGAACATGGGGGGCTGAGCACAGAGCCTTGGGGTGCTCCAGGTTTCAACACTAAAGTGGAGGTGTGACACCAATCAGAAGTATTTCGTTTTTTACGATAAAGTTGGCCAGACTTTGATATTAAAACTATCCCAGCCAACATTTCACAAATGTCACTGAACTTTAAAGAAAAGAGCACAGTAAACAGTGGATACAGAAAATGACTGATGCTCATAATGAGCAATTCTGTTCGACCAACCTGTAAAATCTTACCTAGCAAGCTCTGGCCTTAACTTTGTGATAATTATGGAAAACTTAGGCAAGAAATCTGATCCAGGTTATGTTACTCCAAAATACAAGGTAATGAAGATAAAGAAAGCCAGTGTGAAGATTAAACACCCACAAAAAGCTTTAAGGGGAGTAACACAATATCCTGATGTTGGTTCATAAAGAAATTGGAAAAATAGACAACCGCTGCATATAGTCCATGGAACAATGTACTTTTGGAGCGACAAAACCAAACACTAACTGATATTATTGTTAAAGTGAAGAAAAGTGACGGTTACAATATTAAACTGGATGGGACTCCTATAGCAAAGAAGCATTGCACAGTGGAACCAAAGTGTATGTGACATCTTCTTTGACTTTTTGCAAGACACTCACTGCAGCTTAAGTTGATAACAGTAAATGTTTTTCCCCTGTTTTTATCTCAGAGTGCATGTGAATGCTCCATTTAAAAACTATACAAATCTTCAGACAACCTTGCAGGGTCTAAATTTAACATCCAACAATGCATACACATACCACTATTCTCATCTGCTCTATTATTGTTCATCACAACATTTTAGACGGCATACTAGTAACATTAAATGTTTTGTGATGTCACATTACTTTGAATAACACTTCTTGAATAACAAATAAAGGTTACAAAACTGGTGCATCACAGCATGACATGGTTGTACAAATCATATCCGAATGCAAAGATGAATGAATTCAACACTTATTAGAGGTTTAATTTCTGTTGACGCTGTTGCTAGAAATCAGTATTCAATGTAAAGAATACTTACTTACTAAGGCAAGAAATGAATCCAATGCTGTGAATCCCTCCTGACTTGAAGTATTCAAACTCATTTACTCAATATCCATCAGCTGTGGGCTCTAGATCCAAACAACAACATACAGCAGCAGACACAATAGCAAAGGCAGGCCCCGGCTCCTATTATGGCAGACTCCAGCCCTGCACTGAATAGCGGCCATTGTGAGGAGTTATGACGAAGAAAAGCCACTCGGTGTTGAAGTGAAAGTGCACTTCTCCTTAGTGTTTTTGAGTTGTTTTACCAAAGATTTGTTGTTGAATTTAAGAACTTCAACATTGAAAATTATAGATCGTTGAGGGATTATACATCATTTTTTATGCTGGTGTGATACTAACGATTACTGTCTGATGTCATGGCAGGACAGCGTACTGAGCACAATGAGGCCTTGTCTGCTGTTCTTGAACTCTGTGTCACCCAAGAGTTGAATATATGCCATGTCGTAATTAGTTACAACCAAAGCCATATTGTCATATGCATCAGCTCCATATCTAGAAATACATGCACTGTGTAAACCGTGGGCTTACCTAGCTTTGAGTGTAGTGCATTGATCAAGAAATTCAAGTTTGCATTGTAGCGAAAGGAACCCTAACAGGGTGATTAGGTTATGAATTACACGATTACTTACTACACAAATCCATATTTGACACAATATATTAATTAAAACATGATTTTGTTGATTAAAAGTTATCGTGTTTTTATTTTCTTTACTGAGGAAAGCTTAGCCGTAATGAATCCATAGTCTTGTGCTCTCCAAAGATATAAAATATAATATTCAAAAAGTGTTCCACTGTGTTTTCTGATGGCGGAAAATACATGTGTTTTGTCGATGTTAAATTAACCGGACCATTTCTGTGGATTGATATGACTACATCTGGTCCCTTGATCAGAGCATCCTTAGCATCAGTCATCTATCCCTAGCAGCGTCGGCCAATCGACAAAGAGCAGTTTTATGTCGTATGTATGTCTGGCTAACTAGGGGTTATGGTTGTGTATCATTATTTTAAGAGCTTAGTATTTTATGCACCGTAAAAATGTATGCTAATTCATGGCACTACACGTTATGTTTAAGTTCAATATTCATCCGTTTTAGACATTTATAGCAAGGGGGTCCCTGCTCTGTCTTTCTTTAAATTTAGGTGTTCTTAAACTGAAAATAATCAAAGACCCCTGAAATAAAGGAACTACTAGGGCGAGTAATGTCTCCTTTTCCCATCAGCCATTGTTATTATGAAATTGAAATGGAAAGTTTGTCTGCATTGTTCCAATGTTGGAATTATTCTTCGTGGCAGGTGATTGGTCGGATGTGTAAGATCATCGACAAGACGTGCCTGTCGCCGACGCCCACTCTGGAGCAACACCTGATGTGGGACGACATCGCCATCCTGGCCCGCTACATGCTCATGCTGTCCTTCAACAACTCTCTGGATGTGGCGGCCCACCTGCCCTACCTGTTCCACGTGGTGACCCTGCTGGTAGCCACAGGGCCGCTCTCTCTGAGGGCCTCCACCCACGGTTTGGTCATCAACATCATCCACTCCCTCTGCACCTGCTCGCAGCTCAACTTCAGCGGTGAGGACTAGCTCAGTGATTTGGCCGGCAGCCTGAGGTTGCAGTAAGGATAACGCTTTACGCTGATCGTCAATAATAAATCAGAATCAGAAAGTATTTATCCGTCCCACAGCCGGGTATTCACAGCGGTACAACAGCAGTGCAGATGAGATCTTATGGGACAATAACAGTTACATTCTGAAACATCCGTAACGTTTTTATTAACAGCTTATTGATGCATACATTCAAACTATTTATATTCTTATCATTATGAGTACCAAAGGCTAGTAAATCGTAATTCTTATTGATTTTACAAACCAATTATTAACCATATACAGAGTTTCACGAAAATCTATCTTGTGTCCTGATTTCATTTTAAATGATTTGTTTATCCTTAACAAATTCTTAACTACTTTTACATCGGTAGTAAACTTTACTTTTAATAATAAGTTAACATTTTGAATTATAATGGCATCGTAAAGTATGATTTACTAGCAATTTACTTTTTCTTTATGTTCAATATGTCTTTTTGTGTATCAGTTGTAAGATGATACAATACAAAGACTTACACTTAAGACAAACATTGAAAGAAAAAAACGATTTGTTAAACAATCTTGCAACAACGTGTTTGTATGTCTGTTAAAACCTGCACTGAAGACTGAGTTGCGCTGAAGGAGCCAGGATTATTAGATGTGCTGCTATTAAAGAGTTTAGAATCATGATAGGCGCCCAAGCGCAATGAGGAAATATTCTTGCAAAGTATCTTTATTGATCTGTTAGCTCCTCATGATTCTTCCGTCAAGAGCTTAACTCCTGAAGAGCTTTCCTGTTTCTAAGCTTCCGTAGATGAAGCCGGCAGACGATTAAGTCAATAGGGGTATGTGCATGCTAGGGAAAGCAGATATCACAGAGACCTTCTGTGGCATACATATGTGACGTTAATGGCGTTTAAGGTTTTACACTCAGGTACATTTACATTTGGTTGCTGTAGTAGCCAACGTTTGACAGTTCGCCAGGTTTTTAGAAACATTCAATGTCTGATACTTCTGGTCAAGGAACTTGAAAAATCATTGCTAAGACTAACACTGTTTTCTTTGTCCTTTATCTTCCATGCTGAACGTCCTGCATCATTGCCCTCTGCACCCATGTTTATTCGATGGCTGCAAACCCCTGACGAGATCAAAGTTGTGGACTTCTCGAGGCAGAACTAATCTCTTATGTTGTCGTGTTCTGTGATTTCAGAGGAGACAAAGCAGGTTTTGAGGCTGAGCCTGACCGAGTTCTCCCTGCCCAAGTTCTACCTGCTGTTCGGCATCAGCAAAGTGAAGTCCGCCGCCGTCATTGCCTTCCGCTCCAGCTACAGAGACCGGTCCTTCTCTCCAGGCTCCTATGAGAGGGAGACGTTCGCCCTGTCCTCCCTGGAGACCGTCACAGAGGCCCTACTGGAGATCATGGAGGTCAGTAGTTTGTCACTCCACTGTACCACAAATGCATTTATTCCATGAATGAAATGCTAAAAGATCCAAGAAAGTATTTTGCAAACTGTTTATTCAGATTGATAATATAGTCAAAGTGTTGCTTAATCTCTCAGTGTCTTTCAGTCTTTTTCCTCTATGTTTGTGTCCTAGGCTTGTATGAGGGACATCCCAGCCTGCAAGTGGTTAGACCAGTGGACAGAGCTTGCACAGAAGTATGCACCGCCTCCATTTGATTTCATCAATGCTAATAAGCCTGTCGTGCAGCGTTCAACAAATGCCTGTTTTTGTATTCCAGGTTCGCATTCCAGTACAACCCCTCCCTCCAGCCCAGGGCGCTGGTGGTGTTCGGCTGCATCAGTAAGAGGGTGAGCCACGGTCAGATCAAGCAGATCATCCGGATCCTCAGCAAGGCCAGCCCTTTGCTCAGCATCGACCGGGTGAGAGCGCAAATCCACTGATAAACCCTTTTCAACCAAGGTTTTCTAGGGCTTATTCGGAAAAAACATTTTTTTGTGTCTTTACTGTTGCGGAACCAACTATTGGCTCGGCCGGCTCCAAAAACCTTGAGCCCCAAACATTACTTAACAATACAAATCGAGTACATTTACATTGAAGTTATTGTGAGGAAAAACAAGTAAGATACCAAAAGTAAAGATTTAATATATGCTAGAATAGTTTGTATTAGCAGATAGATATCATCACGAAAAAATACCAAAATTACTTTTTTTTTTAATGACTGACTAATGACTTTTCTTTACGTTCTCTCGTCGTCACAGGGTCTGGAGAGCTGTCTGAAGGGGCCGGACAATTACAACAGCCAAGTATTAATAGAAGCCACAGTCATCGCTCTGACCAAGCTGCAGCCTCTCCTCAGCAAGGTACGAGCCAGCATACCCCCCCTGCAACCACAGTACAGAGCCCCCACTCTCTTTCAATACTAATGAAAGTTTGAAAATGAAAGCGAATAAGACACCACAGGAAGCACAGACTCTATGTTTAGCAGTTTCCTTTTTAAGTTTTCACCTGTGTAACATTTCATCAGAGTTCGTGGTTAGTTTGTATGACCCCACCCCGCCTTAGAAGAGAAGAAGATGTCACATTAATTATTCACTGTAAGGTGGAACAAAGGTTTCAGCTATCTTAAGTGTAGCATGCTAGGCTAAATTAAATATCAAGACATCAATAATCAACACCCCCCTGTGTGTGTTTGTAGGAGTCTCCCATGCACAAAGCTCTGTTCTGGGTGGCGGTAGCTGTGCTGCAGCTGGATGAAGTCAACCTGTACTCTGCTGGCACTGCCCTGATGGAGCAGAACCTCCACACTCTGGACACCATGCGCATCTTCAACGACAAGGTCACACACACACACACACACACACACACACACACACACACACACACACACACACACACACACACACACACACACACACACACACACACACAGGGTCTCCTCTTCGACTTACATACTCAATACTGTGGGCAATCCCCACAGGAGCAATTTGGGGTGAAGTGTCTTGCCCAGGGACACAACGACATGCTGACTGCAGTGGGGTTTGAACCTGTGCTCCCCTGATCCGAACACCAACGCACTAGTCCACTGCGCCACACGCCTCCCTAATACATATACGGTTATCATACTATAATACCAATACACAGCTGGATGTATTGCAATTAACATGTTACATATTTTAACACTATGTGGACATTTTTACTTTAAGTTCTTTTGTTTGTTCATTTTTTCTTCTGTTTTCTTTTACATTTATTTTTACATTTGACTTTAACTTTATAATGTATATATCAATATTTTTATTTGATTTTATTCCATTTTAAAATTGAGCAACTTGAAAATCTTAAATGGAAAAGAAAGAAGCAAACATTGGAATATGTTTGTTTATTTGAAGTTTTGACAGCCATCATGTGAAGTATGTGTAAGTCGGCACACGCATATCGTCACAATAACTGATGTCAGAGGTCACAGTGTCAGGAAGCTCATCCAGGTCTGCAGCTGCTGCCTCAAAAACACTGATCAGTGTAACTGCATCTCTTGACAGTCTTGACTGCGTGCTTTTTATATTAGGTCCATCAAATGTTGTGAGCTTAGGCCTGAGGTAGGACGTAAACACCAACTAGAAAAAACTTGAAAAACTGCTGAGGTGAAAATGTGGTGATAACTGACTGATTTTTTTTTACTGATTAAGTACCTTAAGATACGTCTCTTAATGTATCTTGACAATGAGTAGATGATGGAATGAGATTTGTTGACATTACCAAACACAGCTTCCTCATTCTCCTCTCCTCTTATTGGCCCATCCAGAGTCCAGAGGAAGTGTTCATGGAGATCCGGCGTCCTTTAGAATGGCACTGTAAGCAGATGGATCACTTTGTGGGCCTCAACTTCAGTGCAAACTTCAACTTTGCACTGGTGGGCCACCTACTCAAAGGTAAAGAGAAAACTTCTGCTGATAGACATCAGCTTTGTTTTAATGAAATGGTATCTTCCAGAGGTTTGGATCAGTGTTTCGTTAATGACGGCCTGTTTGTGTCTTTCTTGTGTCTCTAGGCTACAGACACCCTTCCGCCACCACAGTAGCAAGGACTGTGAGAATCCTGCACACACTTCTCGCTCTGATCAGCAAACATCTGAAATGTGACAAGTTTGAGGTTAACACTCAGAGTGTGGCCTATCTGGCTGGTACGTAACACACTAGGAGACATTTACACAACTTCCAACACTATCCTGCTCATGCCCATAGCACCAATATTATGTCATGGAAGAAATATGATCAAAAGTGAACTATAGAACAACATTTTGGCTTTGGTTGCTGGTTGAGCCCCATCATCTCTCCTGGTTGTCTGCAGCCCTGCTCACTGTATCTGAGGAGGTCCGGAGTCGCTGCAGCCTCAAACACAGGAAGTCCCTCCTGATTTCTGACCTCTCCATGGACCCGGTCCCCATGGAAACATACACAAGTCACATCAATGATCCCAGCTGCAGGTGAGCAGAACAGAGGACAACTTGTCTGATCCAGCGACAACAAAATGCAGCCCAACAGGCACACTATGAAACAAACTCAATTCAAATGTAGATGACCCCAAGTTTAACCCTTTCCTAATTTTTTTTCTAAAGTCTTCCAATGGGTATAGTTTTTTTTTTTTATCCATTTGAGTCAATAGTTCATTTTTGACAGGGGACATATCCTTTAATAACATTTTCAGTGCTTGTGAATAACATGCACAAGTGTCTACCAACCTTAAAACTTTAAAATAGGGCTGTCAAGTTAACGCGTTAACGATTTTTTTTATTAACGGCACTAATTATTTTACCGTGCGATTAACGCATGTGTATTTGTCCTCGGCCCGCCCCGTAGTTTCAGAGCCCAAAGGCTTGACGTTGTTGTTAGTTGGATGGTGGGAAATTCTAGCGAGAGATATGGATACAAAAAAAGGTGTTTTAAACAGGCTTGTCTGTTTGAGCAACTGGCTCAGTGCAAAGAGAGTGAAGAGAGAGAGAGAGAGGTTCGAGGTTGTTGTATTGAAAATATTCAGGAGAATATTTGTCATTGTTCAGAGGTTGTTGTGTATCGACTGACAGCCCTACTTTAAAATAAAAAATATTAAGTCCATTTTTGTGGGCTCCCTCAATTCAACCATTCATATTTGCTACCCTTCCTTGCAGGGTTATTAAAATATATATAATTTACACATATCTTTCGCTATCGGATCAGATCTGACTGGGCTTTCTTGGGGCTTACAGAGACAGGAAGTGAATACAGGTATATTCACAGACAGAATAAAGAAACCTTAAAGGACACCTGTCATGCTATATTTAAATGATATATTGTAGGGCCATACCTATATAAGGTATATTTATACGTTTCTGTTTTCAAAATACCAAACAGATCATGCATTTTAGCCATGCCTCATTTCGCTCTATTTGCTGTTCTCCAGCCCTGTTTTTGCAGGGGGGTGATTCTGTGAGCTGCAGCTGACCACGCCCCCCTGCAGGAGAGGGGAGCCGCTCTGATCAAGTCAGAAGAGGGGGAGAAAAATAGATCTCCGTCCTCCGTGTTTTATTATAGCCTATTATTATATAGAGTCGTTATTCATTTGTTTTAAAGCTCAATAAATAACAAAGAAGACCTTTGACCGGCACTTTTCTAATTTCGTCCGGAAGATTTAAACTTTAACGGACATCTTGACCGGCGAAAGAAAACCTTACTGAAACTCTGCCGCACGGTCCCCTCGTTCCTTGGAAGAGGCGGAGAGGTGGGTGTTTGTCATCTGCTGGTGGACTAACCGGAGAGAATTACAGTGCTTGCCTCGACGGGGAGGGATTGCATTGAATTAAAGCAGCAGGAGCAAACGCTTGCCTCGGGGAGGGAGAAAGAAAGCCACAGCGGAGAATAAACAGAAGGGTAACCATGGTAACCATGCGCGGGAATTCTTCTTCGCTGCTTTTGTGGCAGACTACAGCGCCACTTACAGGCCTGGCATATGTACTACAGCAGGGCTTCTCAAACTCCGGACCAAGGTCCGAATCCGGACCGAACCCTGTGTCCCATTATAACAAAAAAAAAATTATTACAAAAAAAAAAAAAATTCTGATTCTGATAAATTAATGTACATCATCATGTACGCACGTCTTGTGTCTGACGCGTTGTGAGAATGAACGTGCATATATATTTACTTGTGTGTGCGAGCGTGACACGCATAGCAGACCGCAAGTTAACCGCAAGTTTACCTTGACTTTCTAATGCTTCTAATGCCTTTTTTGCAGAGGTTCAAAGCATTGACTACAGACAAACAGTGCCATTTCTCCCACTAGTTCAAGCCACCATACTGTATGTATGTATTGAATGTGTGTGTGTATACACGGGCGCCGTTTACCGACAGGCAAGGCAGGCAAGGCAGGCAAGTGCTTGGACCAGAAGGGGTCCCCCAAAGAAGGTAGATTAAGAAGGTCCACAGCAACGACAACATGAAACGCCCATGCATAGAGCGCCAAGAAACTGCTTCTTAATTTCAGTTTCGTTTCTCCGCTCGGGGGGGGACGGGGGGGGACGGACGGACGGACTTTACTGGCATTGATCCGGACCAGTGACCTTGTATAAAGTTCACAACTGGACCTTTAATAAAAAAGTTTGAGTACCCCTGTACTACAGCGTCTCCAGCGCTTTCGAGCGGCAATGGCCGGCCGTGGCCCAACCCCACATTCCCCTGATAGGTGGAGAGTTGGCCCAATAGCCGTAGCGCCACTTCTGTGACGTCAGTGAAGTGTTCAAATCTGGATCAGTTTTTATCAGATCCGTTGCAGCCCCTTTTTTAGAGATTTGGGTATGGAGGAAAATAGAGAGGGTTGTGTTTTCTGACACTTGGTGAGTTCCCTGGAACACCGGGGACACATATTCATGTATAAAAGACGTACAAAAGTTCATTTTGCATGATAGGTCCCCTTTAAAGCATATAAACATGTTATTTTTTACGAGCCTGAAATGAGCCCCCTAATACGTCCCCTTTAATAAGTTGTCAGGTTGCGTTCTGTTCCCTGACTTTTGGTCCATTCTCCTCAGAACTCTGCGTGAGACTCAGCCGTGGACGTCCCCCCAGGTCTCAGAGCGCTACCTCTCAGCCCATCACTACCCTACAGTGGGACAGATCAGCCCCCGAACTCGCAAGTCCATGAGCCTGGACATGGGCCAGCCCTCGCAGGCCAACACAAAGAAGCTCCTGGGTATGACTCGTGTTGTTCATGTTGATCTTTCCTAAAGAGAAGTGTCCATCAATAAAACCTCAAATCCAGATTGTAAATGTACCTTTGACTGATTGTCTACCAGGCACCAGGAAGAGCTTCGATCATCTCATATCAGACTCTAAAGCACCAAAGAGACCAGAGATGGAGTCGGGTATGACCACCCCTCCCAAGATGAGGCGTGTAGCAGAGAACGACTACGAGATAGGTGAGAGTGCAGCATTCCTTTTTTCCTTTGATACGGTATAGTTTCTGTGAGAAGAAATTCTAAATCCATGTTATTTTTACAGAGACACAAAGAATTGCAAACTCTCACCTTCGCAAGGTGTCTGTATCAGAGTCCAACGTCCTGCTGGATGAAGAGGTGCTGACCGACCCAAAGATCCAGGCTCTGCTGCTCACTGTGCTGGTGAGGACACATAGAGGACAGTGATTGTGTTTTAAATTCTTTTCACGTGTCGATCACTGACTGTTGCTCTGATCTCCCAGGCCACCCAGGTCAAATACACCACTGATGACTTTGACCAGCGAATTCTCTACGAGTACTTGGCCGAAGCTAGCGTCGTCTTCCCAAAGATGTTTCCAGTGGTGTAAGTAGCCAACAAAATACATTTCCCTAGGTTAGGTTGACGATCGGAGTTAGATTTCTTTTGGGGGGGTTCTTTTTAGAGTTGAATGTAGAGGTGGTCCCAGGTTCTTAGGAACTGAAACCAAACCAGGGATGTGAGTGAAGCTGTGTCTTTGGTTATCTACCCAACATTTATCGGTTCTTAGACGGGCTCTCCAGTCCTCTTGTATCCTCTCTGAAAGTAACATTTTCAAGCTGGGCTCACCCCATTTATTCTACCCAGCTGTTTAGAAGCAACATTTACTTTAGTGAGCTAACAACCAGAAACCTTTGCTGCCACTTGAGAAGCTGCTGTCCTGTTGTAACGTTCTGTAATAGGTCCATATTTCCTTACTTTCCAACAAATGTTTTAACACTAAAAGTGAACTGGACCATGATTTGAGTTTGATCCGGTCCGCAACTACCTATTTTTTAGGGATTCAACTGTTTGGTTCTGGTCCGTGAACGGATCAAACAACAAATTCAGAAAGTGTGTACTAAAAGGGGTTGTGAGTAAATGCATAAGAGCTGCTGCTCATGTGTTGACTGATAGAAACATTGACTCTCCAGATGTAAGAAATATACATGAGACATAAGAATAACTACTGGTAGAGCACACTGTCAAAATCTAAACATACTTGTGCTGTTAGAATATGTATAGGTCTAATTGTGTCCAAGCAGCTAACCCGTGCTCATGCATATACATATATATATATATATATATATATATATATATATATATATAGAGAGCAGCGTTCATAGAGACGTCACATTAACGTGTCTGTGTGCACGTCTCCTCCTCAGCCACAACCTGCTGGACTCTAAGATCAACACAGTGCTGTCCATGTGCCAGGACACTAACCTCCTGAACCCGGTCCACGGCATCGTCCAGAGCGTGGTCTACCACGAGGAGTCGCCCCCCCCAGTACCAGCCCTCCTACCTACAGAGTAATAAATGCTGACATTTTCACATTCTGCACAGGCCATTCATTTACTTTCGTTATTTGTGCCTTTATTCGAAAGAGGACAGTGTATTGAAATGCTGGAAGAGTCTTTTCCCCCAAACAGGAAGTGACCTAAGACTGTGACAGTTATTGTAGGTGGATATCAGTGTGTCTTTTTAAGTAAGTGTGCTCACCCTGCCTCCCCTCCTCCCCCTTCTCTCCCCCCCTTTCATTTCACAGGCTTTGGCTTTAATGGACTCTGGAGGTTTGCCGGACCCTTCTCTAAGGTGTGAACGATTATTTTGCTTCTGTCATTTATTTATTATTTCCCTGAGGCGCCCTTGGCTGCCACGCAGGAGAAATTCAGCTTACTAAGCAATTACTGTAGCGCAACCACCCTGCCAATTGTTAGGGTGATATACAACACACACACACACACACACACACACACACATACATACATACATACATATACACATACACATACACATACACATACACATACACATACACATACACATACACACACACACAGAGAGAGAGAGGATGAACAACTTTAAAGAGTTTTCGGTTAATACTGAAACCAGTAGTAACTCAAAAATGTGAAATACATATAAAATGTAAATTAACAGAATTAAAATACAGTGTACATTATTAGGGCTCCAAAATTAATGTAAATATTTCCAAATCAAAATATTAACTATTACAATATCCAAATCGCATTAAGTGCAATATTTGCTTAAAGGTGGGGTAGGTAAGTTTGAGAAACCGGCTCGAGATACACTTTTTGTTATATTCCATGGAATGCTCTTAACATCCCGATAGCAATGAATATCTTAAGTGCTTTGACCTAAAATCCATAAAAAAATGTCATCTGTGGAAGCCGTAGTACTGTAAAAAGCACGACCAATCATTTTAGCCGGCCCGGCTAAAATGATTGGATGGCCTACCTGCCTGTCAGCCTTCCATCTGTGCACAAACTTATCTCGTGCCCTCATTGGTCATGTGCGCGTTCGTGTGTGTTGGAGGAGGGGCTCTGTAAGAGGCAGATTTGTTCCAGTTTTCCAATTTTCAAATTCTAGCGATCTCGAGCCGGTTTCTCAAACTTACCTACCCCACCTTTAATGTAAAATGTGTTTAAATATCTGAATGAAGTGTTGTAGAGCTGCCGAGAAATCCCTATATTCTACAGTCTTCATAAACAATCTTTGTTTTGTACAGATCCTCCTAAAAAAATCACGATATGATCATTTTATTATGTGATTCAATTATCATTTTAAATTATGTTTCAAAAATTGTATATTTCTCTAAGCATATTGTAATATCATTCATAATAATCGGACTAAGGTATTTTTGGGAAATGGTGCACCTTTACTAGGTATATTTAAAACATGTATGACACACTTAATTCTAGCGAGACTTTTATCCCATTAATGTAATCAGTATTTATAATCCAATAAATTATATAATTAATTACATATTGGCATTATTTGTATCCCAGCCTATGTGTGTATGTTGTCACTTTGTTCCCAGGCATTACAATCATCAGTCTAACAGAGTCCCCCCCCCCCCCCCCCCCCCCGCAGCAAACACAGATACCGGACTACGCAGAGCTGATCGTCAAGTTCCTGGAGGCGTTGATTGACAGCTACCTGCCGGTGGTGGACGAGGAGCGGGGGGAGGAGCAGCTGAGGACGCCCACCTCCCCCTACCCCCCCCACCAGCCAGAGCCAGCTCAGCATCACTGCCAACCTCAACCTGTCCAACTCCATGACCTCCCTGGCCACCTCGCAGCACTCCCCAGGTAACACACATACGCACACACACACACACACACGCTGACTCTCAAACACACTCAGGGTGTTTCTCAATCGCGAGTACGCTTGCTTGGTAGCACATGTCTGCCGAGCATCTTCCTTCAGAAGCGAGTCAAGAATACTTCCTGGCATTCGGAAAACGAAGAGTGGAACACGCTAGCAAGTGTGCAGGTGTGCGTCATATTAGAGGCCCCGCCTTACATCTTCCGCCACAGATTTGGGGAAATTGGTCCGTGCGCAAAGCATTGTGGGGATTTTAAGACCGCAAAGTCTACTCATGTGCAGCCTCGATATTTCTCCAAACGGAGTACGCCGGGCTCGGTAGATTTCCAAGTATGCTGGAGATTGGAACAGTCCTTGATGACGTAGTATGCTTGAAATAGTGGCTCTGAAGCAGCTTTACTCGCGATTGAGAAACACCCTCAGGCTCTCACGTTCTCCGTCCGTTAACCCTTTGACCTTTCAGATAGTCTTATCAAGGTCACATCTAAATCTTCAGGGCTAGAACTATATATTTGTTTTATATCTCTCTGGGAGAGTGAACTGTCAACGGAGGGAGGAGGGGAGGAGAGGGGGGGGGGGGAGACGCACGCTCGTGAACTGTTAGCGCCGGTGTTATGCATGCCCACTGCACCTCGCGGTAGCGCGCACAGCGTAAAGCAAAAACTCCCAGACATTTCAATGATTTGTACGGCAAAGTTAGGTTTGGAAACTATATCATTTCCTTTTTGGAGGGCATGCATAACACCGGAGCCTCGCTGCGGGGAAGCTTTGGCGCTGTTCTGAGTTTGTTCTAATCGGTCAAAATGACGGACTGCTTTCAGATTTTTCCGTCATTGTTAAAAAAAATCCATCATAGACGGAAAATATTCGGTTAACGCGACCTCTGGTTAGTATGTTGAGATTATCCTCAAAAATATTAATTTATTAAGAAAGATCCTAATAAATCATAGTTTGGGGTTCCTGTTGTCATGCATTATTACTAAAATAGTTCAGTTTCTATATTAACATACAGAAACGGCTTTACAAAAACACATGATCCACACTGTTTGGTTCGGTCCTAACCCCCACCCCCCTGTGCCCCTCCAGGTGTGGATAAGGAGAACGTCCAGCTGTCCCCCAGCTCCGCCCTCTCCAGCGGGGGGCGCACTCGCCACGGATCGGCCAGTCAGGTGCAGAAGCAGCGCAGCGCGGGCAGCTTCAAGAGGCCGAGCATCAAGAAGATCGTGTGATCGGAGAACCCTCCTCCTCCTCCTCCTCCTCCTCCTCCTCCTCCTCCAGCCCGCCGGGGGCTCACGCTGCACTCCATCTCTTACTCTGTTTATTTCCTCCTCCTTCTTAACGGTTGTTTCCCCTGGCGTGAGAACTTTTCAGTTGGGCATCGAGGAGGAATATTAACACATTTAGTGCTGCTTGAGATTTATTTCATTTGTGACAGCGCACGGTGGAGGAGAATCTTTTCGTTGGAGTAGTTCCTGTCCTCTGCAGTGGATGTTGTCTTCACAGATATTCAGCAGCAGGTTAGAGTCGGGTCGAGTTCACTCTGGTGAAACTATTGGGGGCAAAATGCCCCTGAGCCTGATGGGAAAGCAGGTTCAGTTTGGACAGGGAGGAAACAGGAAGTGAAACTCTGTCTCTATGCTAAAGTTGGATCCGTCCTTTGGCCTTCCTTTTGACTAAACACTCCTGTGTCAGTGAGAGGGACCAAATGACAGCAACAGTGGAGGGGGGGGGGCCTGCTCGGACACCTGGGCCCACCTCTCCCAGTCCTGTACATATTTTACATAGACAGATTATGTATAACTAGTCCTTAGTGCTGATTTAGATGTTGATGTTTTTCTCCATGGTGTGCCTTTGTCAGGGTTTTTCAATGTGTACAATTTGTAAAGTGAAAGACAAAGAACAGGTACTAATTATGGAGGCGAGCCGTCCATATCACCACGCGAGCCGCATCACGACGGGCCTCCAAACGATCGTCTAATATACAATCATCCATATACCCTGTTGCCTGAAAGTATTTATCCTGTACAGCTAGATAGCGCTACACTTTCCAAAAATCTTCTTTTCAAACACTTATGAACGAGAAGATCGCAAAACACTAGGGGGAAATGTACGTGTGTAAATAGCTCCGAGCTTTTTTTGTTTGTTTTCGTGCGCGTCTCTTTTTATGTAGCTGTTTAATGTCAGTTATTTTAGTACGAACTGTGTTTTCAGCAGCATTGCGTTTTTAATTTGTTTACACAGTGACAAGGAACATTGTGTAATAGGCAATAATCCTCAACTCTGAATCTCCTTTGTCAACCACACACTTTGTTTTATTTGTACATCAGTGTCAGCGCGGTGCAATATGAACTCCTAATCTGCCCGGTAACACGGAAAGTGAGCTACTGTTGGTTACCTCCTATGACTATTTGAATAGAAAAGAGGCAGTGGACACAGTGACGTTTGATCTCATTACACACACACACACACACACACACACACACACACACACACACACACACACACACACACACACACAGACACAGACACATACACACAACACACAACACCGACACACTCCTGTGGGCTCTTCGAAGGAAACATGTAGCCTACGAGGTGTTGACACAGTTTGTCAGGACTACGTATTATCGGAATTGTCAAACTTTATTTTTTTTTAAATCACATTGTGTTCTATGATGTATTATTATTTAACAACTTAAGCCAATTCAACCCCTTCCTGTTCCTGTCAAAACAGCATGGAGAGTGTGAGGAAAAAGCTAATAAGTCACCCTTGTTTTTACAAACTGTTCTTTCCGGTAACACTAAAAATGAATAAACTCATGACTCTTAAATATGTCAGGCTTACATAAACTGACCTGAAAATATACGATCAAATAATATAAAAACATTTGGTGGTACGTCATTTTTCACTTCCTGCTAGAGCTAAAAGCTGCACACTCTGAAAGAAGAGGAAGATTTCTATAATCGTTACAATGTACTGGAATAATGGGAAAGATGTAAACGGTGACAGAAACGCTGACTCCAGAGCTCCTGCTCCACCCTGCTCCACCCTGCTCCACCCTACAGGAGGCACAGATCCATTGATGAAGTTCCTCAATTGAGGTTTTTCCTTTAAAGAGCTTCAGTAATAATAACGCAGGTTGCCAATGCCTCAGATGTTCTGTCCCACATGCCTGTTCTGCACATTTCTGGGTGCATTTGAAGAATGCTGTCCCAAGAAAGATATAGTTTCCACACATAAACTGTCAAATCAGCACGGTGTAGTGTTTTAGATAGTGTATAGATTTCCGTGATGATTCTCAAAACTACTTTCAGAGAGTTTAAACTTGCTAGACGTAGCTAATCCACCTCGGAGAACTCCATCCTTTTAGTTTATAATCGCTAATGGTAACACAGTCCAAACTGACAAAACATAGGCTTGTGAACCCAGCGCCTACATCGGCCATCTTTAAAGCTATGTCCGTCTTTCAGCTGATAAATGGTGGTCCACACTACATATGTTAATCCCTAAGGGTTCAACCTCGTTACCATGCCACAATAATGCCCTTAGCCAACAGCAGTCATGGTGTTTGGTAATGGGAGCCAGTGGCACAACATGGAAAAAGTCACATGGTTTTTAGGGTTAGGGTGAGCAATTTAGAAAGGGACTGTAGATCAGTGCTCCACCCACAGCCTCCACCCACAGCTCAGCAGGGCTCCTCTGTCCCGCCCTAACATCTATGCATGGCAACAGTTGAGTATTGTTGAAAAAGTCTGACTTTATTCTGTCGCACATTGTTTCTCACCATTCTCAGTGTTCATGGTACTTAATGGAAACACTCGTCGATCAGTTCACTACTGATTTGTTTTTCTTGTATTGTAGTCGTCGGGATGTTATTTTCTCCTGTCCATTCAGTAAACACATAATCATTAGATAAATTCCACGGAAAGGGACATTTTGATTAGAGACAGCCTTAGCACAGTCATTCAATCTCAAAGAATGACATAAAGGGAAGACTACAAGTAACAACCCATAATTCATTCATCCAGGTTCCAGTTTATCAGATAAATTGGTCCAACGTCTTTTAAACAACCAATCATCAACTAGCACCTGGTTTAAAGCATACTGACGCTTAAAAAGGCCCCAAAAAATGACACATCAACATTTTATTTGTATGAAAGGTTTTCCAAACTGTTTTTAACTTTGATTGCAAAAGAGCTGGACTATGCTGACTGGCCAAAGTTTTATTTAATTCAACATTAGCCCTCCTCCTCGTGTAAATAGGCCTAACCCTAGTCAGGAATCAAGCATGAAGTTTTATCACCTTTACGTTGTTAATGTTTTCTGACGCAAGATGTTTGGAGCAGTGATGAACTCACACAAAGAGACGATAAAGGTCCAGTTTGGGTCAGGATTAGTATCTAAACTTCAGGGTTAGAAACAAAATTCACAATTAGGAAAACAATTTGGGATTAGCAATTCAAATTCAGGATTAGGATCCAGATTCAGGATTAGGATCTAGATTAGGATCTAAAGTCCAACTCGCAGGAATTGTGATGGTTCATTTTTGTTCAGATTTCAGTGTCAGATTCCATAGAACTGTCTCATCGTTAAGCTCAATCCATCGTCTCTTCTCACCGTCTAACTGTTCTTAAAGCTACACTCACTGATTTCCCTCTGAAACAAACCTTGAATTACAGATCAGTGACTGTACCTTTAACAAGACAACCAGGAAAAATCTGTTGGCTGGTTTATTTGAGCGCCGTGTTCGCAGATTCCATCGTTTCCGGGTTCTAGTTTGACTTGTGTGTGAATGGAAATATTAAGGATTATGTATCCATAACCTCTTAAACAAGTGGTTGACTTGCACTAATTTAAAAACAGTCATGGGTTTGTAAAGATGAAAAACCTCAAAATGTGGCATGTTTTATTTGATGTTATGCAAAATCTAATGTCTGTAGAGTAATAGTCTGAGTTTTGTTTTATTGCAGTATGTGTGATAATTGTAAATACAATTTGAGATGGTATATTTACTACACTGTACATACATGTGATATTGTATCATTTTGTTTTTGTAAAGCAGTTAGTTTCTGTATAATAATATACAAATTGAACTATTCCAGTGTTAGTAATAAAATGTTTTGCTCTCCAAAACGTTTGAACCGGCGTGATAACAGACCCCAAACCGAGTTATCTTTATAAAGGTCACATTTCCAAAGGTGTCAATGAAGGTTTTAACAAATGTGGTTTCATCAGTGATGTATACACCGTCCGCTGTTGACCATTCAGATTTTAGTAAGTAAATCTACATAGAGTGGTGCAGTGATGACATATTGTGTATGTAGCCAGTCCCCAACTCCGGGGACTTCCGGCCGGGGACTCCGGGTGGCAGTATACGCCGTGAAGTTGTTTGCGGCCTGCCAGTAAACCCAAAGCAGAAGAAGAAGAAGTGACGTCAGCGGCTTCATTTGCCTAATCCTTCCCCCAGGGGAACTTATTCCGGTGTGAACGCAATCTGGATTTAGTTCATGAGAACTAAAGAGTTCATCAGAACTAAGTTCTGATGAACCTTTGTGGGAAAAGTACTTGGTGTGAAAGCGCCTAAGCGCTCCCTCGACAAAAAAAATGTAGGTTTTCCATTGGATTTTGGAATATTGCAGAAAATAATATCTTTGGAAAACAAACATTTATGATCCTTAAATGTTTGTTCAGCGGGATAATCTCCACATATTAACATCACTTTTATAATAGTTGAATTCAAGAAGTAAATAGCTGATGAAATGGTCGAGACAAACTACATGGTCACGACTGCACATCAACACCGCTAAGGTAAAGGCGGCTACATTTCAGCGTGATGACGTTTATTCTCAGTCTCATTTAGCCACCTTTTAGCAACCACGGTTTTTAAGACATGGAAAAGCTTCAGACATTCACAGGATATTCACTGAAGTGTTTAATGTCATAAAGCCAAACGTGAACAGCTTGTGTTAACCACATACCTTATTTTAGACAGCTAACCAAAAAGGAATTAAAAAAAACTGTGGGTTCAATGAGTGAACCCAGAAATGCTAACTAACGTCCGGTCTAAGGACTCATTCCTGCAACACTAGCATACCCAAGCAGTGTATCACTGTGTGAACTGTCCTACCAGTCAGCGAGGGGGCAAAGTGCAGACTCTGCTGTGAGCGCCTAGACAGCCGGCCAAATAACCACAATGCACCGGGTTTGATCCGCTCTTTTGACCTTTGTTGTATATTTCAAGCAGTTGCAAATTCTACTGGGTTTTAAAGATCTGCACCTGGGACACGGCAGTCACATTTTGTCTCCCTCCTCAAGCTCGGCATTCAACACCATTGAGCCAAAAAAACTGCAGTCACCATCTTTTATAACACTATACTATGACAACTTCTATACGTTATTATACATTTTTAGTGACTTTTTTGTCATTGTTCTAGAAGTTCTGTAATAGGCCTTAGTTTATTACATCCTATAGTGTAATTTGGTTTATGATATCATATAATATGAGTAATAGTTTATATCCCAAAAAAGGGCCAATGATAAATCTATGGATTAGAAAAGATAATAGGATAATTATAAAAATTCTTCGAACAGACAGACAGAAAACAATTATTAGTGATATATATTTCTTCTCTTAAAGGTGGGGTAGGTAATTTTGGAGAAACCGGCTCGAGTGCGCTAGAATTTGAAAATACACAGCCGGAAAAAATCTGCCACTTCCTTACAGAGCCCCTCCTCCAACACACACAAACGCGCACATGACCAATGAGGGCACGACATAAGTTTGTGCACAGATGGAAGGCTGACAGGCAGGTAGGCCATCCAGTTATTTTAGCCGGGCCGGCTCAAATGATTGGTCGTGCTTTTTACAGTACTACGGCTTCCACAGATGACATTTTTTTATGGATTTTTTGTCAAAGCACTTAAGATATTCATTGCTATCGGGATGTTAAGAGCATTCCATGGAATATAACAAAAAGTGTATCTCGAGCCGGTTTCTCAAACTTACCTACCCCACCTTTAATAAAATCTTTATTCTCAGAATTTGTTTAGCCTGTTGTTACAGCAGAGATCTATTCTGTGCAGCACAACCTCTGAAATATGTTATTGCACTCAAATGGAATTTGTATTGAACACAAAATGCATATTTGTGTGTATATAACACCAGTATTTAAATGGAATGCTATTTTGTACAACATTTAAAACACAATTGGAGATTTAAGGACTTCCATGTTGTTCCAGAAACATAAATAACTTAGAAATGTAATGCTTGCCATGTGGTCAGGTTGAAGTAAAGGATTAGTATCACAATTTTCCGTTCAAGATAATTCTGCATCAAATCTGCTGTTTCACCACTCAGCAAGTAAACTAACCTCCAAAGAGATTTAGCATTGGCTGCTAGGAATGTCCCATCTTGATGTTTCCATGAATCATTTTAGAAATGTTTTCTTTAATCCACTGCATGAAAGGTCAGAAATATTCTGAACATTCAGAAAAACAAATGTCTTCCATTAGAAACCTGTGAACGAGTCATTTCAGCAAATGTTGTGTTTTTGGGTGGAATCTTTTCGTGGTCTGCAGAAAAAGTAACACAGGAAATGTTAATGCTTTTATTATCAAGTGGCCGTTGCATCACAAACAGGATGTGGTTAAGATCAGCCATGAAGTCGTGTCACACGTTAAGATGTCGGGCGGAGGGTTTCACACTCAACGGCCGCCATCTTGGCTACTACTTGGCTTGCTAGCTAATGAACAGCGGAGATCGTAACTTCTCTTGAGGGTCGGCAGTCTTGTTCCATTTGAGACATTACACAGTCCAAATTCATGTGCCGAAGTGTTCACAGTGTACTAAGAGAAGTATCCAAATTGAGACACAGCAAGGGTTAGTACTCTTCTATTCTACTGACATATTACTGTTCTTTTGTCCATTTCCCCTCATTCAGTGATCAGGTCAAATCCAGTCAGTTCCGAACGCCACCTTTAAAAAAAGACGATTAAAGTGAGGAAAACACAGAAACAAACCTTAAACTGCATGTTTGTGCCTTTGGGGGCGAACATTGTCCTGATTTCAGCAGCCCAGCAGGAGAAGACCTCCACACGTCTCACAACTACAGATGCAACATGTCTGTTGAAACATCTCCGTGTTTCAGAAGCGTGGGGCAGGAGGGTGGTTAGTGGTTTTGTCCCTCAGCATGGTGAGCGCCGTGTTGGAGAAGTCCCTCAGGATGTCCACCGTCTCCCGCTGCAGCTGCAGGGAGTCCTGAACAAACTCCTGCTGGCTCTCCACCAGCAGCTGCACCGACTGGGCCAGCACCTCCAGAGACTGGGACACGGAGCTCAGGAGCATCCTGCTGGCCCGCTGCTGCTCCAGGCCCTGAGACGCCATCTGGGCCACGGCATCATGGGTCTTGCGGGGGGCCCCTCCGGCCGGGAGAGGGTCACGATTAGCGCTGGAGGGAGGGAGGATTGAAGAGGAGGGGGCGATATAAGCAACAGAGGAGGCGGGAGGCGGTGCGATGGAGGGCGCAGGTTTAGAGACCTTGGTTGTAGAGGATGAGGAAGGCGGGGGAGGGAGGGCAAATGAGGAGGAAGGAGCAGGGAGGGAGAAGGTAATGGTGGACCTTAAGAGGGGCTGCGACGGGGGGGGCGCAGCAGCGGAGGAGGCGGTTTCTGAACCAGACGCCAAAGGGATAACTGAGGAGGTGGAGGACCCGGAGAAAAAGGGTACTGGTGGGGGAGGTTTGGGGGAGGTGGTGTTGCTCTGGCTGTTTCGGGAGTAGGTGTGGACAGGCTTCATCCTCAGCAGGGCGTTGTCAGGCAGGGGGTCCAGGGAGGTGAGGGAGGCGGAGGGTGGGGGTTGAGGGAGGAAGAACATGGAGTCGTCGTTTTCTTCGAAGTCCAAGGCATATTCTAGTAGATCAGAGAATAAAACAACTTAAAACTCGCTTTCAACTTTACAAAGATATTTGTATTTATTTTAAATGTATACTTTTGCTTTAAATCAGTTTGAAGAAGAAGCCACAGAAGAGCAAAATAAAATCTTAGTAATGTCACAGTTATCTTGACAGGACCATGTGATCATTAGGGGGGGGTGACTCCATAAATAGCAGTACCTGTTGAGTACTGAAATGAGTCATAGAGCGTCTTTTAGGGGTGTTGAAAATAATCGTTTCTATGCGGACGTGGACGATTCTGCATCGATGCAGTCACAGAACATAATCGATTATAGCGTAGTAACGTTGCTTCATGATTTTCCGGCCGCGGCTTTACAATAACGTTTTTTTTTCTGTCACACGAATATCAAATCAGTCGGTGACGCAGAGATCAGGGAACAGAAGTGACAGCGGCACAGCGGCACCACACCCAACACGGAGCAGCTTTATCCACCAACACAAGCAACACCGGTCCAGAACCAACAGCAGAATGACCCGCTCTGAATCAGTCCAGAACCAACAGCAGAGTGACCCGCTCTGAATCAGTCCAGAACCAACAGCAGAGTGACCCGCTCTGAATCAGTCCAGAACCAACAGCAGAATGACCCGCTCTGAATCAGTCCAGAACCCACCAACAGCAGAGTGACCCGCTCTGAATCAGTCCAGAACCAACAGCAGAGTGACCCGCTCTGAATCAGTCCAGAACCAACAGCAGAGTGACCCGCTCTGAATCAGTCCGTGTCGCTGTGGCTCAGAGACACACAGGGATTTATGTTTTTTTAAATACTAGCATTAGCACCTCGTCAGGTTTTTGGTGGATTGAATCAAGTCTTGGATTGCAGAGTATGAATGTCCTCTTGCTATTTTCAGACGATAAATACGTGTTGAAGTTTGTGAAGGCAGGAGGAAAGCTTCCCGCCCTGAAAATAATGAGTGACAGGCTGATAGTGACCCGATAGAAACGTTATTATTCACTTAAACAAATGTTGATATAATGAAGCTAACTTCATCTCATACATTCATGGGATTTATGTAACAGTAAGACAGAGAATGTAAGTGTGCACCCACACGCAGTGTTTTTGTTTGTATATGCTCCTGTTGTAATACTCCTGTTGTCTGCTGTGTTCAGACTCAAGTCCTGTGTGTGATGCCACATTCAGGACATTCAGTGTCCTTTGAGCAGAAGACCGTAGCTAGAAGCTGCAGCTAGACTGCAGAAGCATTAGTTTTTAGTTTTTGAGGATGGAACAACTTCACACACAGATATAGGGAGGCTAGACCTATACAATTGATTTATAATTGAATGTCATGATATTTATGTTATTGATTTCTGACGCCGTTTCTAAACAATAAAAATATGTATCTTACTGCATGTATTCATTGATGAAAAAGAAGCCATGTGTAGTAATATAGAAAATTGAGGATGCAACGCATTGTTATGAATCGTGATATCGAATCGGTGACAGGATAATCGAATCGAATGGTGAGAACAGTGAAGCTGCACAGCCCTAGCGTCTTTAAGAGTCTGTTGACAGAACATGTATGCAGATATCTGTCTTTAGTCTTGAATCTTTACAGATCTTTTAAAAACTGCCCCGTACTGTCAGCGTCCTAATTGCTCTGTCACTAGCACATAGGATGTGGCGATCCCCATCAAGGTATTACCTTCTGAATCACAGAGCAGAAACATTCTTCTTCTGGGTAATTAAAAAAAACAGCCATTGTTAAAACTCCTTGTCGTCCAATCATTTGTCCTGAAGACGAAATATTCCCCATTAGCTAGGAGGTCTAACAATCAGTGTAAAGAGACGTTGTGAAAGCTTTCAAGCAGCTGTCAGTCAGTTTATAGATAATATAATAAAATAGTTGTTCCCAAAATATGTTCAAAGTTTAAGGCCCTCGCCCCGTCAAAGTCCATATCACAATCGTATCCATGTAAATGTAAAGGCCCCCCCCCCTGTGGCCAGAAGCAGAGAACAGCAGCTGTTTTGATCTACAGTCTTACCTCCAGCGTCACCCATGTCCAAGTCAGAGGACATGTGGAAAGGGTTGCCTGCAAGACATGGACAAGCAGCAGTAAGACATGTTGAATACATGATAGAATATAGAAACTGTGAGTGATGTGGAACTGGCCAATCCCCCCTCAGACTTGTTGCAATGATTCTCGCACTGTACTTACCATCCAGATCCTTCTCTGGGGAGGAGAGAGGAGACAGGTCAAAAGAGGCCCCTCCTCCAGGTAGAGAGTGGGAACTGTCCGTCAAGCTGAGGTAGGAGTAGGTGGTGGAGTTGGGGGGTGGGCCTTTACTGTAAAGCTTTGAAAAATCTTCATCTTCACCCATCTCCAGATCACTGTCGCCACCTGAGAACCAACACATCTTGTCATGTTTCAAACCGCTTCAGGGCCCAAACCTGCTTTCTTATACTCTGCTGTGTAGCTCTGAGAACACAGGGCCGATCATACATCGAGTGTTGAAACCACAGACCCCCCCCGACGCCGCCTCTGCTCACCTGCTCTGGGACTCATGATGAGGATCTTGTACACCATCCTCTCTATGGGGCCCAGGTTCTTCTTCCTCATGTTGTTCCCATTGGGGCTCCGGAGGGCCAAGGCGCGTCGCTTTCCGTCACATTTCAGGTCCGCCCATTTCTTCATGATCTGTCGCACCTGGGAGAAAATGAAACCTCTTTTAAAATGTCTTCTTCTGAGACACCATTTATTTAACTGATGCATGTATCAACCAAGGAATCAAGTAAAAATGCTCTCTGGTTCCATGTCAGATTATCAAATATAACGTTAAATAGTGCTGCATTCTGAAGGGTACGTTTGAAGACCTCGACAGGCTCTGACAAATTTGATGGAGATTATCTAACTTTCTGGACTAAAATGATGGACTAGGAGTGGTAATCCGTTTAGACCTGTAAGGATTACGCAAGATCAATCTGAGGGGTTCTGAGATTGTAACAGGACCCAAAATAGTTTTCAATGTTTATTCCCTCATTTTGGCCATTTCTCTTGTGAGTTCATGGAATATTTAAACTTGAAATCACATTAAATCACAGATAGTTTCACACATCACAACACATCCATTATCATTAACAGGACTAAAAATAATCAATAGTAATCAGAGTATCAAACCTCTCTGTGGTTCTCTCCCAGACCGTTGATCTGATTGGTGATTTCCGTCCAGGTCTGTTTCTTGGCTTCAGCCGACACGCCTTGGTTAAACTTCCCTACAGGGAGAGATATGGGAGGTGAGACAGGTACGGACAGAGGTATGGGGTTTACTCTGCTTAGGTACTGCTGGTAAAACCACTAACAGACAGTGATGAAAGTAAGCTATATTATCTGCAGAAACCCTCTGTTTGGGGTTCACACAGAAGATAAATAAATAATAGATAAATGCAGCATTAAACATGATCAGAAACGGAAAATCTCTTCATCACGTGACTCAAACGCTTCCATCAGGAAACATCCTGTCTCCTCTGTGCAGCTGGGAAGCCACCAATGACTCGGCTGAGACCCTCTATCACATGACAAAAAGCTCAGTGGAACTTTACCTGAACTGCCGAACTGCCCACATGACCCTCTTCAAAGGCTGCCTTATCCTTCAGTCATTTTCACTTTGCTATTCCTGTTAAGTGTTCCTGCAAGATATGACCTAACAAACCCCTGTAACCTGTTACTGAGCCCTTCCAAGGCCTGACTTTGTTAAACTCAATTATTCTGCTCCTGCCTCTGCTATAACACACCAGGTTCTTTGATACATTCTTAAAGTTAAAACAAACCCGGGGAGATAAGTAAAATAGGACAAAGTAACACAGCTTTTAAAATGCTGCTGCAGCAACAGTAAGAATGTAGGCTACTACATTGTAGTAGAAACTGTACCACATGAAACTGTACCACATGAAACTGTACCACATGAAACTGTACCACATGAAACTGTACCACATGTACATTATTCATCAGACTATGTGTAACTATCATAAATAAATCGGTGTCACCATGTTCCTGGTTTAATCTGATCGTAGTGAACAACAATGATACAAAAACAATCTAATCACACACACACACACACACACACACACACACACACACACACACACACACACACACACACACACACACACACACACACACACACACACACACACACACACACACACACACACACACACACACACACACACACACACACACACACACACACACACACACACACACACACACACACACACACACACACACACACACACACACACACACACACACACACACACACACACACACACACACACACACACACACACACACACACACACACACACACACACACACACACACACACACACACACACACACACACACACACACACACACACACACACACACACACACACACACACACACACCTTTCCACTCACTGAGGAGGATGCATCTGTTCCTCTTCACCGCCTCCAGCAGCACTTTGACCTCAGTGAAGGAGAACCGGGGTTTGGATCTCAAGCCTCCTTTGGCTCCTCCCACCTTGAACTCCTCATCTTCCTCACGCCACACAGCCGACATAGCTACCTTCACACCTCCTCTTCTGCTGGCCTTTTGCGACTCAGTTTGGTGGATGTCACCACCTTCCAGGACCGTCTTTTCCTGATCCACAAAAAGACACCTCTCTGACTGCACCTGCAGCGGGCGGGAGACAAAACGAGAAATATTAGGAACAGAGGGGAGAATGCTATACAGAGAAGACACAAAAACATGAGCTAAGTCACTAAGTAAAGGGAAATAAACGCAAAATCAGGACTTAACATTAGCATCAACAGCAGAAATACAGAATTCAGCAGCACCGTGTAGCAGACGCTTATACTAGCAGCTATTGGTTGCATACACAGTGGATGGGTGCAGGAATGAGTCGCAACCCGGATATGAGTTAGCATATTAGCACTTTCGGTGGTTAACACAAGCTTAAACAATTTTCATGTTTTGGTGTACGACATTCATCAGTTAACACCCACTGTATTGGAGCGGTTACGTCACATAAAAACAGCAGGGGCTAACAAGTTTTTTTGAAATTGCTATATTTGGATTAGCCAATAACCAAAGAGCAGGAGGTGTAATATTTGTTGACGGCTAGTTATGTGTCAAAAAAAGATGTTAAGTATATTGTCTAAAAACACTTTTCAAATCTAAATACGGTTGGTACATTTTTTTAAATAATTTAAATATATATTTTCATTGTTTTTATATTTGTTAATAAAGATAACTTCAATTTGATATTTTTTCCAAAATGTTCTACAACCAAATAAATATTGCTTAACGGAGAAAGAAAAGTCTTACACTCAGTGGCAGTATAGGTCAGAATCAAAGTACAAAGGTTTTTCCTTAAAAGGATAATTAAATGCATTTCTCATAGCTTAGAATCTCCACATAATAAATACATGTATTTACCTGATATGACTCATATGGTACTTTCACACAACCTGAATGCCGCTGATGACTTGAGGTTTAAAAAGAACATATTGTAGAGTACAGATACAATGATGAAGAAACACCATGGCTGACCAAAAAAGTATAGAGAAACATTTGTGCAATGTTGTTCTTTAGAGCTGGACTGTGGTTGTTTTCACAGAGTACTCTCTATAAATACATATAGTATTTCTCATATGTAAATATTGTTAATTTGTTATAATAGTCTTAAAATAGATTCTTAAAATAGACATCATAATAACAGTCCTATTTTTATTGTATTTGTTTTGCTACGTATTGTTGTTTCTGTGTCTCTGTATGCACCACATATAGCAAAGGAAACTCCTCGTATGTGTAAACCTACGATTCTGATTCTGAGGACATCTTGTTTTTTCCAGAATGTGTCCCTACGGTGCCTCCTGGTAGTATTTTAAAATAAAAAATGCCATATTATAGAAATACACTTAGGGTTGGCTTGTAACTGTGATAAGGTGTAGATTTTGATGACTTTTAAAAGTCAGAAACTAACATTATAGTCACCAAACATGCAACACTGTGGCGATATTGACTACATCGAAGTAGAATCTCAAAATTCTTCTTATTTTAGGACCCATAACTATATCAAAAATAATACATTCAGTGTCTTATTATAGTGTTTTATCTCTGTTTAAAGAGCCATTTCAAGATTCAAGATTTGTTCAAGATTCATAAGGTTTATTGTCATAACATATACACCACTACGGTGCAATTATGTAATGTATGAAAAACTAAGATCTCAAGTTACTCAACAGTGCAATTTAAAAGACATGAAAAAGAAATAAAAATAAAAATAAAGAAACAACAAAATTACAATTTTAGCTACATTTTGTTGAATGTGTTTACCATAACACGCAAGTATAGTGTTGATACCTACCAAAATGTATAAGATATGAACTTTTGAATAATGTTTGACAGCTGCTATTCATGTTTAATTAATATTGTTTGTTTTCTATTTTGAGTGTGTTGTTTTCATGATTTTTGAAGAATTGTTTAATGAATTTTACCCTGGATATGTAGTGTCTGTGAGTACCTTGAAATCGCTCTTTATATAGAACATGTTATTATTATTGAGAACAACTTCTCAAAAAGATTTAAATTAGCGTTGCGTCTGCTTTGACCACGTGGTCCGTCTGAGCCAATCAGCTGTGGGCTAGTGTGTCTTTGTTGAGCTCATACAAGGAGCAGCCAGCCCACAGACTCCGCCATCTCTGAGGGTACCGTAGCGCTAACACGCCGTGGCGATAAAACGGCAAACCCGGATTTACAGCGAATTGCAGCGCAGTTGTGTGGATTTACCGTGCATGTAAAGCGAGCGTTCGCAAAACAGCGTCTTGTATCTGTGTGCCGGTTCCGTTGCACCGAGAAACAGCTCGCGTTAGGCGGCACTTAGTGGTGGAGGTAGAGGACGTAATGTCTGCTCTGGTGCTAAGCTCCATTGTTCGCATTGAAGCTATACACGGGTATACTTGCTTTTGTATTTATATCACGCGTGTAGTGTGTTATCAAGACAATATGGCGACGTGCAAAGTAAAAAGCTGAAAATGTTAAAATAATTACCAGGAAAAATTGCGTTTTTCTCTCTACCTCCCCTCCTTCCTCCGTGGTTCTCCCGAAAGTTCGGAGAGTCGAGAACAACGGGACTGCGCAGACTCCGATATTTTTTTTCCTCCCTTGAACGCGCTACATTTCAGCTCTCTGCGCGCCCACAGCTGCCCCCCCTACACCGTGCACCAATCACGTCCATTTTCAAATAAAGTAAACACAAAACTCATAAAATATGCGCATTTAACTCGTGTTTTTTATTTTATGTGAAAAACTGATGATTAATCCTCTTCACAAAGCTGTAGTATGACCCACCAAAGATAACCCCTTGCCCCTCCCTCCAGTTTGACAATATTAGTCCATAGCCACATTTCTATTCGCTAAAATATTCTTTAAGTACATATTTTTAGCATTTCATCACAATATACAGAAATTAGAAATATATAAAGTTCTCTAGCTGCGCATGTTTTTCTAGTCTTCAAAAGTCAAACACATTATTATACTTATACAGCCTATTATAATTACCCATACAATCGAGTAAACACCATAATAATTAGCAATAGGCTAGTCCACGCCCAAATGTAGATCAATACTGGCTTAGGACAATAATAATGCAAACTCAGCAGGTGATACAACAAAGTAAATCAAAACATGTTTATTGACTATATGAAAAGCATGCAGCAAAAAGCACAAAACCGTTTTTATTTTGCAGAATTGTTTTAACCGTGTCTGCAAAAGCTTGATGAGATCACATTATAAGACAACACCAATTCATCGTCATTTTTCACCACCATTTTACATCAACATGAGACGAGAGAAGATGGAGAGATCATTAGAGGAGCAGGTTCCATGTTTGTCCGCTTGGTGTCGCAAAAGGTCTTTGTCTGATGACAAATGCGTGTTTCCTTTCTCTGGGCAATACCCGACTGCACCTGCAGAGGGCGCCAACACGCACGTGTTATGGGACATCTTAGACTAGAGAAAGGGGGGAGGGGTGTGTTATACAATGGTGTTGCATTTGGGAAGGGGCTGTTCGTTGATAGTATTTTTTTTATCCTGCACACATACAGCTGTTTTTTATAATATATATAATTATCTGACCCGTAGAAGTAAAAGGCAGCTCTTCGGTGATACACGCCCTGGGTCAAGGAGCTGCTCTTCGCTGCTGTTTTCCACAAGTTCACATTTTGTTTTTGTCTTCATTGTGCTGCAGTGATCCAGTTTCCCCACAGGGATCATCAGAACGTCCTTATTCTCTGCCGAGTGACCGCAGAAGCCACCTCGGGGGGAATGTAACAACAAACAACAAAGGGCTTGCTGCGAAACTATGACTACCTACTAGAATATTAGGAGAATAAATAGAAACACAAGAGCAAATTGAGATCTTGCTACTAAGAGTCACAGAATGTAAGTCCCTGTAGTGAAATCACAGCAATAACATAACAGGAAGGAAACTCTACTTCAAAAAAGAACTATGTTTAGTTAACAGCAGCAACACTTTGGCACAGCATGCAGAACATAGTAATGCTACTAGGATAAATACGCTTTAAAAAAAGAGTGACATGGAAAAGTGCTACTTCTATCGTTTTATGAGGTTGTTGGCTTTCTGGTTCGCAGCATCGATGCGTGACACATTGAGAATAGCCTGTAGAGAGAGAGGAAAGAAACAGCAAATGTAAATGACACGGGAGACCTGCTGGACTTCTCAGCCTTTCTCTCAACGTAGCGGAAGACAGTGTGTGACGATGAGTACAAAGTAAGCACTAACGTTCAATTCCTACTCACCGTCACATATGCTGGCTCTTGCTGAAAATAACAGTGCATTGTACAATTTATGCTTGTCAGTGAATGAATGCCACAAGACTTCCAGCTCCCTTCCTGTCTTGCTTCTTGCTTCTGATTACAATTGTAAATGGGCTCTGTTTATATAGTGCTTTTGTGATTGACGTCACCCATAGGTTTGTAGACTACAGTGTTTTATCCTCAAGTTTGACAATTTGAACGTGGCATTCTTGGTTTTTTATTAACTAAAAGAGGGTAAAGCCATGTATTACAGAACCCTGGAATTCACATTTGTAGGAAATAAGAATGTTACAATTAACTTTGAAATTACCTGAACTGAATTAACTGAAAACCTGTGAAAGAATTAAAGTTCAAAGACAACACCCAAACCAAACAAGTTTAAGGCACTATGAGTAAAGTCTCTGAATGGGACCATAAACTCTTGAGGAAAATGTTTACCGCGGTAATAAATCAAGTAAGAATTAGGGTAATGTGTCATGTGACAGTTGTACCTTGCCCTGTATGCGTTCAATCTGGTTGTTCTGCATGTCCATCTCGTTGCCCATGTCCAGGGCCATGCTTTTCAGATTTCCGAGGATGCTGCCGACATGAGCCAGGTTCCCGTCCATCTCGACCTCCCTATCATCGTTAGTCACCCTGAGATAGAGCAGTTTAATGTGTGTGTGTTAACGGCCTGTGTTTGGCCAGCTGCCTGTATGACTGATGACTAGTATTACATTACATTACATTACACAGCTGCCTCTCCTAACAAGCAACCAACAATACACACTTCATTAACCTCTCTCAATACCTCCGTATGTGTCCTCCGCTCATGATCATTTGCTCCCTCTCATCAACGACTCGAGACGAAGGTGGTTGGTTGGATACAACGCCATCCTGACCGGAGCCTCCACCCCAAACTGCCTTGTACGCCCCGCTCTCCTCAAAGGCTTTTAGTCTGAAAGATGGAGAGAGACAAAGAGAGACATTCCTTATGAATGCATTTATATTGGTAGTCCACCCTGCTAAATGTGATGCACAAGAACAGCATCCTTTCCAATATGGGTACAGTAGTTGTCTATGTATACAGTAGAGAAGGCAAACATGTTGTAAAGACGAAACAGCTTTAAAAAATCTATAGTGCATCGAAGCAAGCACGCATAAACAAAAGAATCAAAGAGACAATTTTTGAAGTGAGAGTAAAAATGTGAATGTAAATATATATGTAATTGAAGTCTCACTGATACACGTAGCACGCATACTCATAAAAAGGAAGGTTTCAAAAGGATTATGCTGCACGATTTGTGTGAGTGTTTGTTAACAGGTACAAATAATCATTTTCATGTTGAATTATTCCTTTAATTCTAAATCACTTTTTTAATAGAAAGCTTTCTTCAGTTTTTCTATGAAGGACCACCATATTCTGTAGTTTTCTCAGAAAATGTGTACCAGTCGAACACACACACAGACACACACATACTTATCACAGGAGCAGAGGCCACAGCACTTGCCCAGGTCAGTCAGGTTTTTCTCGGCCTCCTTCATATCAGAGTTGATCTGATCCAAGCCCTCCTCTACACGCTCCAACTGCTCTATGACAGGAGAAGGAGGAGGATCGAGGAGCATGCAGGAGGAGAGGAAGAAAGGAAGTGCCAGGAGAGGAGAAGGAGGTAAATTGGATGTAAGAAAAAATAAAGGAGAAGGAAGAAATAAAATGAAGGTATGTAAAGGATGAAAAGGAGGATGGAAGAGGAGAGTGGAGGAAGAAGGCAAAACAAAATCAGCAACTATTTCCTTAAAGCCCCACAACAGAAGTGAAAAAGCAGCCAGTAGCGACTGAACGTAAGACGCCCAAAACAAAACCAAAAAATAAAGAATTGGCTTAGAAATCTAAAATAATGTCACTTTGCACTAACAAACAGGCCACACACGGCCCAGCTGTCCATGCCCAGTTCCATCATGTTTTATCCATCCATTTTGATTAGATTGGAATGAGGGGTTTACTCATTATTGAAGATTGTACCCGAGAAAGGCGGAATAATGTCCAGTATTTGAAATACGGAAATTATTCAATTTGTGGTGCCTAAAATTGATGGATGGAAGGATGGATGGATGATGGATGGTTAAATGGATGGATGGATGATGGGTGGATGGATGGATGATGGGTGGATGATGGATGGGTGGATGGGTGGGTGGATGGGTGGATGGATGGATGGATGGATGGATGGATGGATGATGGATGGTTAAATGGATGGATGGGTGATGGGTGGATGGATGGATGATGAGTGGATGATGGATGGGTGGATGGATGATGGATGGTTAAATGGATGGATGGATGATGGATGATGGGTGGATGGATGGATGAATGGATGGATGATGGGTGGATGATGGATGAGTGGATGGATGATGGATGGTTAAATGGATGGATGGATGATGGATGATGGGTGGATGGATGGATGGATGAATGGATGGATGATGGGTGGATGATGGATGGGTGGATGGATGATGGATGGTTAAATGGATGGATGATGGGTGGATGGATGAATGGGTGGATGATGGATGGATGGATGATGGATGATGGATGGATGGATGGATAGAAGGATAGATGGAGGGATGGTTGGAGGACAGTGGGGTTTCTATTTTAATGCCAAATTCCATTAAAACCATATGGCTTCAGCTCAGACAATGGAACTGGGCTACAGTTGGTTAAAGGTGTGGATCCCAGAAACCAGAACCTACTTCCTGATTGGCCAGATACAAAGACCACAGCAGTGGGCCATGTCTGTCAGGTTCTTCTCTGCCTCCCTCATGTCCCTGTTGATGGTGTCCATGCCTTCCTCAATACGCTCCAACTGCTCTGTTAGGAACACGGGTTTTTATGGTGCTGGGTTTAATGGTGATGTAACAACGGCAGAGACAGACAATATGGAACAGATGGTTTCAACTGGCTGATCTGATGTTCAGACCATGTTGTCAATCCCTAGAAATCCAACCTAGAATCTGAGATTTGCATTAATAGGTTCGAACATCGTGTCCTGAATAGATGCGAGATGCGAAGAAAGTAAGGAGGGTGAGGGGTGTGCCTTTTTCCCAGCATTCACATTGCTTTTCTGTCACCTATACTATGCAATTCTCTCTGCAATTTTCCTTGTGTTCTGAATTGGTCATTAGTTAGTTGGTTGTCATTGCAAGAGCAGCATCAACTATAATACCTCTTGGAAAGGCTGGGGAGGGGGTTGAAAAGTTGTCTTTTACCACTTTAAATATTGGACCATAAATATCCCTACCTTCTTCCATCGAAAGCAGACTTTTCTATTTTATAGTCAAGAACACTTTAAACAAGCCAAAAAAAAGACACTTAAAGATCAAACAGAATTGATTACCTCCTTGTTCATCCAGCATGACCACAGCTCTGATTCCAGCATCTTTACTCTGCAGAAAGGAGCACATAAAGCCACACAAAAACAGAATGCACATTACTAATAGCAAACTGTTGATGTGATCACTGGCACCTGAATGACACACAATATCAACACTAGTGTACATTTGTATTACACTTGGGACTAACATAATGTACATATTTGTCAGACTTTCTAATCAACATGTAGTCCTCCTGAGTCGTCTACCACTAATTGTGTGTGTGTGCGTGCGTGCGTGCGTGCGTGCGTGTGTGTGTGTGTGTCAGGGTTTCCGCTAGGATTTTTTCCTGCCGGTCAAATGTCCGGAAATAATTTATTTTACTGGACAAATTCGAAACTTACCGGTCATGTTTCAATAATAATAATAAGAATTGTGTAGCAGAGTTTCCGTTAGCAGGTAATTACCGGACAATGACCGGATGCTGATGTTTAAAACTCAGTTAATGGGGCTCATTTTTATATTGCTTCAGTTTATAATCGTAAAAGATAGAAAAGTTCAGATTCATTTTTCAAAAAATGATAGGCCTACGCTTCCCCAAACAACAAACAACATAATTATTACATTCAAACAAACTACTTATAGTAAACGAAGTACATTATTCAAAAGTTTACATTAACTTTGAATAATAACACGGGAGAAACGGACCCTCTCTTTTTCCTCTCTCCCTCCCTCTCTCTCCTGACAGCCGGTCAGTTTCTCATGCAGCTCGCTAAACAGTGGGCGGGGCTTCAGGTGATCAGAGCTGCGTGTCTCCGTCTGTCAGCAGCTGATCTGATCTCTGATTAGCTCTCTCGCGTCCGGTTATACTTCACTCGCGTTTATGTCCATATCGATCAGATCCAGCTCTCCTGATCGGCCTTTATAGAGAGCACCGATCAAACTATTAAGAGTGAATATCGGCCGATAATGATGAGCGGCAATCGATCGTAGCATCCCTAATTATTACCGGACATTTTGACCGGCAGGTTTTGAATTTACCGGTTTTGAATACATTTTACCAGCTAAAAACGGCTAACAGAAACCCTGAGTGTGTGTGTGTGTGTGTGTGTGTGTGTGTGTGTGTGTGTGTGTGTGTGTGTGTGTGTGTGTGTGTGTGTGTGTGTGTGTGTGTGTGTGTGTGTGTGTGTGTGTGTGTGTGTGTGTGTGTGTGTGTGTGTGTGGGGAAGATGGAAGGCTGACAGGCAGGTAGGCCATCCAGTTATTTTAGCTGGGCCGGCTAAAATGATTGGTCGTGCTTTTTACAGTACTACGGCTTCCACAGATGACATTTTTTTATGGATTTTTTGTCAAAGCACTTTAGATATTCATTGCTATCGGGATGTTAAGAGCATTCCATGGAATATAACAAAAAGTGTATCTCGAGCCGGTTTCTCAAACTCACCTACCCCACCTTTAAGTAAATATTGCACTTAATGCGATTTGGATATTGTAATAGTTAATTTGGAAATATTTACATTAATTTTGGAGCCCTAATAATGTACACTGTATTTTAATTCTGTTAATTTACATTTTATATGTATTTCACATTTTTGAGGTACTACTGGTTTCAGTATTAACCGAAAACTCTTTAAAGTTGTTCATCCTCTCTCTCTCTGTGTGTGTGTGTGTGTGTGTGTGTGTGTGTGTGTGTGTGTGTGTGTGTGTGTGTGTATGTGTGTGTGTGTGTGTGTGTGTGTGTACCTCTTCAACCAGCTGCATCATCCGCCTTGTGCTCTCCAGGGACTGGAAGACATACAATGAGCGCTTGAACATACAGTACATACAAATTGCAGTCAGCTAAAAATGTAAACATAGGCATCATATGACACAGTCTATATGGAAAACAAGGCTTACAAATATATATTCACATCGAATGGATTTGTATTTATTTAAGTTATAGTAATTATTTCAAGTAAATTACTTTGGGTATCATCACACTAAACTTAAAACTATATAATATATCATCTTGTCTGTCCCATCATCTGTAACTAACTGACATGTTTGTTTTCTCAACAATATAAGTGAACTCTCAAACTCTAAAAAACTACATTAAAAACACTCAACACAGCATGTCTATTTCAAGAAATCATGATCCTGTCACTCAAGATAATACGATAACACTTTGTTTTGAGCTTTTCCAGCGGGAACTATTTTCCTTCTACCGAATTACACCCCCACCCTCCAATCGTATCACCACGTGGAAGGAAGCATGCATCTACTCGACTAGACAACATTACAGCTCAGCTGAGGAGGACACAATTGATTTAGCCTCTTGCTCGAGTACATCTTGCACGAGTAGATGCACGCTTCATTGTGTATGATTGGCAGGTAAAGTGCTGCAGTGCTGTTACTTCACTGTCACTTCACTTCACTGGTTTCTCGTGAATAACCGGGTCATGATTTCTGAAAAGAGTTTCATTAAATTGGAGGCCGGCGTCTCTAAGGTAAGGCAAGGCAAGGCAAGGCAAGTTTATTTATAAAGCACTCTTCTGAGTTCTGGATGTCATTCAATGCTTAATAAACCAGCAGCATTATTTTTAAATCAATTATTTGACAAACATAAAGCCAGTGTAAAGACCTCAGAACTGGAGTGATGTGATCCACTTTCTTAGTGTTAGTGAGGACTTGAGCAGCGGCGTTCTGAATCAGCTGCAGCCTTCTATTATATTTTTTAGTGACACCTGTGAAGACACCATTACAGTAGTCGAGTCTACTGAAGATAAAAGCATGGACAAGTTTTTCCAAATCCTGCTGTGATATTAGTCTTTTAATCCTCAATATGTTCTTCAGGTGATAGTAGGCTGATTTAGTAACTGTTTTAATGTGACTGTTGAAACTCAGGTCAGAGTCCATGACTACAGCTAGATTTCTGAATTTTCTGTTGTTTTGAACATTTCCGACTGAAGCTTAGCGCTAACTTTTATACGTTCTGCCTTGGCTACAAAAACTATTACCTCAGTTTCATATTTGTTAAATTGAAGAAAGTTCTGACACATCCAGTCAATGATTTGTTCAATGCATTTACTCAGTGTGGAGCATAGTCTCCTGGTGAAATGCTTATGTAAGTTAGAGTATCGTCTGCATAGCTATCGTAACTTATTTTGTTGTTTTTCATTTTCTGAGCCAGTGTTATATCCTAGATGTTAAAGAGAAGAGGCCCCAGGATGGAGCCTTGAGGAACCCCAGGTCACATCTGCCAACTCAGATTTGTAGTTACCTATAGAAACAAAGTTTTCCCTGTAGGATTCATATCAATTTAGAACTGTTGCCGAAAGCCCCACACAGTTTTCCAGTTGGTCTAATATAATGTTGTGGTCAACAGTGTCAAATGCAGCACTAAGATCTAATAATACTAAAACTGAGATCAATTGATATCTCCACACAACTCTGACAAAAACAACTAAATTGATAAACTGCTGGGAAAAGTAAGGATATTTTTGACTTAACAATGATCTGTCCCTTTAAGAAATTCAAAATACCGCATCCATGAGGACCTGCGTTTACACTGTAGGCTACTACCATAAGCAGAAATTCTCTCTCCAGTTGCATCACTACTTGCTGCGTGTCTGTGAGTGTGTGTTTGTGTGTGTTTGTACTCTGTAAATATCATGTGCATCCCTGGGGACTTCCCCACCCAGGGTAAGGATAAGGTGACAAACGGCTTGACCTGCTGTTGTGTGTGTGTGGGTGTGTGTGTGGGTGTGTATGTGTGTGTGTGTGTGTGTGTGTGTGTGTGTGTGTGTGTGTGTGTGTGTGTGTGTGTGTGTGTGTGTGTGTGTGTGTGTGTGTGTGTGTGTGTGCGTGCGTTGTGTGTGTGTAATTAGCACCTCCCCACAATGAGTATATGAGCTCATCAAGCCTGATGGTTCTTTGCAGATGGTGGCACTGGGAGACCAGTTGACTCTATGGTAACCATGTGAGCCAGGTGTCCTTAAAGGGCCACTCCCCTAAGGCCAAGCACATCAGTAGCACTGTAACACCCGTTGTACTGTTGTGTTTGTTGTGTGGGCTGAGACGTTAAAAGGTTTATATGTGTGATGAAAGAAATATATGTGTTACACATTTAAGTCACTTTATTCAATAGCTAAAAATAGTCCTCTTGGGCTCTGCACTATCTGAGCATAGAGGCTATTATCTCTGCATCCTTTATCTTTAAGTAAATGTATGAACATTTTGAAAAACAGGACTAGCTGGGGAAGTTTTGATCATACCTTTTAAAGAACCCAGCCTAAAACCACAAGGTGTCGCAGGTCAAAATAAACCCCACGTGTGGGCACGTGATTTGGAGCAAACAGAACAGTACCACAACTTTGGGGCCATCATCATTTAGGAGTCTTTGAGCCCATGAAAATGCATATGGAGTTTTTACAGGGCAAAGTGATAGAAAATAAATGTGTGGCTTTGTGAGGCGACTTTAGGTCAAACACCACTCGAGGGGCAGATTTTAAGGTAACAGTTTATCTGAAACTATCCAAATATATATCATAATGAATGGGGCATTTTCTGTGATGTGAGTTTTTAATTTTTGACAACTCGTTGAAGGAAGTCTTTTTTATGTGCAAGAAAAAAAATCATTCCTCACCTCATCTGTGACCTGATTGGCTCTCCTGTGCAGCTCCTGCTGCTCTGTTAAGATGGGTGGGTCTGACGCCATGTTTGTTGTGTGTCTGTGTTACCAGAAAAGGCTGCAGCATCAGGTTTTGGCACCTGGAGAGCAGAGTAACACCATGTTCATTTATAATGACTGCCAACAGAATTGACCAGAGAGACGAGCTGACGGACAGACAAGGGTCCATGTACATAAAAACAGTGCCTTCAAATTTAATTCAATTTATTTAATCAGTATTATCCACTCAATAATGCTTTCCAGGGAGCCCCGGGTTTACATATTAATGCAAAACATTTTTTTTTTTTTAATGCACAGGATACCTCGCTTTTTTCATAAATTCACTAAAAATATTTAATTAAAAAAATTATTACAAACTGGAAAAGGTTCAGGGTGATATCTATTCAAAGTATTATACAGTTCTTTAGTTCTACAGTTTTCTACTCTTGTTTCTTTTCTACTCTGAAGTAGCACCTCCTACATAAATCAAACCAATCAATATTCTATAGAAATGTACCGAGGGGTTTGTTCATATTTATTATCTGATTATCTTAATCCCCCAAAAATGGTTTCTTTTTTGTATATGGCTGTTGACATTATTGCCTTAGTTATGGAGGGATACAAAGAGATATCCAAAACACCCTCTGCAAATACCTTTCACATAACAACATTAAAACAATCATTTAAAACCTGGTTGTGTTCAATGTCTATATTTCTGTCATGGAAATGTATGCAAATATATTTAATAAGTTTATGGGGGATCACAAAATATGACTCCTTGAAAATTAAATAAAGACAATTTTTCAAACTTGTGAGTGTTTTACATGAGAGAAATAATGTCATTTTTCTCATAGACTTCTATACATTCTGACTCTAGCTGAATATAAGATATTTTCATGGCAATTTTATTAAAAAAAAACTGATTTCTTATTCAAATCAATAGTTGACTTTGATTTGGGAAAAATTGAAAATACTATTTATAATTAATAATTCTTTAAGGACATTTTCATTTAACTGTTATGTAGGTCTTTTTTTTATATTTACCAAAACAAATTTATGACGGAAATGGGGTCAATTCCAATTTGACTGTGTCTACAGTCACACTACAACAGGCTGTTTACTTAAGGCCCTGACACACCAGGCCGAAATCGGCCGTTTTCGTTAGTCGGACAACGAAGCGTGCCCTGTCGCCCAAACTCAATTTGGTGTGTCCCGCACCGTCGGCCGTGACACACCTTATTTGGCCTTTCATGGCCGACGCACGGCCGATTCAACATGTTGAATCGGCCGTGCGTCGGCCACAGGCAGTCGGACAAAGAAATCACTCTGATTGGCTGTTCAGCTAGCGAATCAGTGCATGAGAAGCGAAACGGTTGCTTGAGAATGTCTTCCACAAGCAACACTCCAATGGCTGATAGCTCCAGTACCGCACGAAGCATGTTTTCGATGGACGAGAGTGAAAATGGAACGCACACGCTATTTGTTGTTTGTTTAGATCACACAGTCTGTTCTTCTTCTCTGTCTTCCGGTTGTTGCCTCTTTTGAATGACGAATACACACTACCGCCGCCTGCTGGTAAGGAGAGTTATTGCCACTCACGCATGCGCAGTTCGTACGTGCTCGGCTGAAGTCTTTGCGGTGTGTTCCAGTACGACACATGGCCAAGACGCAGAAGAACACCGCGACGCAACAGTCGGCGTCGGCGTCGGCGAGTTCTATGGTGACTGCTTGGTGTGTCAGGGCCTTTAGAGTCCGGCCAATAAAGAGTTAAAGGCATATTGCTGTCAAAACTACAAAACCTATTCTGTAGATAAGAGGAACACACACACATCTCACAACGTCAGTGTCCAACCAGGTGTTTGGTCCCCACAATATCACAAAAACATTTCCCCTCTTTACTACACACCCACAATCACCCCCCCAACACACACACACATACCATGTATACATCACTTCAGGGGACATTACATTGACTTACATGCATTTCCTGGAGACTTATCCTAACCTTAACCATAACCAACACATGCCTAACCCTTACCCTTAACCTTACCCTTACCCTAACTCTTACCCTAAACCTAACCAAGTCTTCACCCTAAAATTAATGATTCCCCTCATGGGGACCTCCATTGTGTGTCCCCATAAGGGAGGCGAGTCCCCACACGTGACTGTGTAAACAGATTTAGGTCCCCACAAGTATAGTAATGCTAGGCCACACACACACACACACACACACACACACACACACACACACACACACACACACACACACACACACACACACACACACACACACACACACACACACACACACACACACACACACACACACACACTTCTTTTCAGACATTGTGTTATCAAGCTTGAGCATCATAATTAGGCCTGACCACTAATCACCACCTGCTGGAATAAAGAAGAGGAAGGAGGGGCAGCAGAGAAGAGAAGAGAAGAAGAAAGACCCTGATGATTTTCTTTGGTGCAAACTGGAATCACACAAACAGCATAGAGACTAAATAGTGGATGGCATAATAATTGTTCAATATAAAAATAATAATACAAAGCAACGGAACATCATGGAAAGTCTGACATGGAGCTGTCAGGTGAGGCGTGTTGTAGGTTTTTAAATGTCATAATTCTTTCCAATTTTCATTAAGAACAAATTAAAAAGTAAATAACGCAAAGCTGTACATTGAAATCACACCATGTTTCCTGTCAGGAAGCATGGAGGCACAAAGTCAACAGTCATGTTTGTGAGTAAACAATGAGCAGCTGGTGGTCTCTGTGATGTCACCTGTAGACTTCACAAATATACTTTACTGTATATTTGTGATGTCACCTGTAGACTTCACAAATATACGTATACTATATATTTGACACTTTAAACATCTGCATTTGGTTTATTATCATTTTTCCCTGCACATGTTTTAGTAATTGAACCATGCAGATGCTTAATTAAAATAACTCACTGTTCTGTTTGCACTCAGAGACAGACTCTTTTGTAGCTTTTAAAACCAGACATTTAATCATTCATTTATGCTGATCTCTGGTATTTAAACTCATCTTAAATTCAGTTAGCCTTTACTTAGCAGGACAGCTACAGGGGGGGTTATTCTGAACCACCAGACTCACCCTACTCATTCAAAGTTATTTTACATTTTGCTTGTCAATTAAACTGTAGTTAAGCAATTTGCGCTTCTTTATAAATTCCAGTTACAAATAAAACGGACTACTTTGATCAAATCATCACCTTGTTTTGACTTAAAGTGAAGCTGAAGGCGGGTTCAGTAACTCCAATGACATCTTCATTTGTTTTTGTTTTTATTTTATGTAATTTAAATCTGCACAGACGTTCGACAAAATAAAAATAAATGTATCAGCTCCCTACCTCTCATCGGCTCTTCCTCAGATCCTCTCGGAGTTTATGTTGCGCACTAAAGCAGACGGAAACCTGTTGCTCCTCCTGCTTCACACACACGCACGCACGCACGCACACACACACACACACACGCACGCACGCACGCACGCACGCACACACACACACACACGCACACAAACACATCCTACATCATGTCGGCCCCGCCCGCCCCACATCTCATCTTTCCAAAAGAAAGGAGGTTGATAAAAGATTGAACAATAGACTATATTGAGGTAGGATTATGAAACATTTGTAAAGATAATAACACATTTTAAATCATAAAATACAATATTTATTTACAGTAAGCCCAAAACGAGTATTTTAGCTATGATAATAAATACAAATAATAATATTTGGTATTTAAATCCACACTTGAATTCACACTTCTTTATCCCTCTATGATAATATATGATAAGGTTAAAGGTGGGGTAGGTAATTTTGGAGAAACCAGCTCGAGATCGCTAGAATTTGAAAATACACAGCCGGAAAAAATCTGCCACTTCCTTACAGAGCCCCTCCTCCAACACACACTAACGCACACATGACCAATGAGGGCACGAGATAAGTTTGTGCACAGATGGAAGGCTGACAGGCAGGTAGGCCATCCAGTTATTTTAGCCGGGCCGACTGAAATGATTGGTCGTGCTTTTTACAGTACTACGGCTTCCACAGATGACATTTTTTTATGGATTTTTTGTCAAAGCACTTAAGATATTCATTGCTATCGGGATGTTAAGAGCATTCCATGGAATATAACAAAAAGTGTATCTCGAGCCGGTTTCTCAAACTTACCTACCCCACCTTTAAGCCTTTATTGATCACAAGAGGGAAAGTTCATAAAATGTCAGCTCTATGTTTTAGATATATAAAAAAAGCTATGACGTCACATTCAAATCATATTTTTTTAAATGACTGCTATTTTAATTAAATGACATAATAATTTGTTGAACTTGAACTGAAGCACAGTGGTTTTTATCATCACCCTGAAAATCAAAGGATGATTATATGTTGACTGATTGGACCAGTTCTCTAAGCTTCCTTTTCTTAATGTTGAATTCTGATTTCCTCATGTATGATTGGTCTCACGTTGTTAGGCCTAGGCTCCACGGGAACGAAAACGGGTTGAATCCGCATATTTCTCTTGCGTATAGCCCTTTAAGCTCGACGACGCCGTAACGGAACGGTAGAAACGGACCCTGCAAACGACAACGGGTCCAAAGGTGGATAGATCTGGGAACGGAGCGCTCTGGGGGGTCCAACGGGGCCGCGGGGTCGCCTATACGGTCATCCGTTTCTGATAATGACGACGCAATAGCCCCGCCTCTCCCCGCCTCTGCTGCTCACCCCCGCAAAAGTACACTGCACACTGAATTCAGATTATTTATCTTTATCTCGATATGGACATAAACGCGAGTGAAGTCTAATCTGACAGGACGGAGACACGCAGCTCCTCCCGCTGTGATGCAGCGGGAGCAAAACACACACTTCAAGTCAGATCATCACCCTTAGCTATTTTAATTACCTCTCAAACTACCTAAACTAGTTATAAATATGTTTATTTTTACTGTCGAGTCATCATTACTGGATCAGCTGCTGCATGAGACAGACACTGACGCTGTCAGAAGAGAGGAAAAAGAGACAGGCTCTGTGTATTTTATTATTATATATCATTATATCGTCGTTATTCATTTGTTTTAAAGCTTAATAAATAACAAAGAAGACCTTTGACCGGCACTTTTATAATTTTGTCCGGAAGATTTAAACTTTAACACACGTTGACCGGCGAAAAACTCTGCCCGGATCCCTCGGCCCCCACCGCGGAGAATAAACAGAAGTGCAGCCATGACAACCATTCTTCTTCGCTGCTTTTGTGGAGGAAGTTGCTGCTTTTGTGGAGGAAGTTACAGCTCCACGTATTGATTGATTGATTGAAAAGTTTATTAACAGCTTGTATATTGGGTACAGTACAGTACAGCTCAAAACATACAATTGTTAAGGGGATGCAGACCAGAGAAAGACTTTCGTCTTGTTTACATCAGGGTCCCCCATTTCCAATTCATCATATCATTTAAGACATATAAGACATATTTGATCTACAGATGACTTATTTACAATTTACATACAGGTGGTTTTTTACATACAGATGGCTTATTTACAATTTTCATTTTAGATTTCGTTCTAATACATCCTAACCGGACATTTAAGACATACCAAGTCTACAGATATACAGTTAGTAACAGAGTCTAAAATGCGAGTATATACATAGATGGGGGGGGGAAGCTGTCCATTGTACGACAGGTTGAGATTTGTACCATTACCGGGGCCAGTTTTGCAATGCTCTCCCCCGAAGGTGCTCTTTAAGAGAGGTTTTGAAGGTAAGTATAGTTTTACTTTCCTTTACAGTTGTGGGAAGAGCGTTCCACCTTGATGTGGCATAATTGCGAAACGTGTATTCCCCCTTTTTTGTGCCAAATCTGGGTTTTACATGATTTGTGGAGCTCCCTCTGGTGTTATGATCATGGTATTCCTTGACCTTTGGGAAGAATTTTGACATGTACATGGGTACCATAGAGGTGTAGTGGATCTTGTAGACCAGGCCCATTGCAAGTAGCTGTACTCTGTCGTCTACTCTAAGCCATCCTAGGTTGTCAAAGTGGGCAGAGGTGAGGTGGGTTCTAGATGAAAGGTCAAGCAGTAGTCTGACCAGTTTATTTTGCGATGTTTGAAGTTTTATTTTTAGCGCCTTGGAGGTGCTATGGTACCATGATGTGCAAGCATAGTCATAGTACCCTTGAATGAGTGCTCCTGCCAGAGTTTTCAGGGTGCTTTTGTTTACCAGAGAGGAGATCCGGTATAGGAATCTAGTTCTTTGATTGACTTTTTTTATTACATTGGATGCCATTTTGTCACAGGAGAGGTTTGCCTCAAGAATAGATCCTAGGTATGTAATTTCCTTCTTACTAGTGACAATAATGTCACCCACTGCAACTGAGAAGTCGTCGGATTTGCTGAGATTATGTTTTGAACCGAAGAGAATGGACTCTGTTTTACCCAGGTGTAATGATAATTTATTATCGGCGAGCCAGGTGCAGATTCTGCCGAGCTCGGAGCTGAGGGTTTTTTCAACCTGCAATCTGCTCCTGTCAGAGACCAGCAGGGCTGAGTCGTCCGCGAACAGGAACAAGTTGCAGTCACATGCTGCTGACATGTCATTTGCATAAATTAGGAACAGTAACGGACCTAATATGCTTCCTTGTGGAACACCACAGCTCACTGGGAGGGGGGGGGGACAGAGTACCGTTTACCTCCACCATCTGTTCTCTCCCCTCCAGGTAGGATTGCATCCAGCTCACCGATAGTTTATCAAAACCAATTGCTTTTAGCTTGTCAATCAGAATGGGGTGATTGACAGTGTCGAAAGCCTTTTGTAGGTCCAGCATCACCATGCCGCAGTATTTACCCTCGTCCACCTCTTGTTTGATGTGGTCGTTCAAATAAAGAAGGCATGTGTCAGTGGAGTGGGATGTTCTAAAGCCAGATTGAAATTCATAGATTAGTTTCTTTTCCGCGAGGTACTTTTCGACCTGTTCATATACTATTTTTTCCATGACTTTCGAGATGGAGGTAAGTATAGAAACAGGGCGGTAGTTGCCTGGGTCCAATTTGCTGCCCTTTTTGTGCAGGGGGGTTACTCTTGCAATTTTGAAGTCTTTGGGTACTTTTCCCTGTTTTATGGAGAGGTTAATTATGTGAGCTATGACTGGTGAGATGGCGGTTGCTGTGTCTCTGAGGAATTTGGAGGGGATATTGTCGTGGCCAGTGGCCTTGTTAGGTTTGAGGGCGCTCAGTTTAATGAGTACCTCTGCTGTTGTTACCCTTGCTAGACTGAAATCATCTTTGCGTACCCCTAGGTTTTTGTAGTAGGTCATGATGTGATCTACTCCAAAAAGCCCTGAGTGGGTGGGTAATTTATTTACAAGAGTTGTGGCTATGTTTGTGAAAAAAATGTTCAAGTACTTGGCCACATCCAGTTTGTCTGTGATGAGCCTGTTATCTGTCTTTATGTTTAAGTTTGAAAATCTCGTTTTGAGTTTTTTGCTGCAGCCAAGCTGGTTATTGAGTAATTTCCAAAGTTCCCGGGGTTTATTTTTGTTTTCCTCAGTTTTGTCATTGATGACATTCTTTTTGGCAGTTTTGATCATGGAGCTTACGTCATTTCTTAGTCTGTTTCTTTCAATTTTTAGTTCAGTCACGTGGGCCTGGAGTTCACTGCTCGTGCTTTTGGAAAGCATTGACTGACTTTTATGAAACTCAGAGCATTTTTTGTCTCTGGTTTTCATGGCGGTCAGTATGCCGGAGTGCATCCACGGCTCAGCGCGTTTTTTTACCCTGGTTGTTCTTAGGGGGGCCAAATCATTGAGTATTGCAGAGAATTTGTTTTTGAAACCAAGCCATGTTTCTTCAACTTATGTACCACTGAGCTCATCTGACCAGTCCAGGCTCTCCAGTTCTAGGTTAAAGGCCTCGCTAGAGTAGTTTTTGAGGTCTCTAGATATGACTGTTTTGTGACAGCCGGCCTTTTGTTTTAGCTTTTTGCGGGTACAGAATATCATATAATGACGTACAGGCTCGGCATATGTACTGCAGCTTTTCCAGCGGTTGGATGTAAACGGAGCTGTCTCGTGTAGCTTGACACAATCCGGTGTATATTGCGTGTGGGCGGAAGCTTTTTGGCGTTTGCGTTTGCGTTACTCCTATGCGTTTTGCCGTATGCGTTCCCGTGGAGCCGGGGCCTTATTGTCCCCTTTCTTGGCAGGAACAGGTGTTAAAGATCGTTATCTCAAAGGTGCCTATTTTCTCTGACCCAGCAGGAGGCTGTTCCAAAAAGCAGGTCAATTACAATATCTACAACTGTAGTTTAAGGTCAAAAGGTTTCAAGAAATACATCAACTATATTAAAACCACCACAAAGTCAACATCAATTTATGGTGTAATCCAA